GACTACCATTATTAATTATTAGGTAAAGTGTTTCATAACCCTGAATTGAATTGGACAAAATTATGAATAAGCTAATAATAATAATACAGGTGTATATGGTATGATCAACTTGATATGTGTTTTTATAGATGTTTTGTATTTGTTCATCTTGCTATGATAGTTCAAAAATAGATAATAAAAATGGAATATATTGAAAAGTTCATTAAAATTCCTTCATTCTGAGCGAAGTTATGAATATTTGGAGAAAAGCGCACCGGTAGTCTCAATTTTCATTGCTATAGTTATGATGATGAACAAAGTCTTGATTATCCATTTTTAAAATGAATTATTAAATGGCATTCATGTTTCAATCTGTTCAAAATCACCACCATCCAATGATCTAAAGAGTTGACGAAAGGTTTGTCATGTGAATAGATGTTTAATTAATAATTTATATAACATTTAATACTAAAAGAAAGATCTGCAATTAGCAGATTTAGCTCTTACATAATGGATCTTTAGTTAAAGGACTTCCTTTTTCATAATTTTTATTCAGTAAAGCACATTTCAGTATAAAAAAACCTTCTGATCTGGAAGGATCCGTTTCTTTTTCTTGGGAAGGCTAATGGCATGACAATGCCTGGCCTGGTGAATGTTTGCTCTATACGGCAAGAGTCTAAGTCAGGCACTCTGTAGAGTGGTTACAAGTACTATAAAGTATGTTTATCAACAACCGGATCATTCTGTAGAGTGATTGCAAGTACCGTAGAGTATGTTTATCAACAACCATATTGGTCTATAGTAATTACATGTACTGTAGTGTAAGTTTATCAACAATTGTATTAGATAGAGGCCTCAGCAAGCATCTTTACCCCAATGCTACCTTTTCCTGAAAATAAAAATCGAACAAGAATTAAACATTGTAGAGTGAGTGCAAGTACTGTAACACACATTTATCAGTCAGGGGCAAAAACTCTGTTACCACTTTTGTGAAAACACTCAAAGTCGAAGTCAAAAGGGACAATCTTTACAATCTATTAACTGTTCCTTAAAAAATTCATCGAAATAAGTTGAGTACTAAGTGTGGACCAATAACAGGGGCGATGACAATATACAACCACATTAATACGTGGGTCTATAAAAACAAGTGAAATAGGATTTTCCTGCTTCTTGACAGGATCATGCATTTCTTAAACTTGTTGTACCTGGTACTGTCATAGTTTCATGTAAAGGAATAAAAATCATTAGATATGAACATATTTTTCTTTTGTATTCGTGACATATTTTTATGCGTCCCACTTAAAGTGCTATTATTAAATTCTACATCAAATTGGAGTAGCAAATTGTCATAATTTGTCAGATTGCTATCCATTTTTAGCTATCGTGATTTGTCCTGTTGGGATCTTGTTATTAGTCACGATTAACAACATCTAGACAAGACAGCATTTATGCAACATCATATCAACAATATTTATTATCAGTGTTTTTAATCTATATTTTGACAGCACACAAAGTAAAGAATGAGGAAGATATATGATATGTACTCTTGGTTCTTTTTTGTTTCATTATTTGTTTGTCGGACATTTATTAGTTAAATGGACAATAAATTCATAAAATATAATATATTTTGTAATAAATCTGCCAAGTGTATATCTGTCTTACAAGACCCAACTACCAAAGGGGTCTGTATTTATGTAAAGGTAAAAACAAATAATTTAGTTATATTTTCATCAGGATTGAATTGAAAGTTGTTCCCTGACCCTTAGAGAAAAATGTTATTCTGTAATAATATATTGTGAAATATAAGTGCCATATACTAGTTATTATATGCGCACATTTTCATGTGGACATTCATGTTGACGTATATTGTCATCGCCCCTGAGGTCACAATTTTTGTCCAATTTTAATGAAATTTAAAATGTATGTTTATATTCCAAAGATCTGAGTTCCTTTCAATATTCGCGCACTTTTTGTACCCCGCCTTTTGAAGAAAGTAGCGGATTATCAAAATGGATCTTCTGTCTCTCCGTCCTTCTGTCGCTGTCTGTCGATCCGTCACACTCTTTGGGACACAATAATTGAGCTAGAATGTTCAAACTTGGTGTAGGTGTTTTTTAGGTGAAGACCTTGATTGAGTTCGAAGATGAGCATTTTCTGCTAAAGGTAAGCAGAGATAAGCAATAACTTTAGTTCTAATTAAGTGAGAGTGATGAAACTTGGTGTATAGTTTCATTACATCAATACCTTGAATAAGTTTGATAATGAGCAATTTTTGCTCAGGGTAAGCAGAGCGTTAAGAAATTTGATTGGTCAAGACTTTGGAACACAATAACTCTCCCTCAAATTGAGGTAAAATGTTCAAACTTGTTGTAGGCGTTCATTAGGTGAATGCCTTGATGGAGTTTGAAGATGAGCATTTTCTGCTTAGGCTAAGCAGAGATATGCAATTTGATTGGTTGATGCTTTGGGACACGATAACCTTTGTCATAATTTTAAGTGAGAGTGATGAAACTTGGTGTATAGTTTCATCACATCTATACCTTGACTAAGTTTGATAATGAGCATTTTCGGCTCAGGGTAAGCAAAGCGATAAGTAATTTGATTGGTAGAGACTTCGAAGCTTGACAACTTTAATTGAGTGATAGTGGTGAAACTTCGCGTATAGTTTCATTACATCAATACCTTAACAAAGTTTGATGCTGAGCATTTTCTGCTTAGACAAAGTAGAGACTTTATTCTGATTGGTCAAGACATCGGAACACAATTACTCTCCATATAATTGTGGTAGAATGTTCAATTTAGTGTAGGTATCTCACTGTCTATTATGTGAATGCCTTGACAGAGTTCAATCATGTGCATTTTCCACTAAAACGAAGCTGAAATAAGCAATTTGATTAGTTGAGACTTTGGAACACGATAACGTTGGAACTAATTCAGTAATTGGGTGAGAGCGATGAAACTCTTGAGTATAGATTCATTATATCAATACATTGACAAAGTAGCGATAAGCAATTTGATTGGTCAAGACTTTGATTACTCAATACTTTTGAAAATGATAAATGTGCAATTAATTAATATTTGTCATCTGTTTATTTTGGGATTTCGGCGGGGACATCAGCCTCACTGTTGGCTTTTGTAGCTTGTTCTGAAAACCTTGATTCTGCTTAGACTAAGTAAAGACAATCAGTTTGATTACTCAATACTTTTAAAACTGATACATGTGCAATTAATTAAAATTTGTCATCTGTTTATTTTGGGATTTCGGTGGGGGGACATCAGCCTCACTGTTAGCTTGTTTAACTTGTTCTCTTTCCATTTCTTGAAAAATTTGGGCATATCTTGCATGGCAACCACTGGATATTTTGGAATTGAGGCAGGAATATCAACCTCACCATTGGATTTTTTTTTTATTAGGCATTAGGATTTGCATAAGCAGTTTTAATTTGCATCCAACTTATGCAAATTAAATTTTATTTTCCATATATTTATGATATCTTATATAGAATTACTTTAAAAGTTTTTTATCTACGTATAGTAGAGGTCAAATGTGTATAAACCTATAAACTTTTATGGTTTCTATCTAGACTTTGAAAATGAAATAAAAAGGGGTTTAACGTTAATGTCCTACTTTTCTGCACCGACAAAGTTAGTGAACAAAGAATACTATTGAATTTCAGCAATTTCTGTCAATTACTTCTAGAATTATGATTCTTGTTTTACTTTGTTTAACCTTGTAAATGTGCGAACGACAAAAATTATCATCCGATCTGTTTGAATTTTATATGCATTATTTAAATTAGTAAAACGAAAAAGCCTACCAATTTCTGTAAATTACTTCAGAATTAAGGCCATTGTTTCAGTTTGTAGAACCTTGTAAACCTTTAAATTTCAAAAATTGTAATCTGATCAGTATGAAATTGTCTTAATGCCCCTCATTACCTACAAAAAAATAAATGTGCGACAACCCTTGTCGACTGCTCAAACGATTTAGGTGCTGTGGGCGTATGTTTTGTTGTCTGGCAACCTGTTTTGTTGTCTGGCAACCTATCTTTAAAATATTGCCGTTCTCTCTCCCATATTTTTTAACATTTTGGTAATCAAATTTTTTGCCTGTGAATAAGTGTATGTACATCTTCATCTATGCAAGTTTTGTTGTCTGGCAACCTATCTTTAAAATATTGCCGTTCTCTCTCCCATATTTTTTAACATTTTGGTAATCAAATTTTTTGCCTGTGAATAAGTGTATGTACATCTTCATCTATGCAAGTTTCAAATTAATTTAGTGTTGATATGCCATCATAAAAATATTAGCTTTGAACTTTTTGGTTATTAAATTTTTGTCTGTGAATAAGTTTATCTTATATGTATACTTTACTTCTGTCTGTATCTATCTCAGTTTCAGTTTAATAGTGTGTTTAATTGATTTGTATATATGTGACAGATGATTACCCATGATATATTATATAGGTATATTATATCTCCTCTGTCAGTCACGGGATATTGTTGTCGCATGTCAACCCACAGGTAGTTAGTAATAGATCAATGGGTCACACAGTTAAATAGGCAAGGATATATTCTTTACACACATAGGTGAATGCTCGCTCTCACTATACTAAAATATGAAGTGATAATAAGTATAAATTATAAAAGCCCTAGTATTTATAATAGATAACATCAACCAAATTGATCACACATATAAAGGTCGTGGTTTATAGCTATCTGCTATGGAAACTGAGATTACAAGTATCATGTTTTGCAAGCCTGATTCCCAGTTTTTAGGAGTAGCACCTGCAGGACCAACAGTGGAATTTGATGAAGAGTAGACAGAAACACTGCTATACCAGCAAAATTCTCCTCCCTATCACATTTGACCATATAAAAAATAAGTTTACTAAAATAAGTTTACTAGTAGTAGTATCAAAATGACAGAAATATTGTGGTGATCAAATGTTAATGCCAATCGTTTGATATTCTATCCCCAGTATCATCTAATAGACTTTTATCCTTTTGTATATTTTCAGGATCATCATCACCACCATCATTCTGTACCAGCAGTAATACCAGCTATGAACATGTCTAATATGAGCATGACCACAATGGCCAATATGGTGATGAATCATTCTGGTCATATGAATATGAACACAAGTATGAGTGACATGGGTGGTATGGATATGGGTCATGGTGGTATGGATATGGGTCATGGTGACCATGGTGACCATGGTATGCAACATGGCAATGTTTCCTGTAGTGGAGGAATGATGGTAAGTTGTCTCCTTTGTTTTGAGTTTTTAAAAATCTTAATTTGACAAGCTGGACTGTAATTATTTTTTTAAAGACTATATCAAGTTATCATTTCAAGCTGCATTGCCAGCATACCATCATAACAGAAAAAATTAGCCCACAGTTTGAGATATTGCATAAGATCTCAAACCAATAAGTTGTCTTTAGCAGTGGGATGAAACTGAAGGACACGTGACCCTACTCATTGTCATGTACAAGCAGGGAATCAAAACCACGCCACTTGACTGAATAATAGACCTTCTAATGCAAGGCGCACGTTACCCATTTGCCCCCCCCTCTAAAGGTTCATATGAGAAAAAGTAGTACTCATAAAATGGATTTGTACACAAGATGCGACGGAACTGTATATAACTTTATATTTCATTTCAGATGTTCTTTCATACAGGGAAATGTGAATATATCCTGTTTGAATCGTTGTACACACAAACAACTGGTCGTAAGTACAAAAATTATTTCTTTGGATCTTAATATCTTATTACATATTATCTTTTACATGCACACCATTGTGTACATGGGACCTCTCCTTTTTTGTACCATCCAAAAGACTTGACACTGTCCTTGTCAGGCCCTCCGTCCTGCACCAAATAGGAACAGCGCAGAAAATCCTGAGTAACTTTCTCTGCAAACATGGAGAGCAAACCCGGGACCTCCTGGTTAAACCCCATTTCCCTGTCTCACTGTGGATGAGGAAAATAATAAAATGTTGATGTTGTATACAGTATATTAGTCTCAAAAATATATACACATATATCACATAATCATACAATCTTCCCATGAATTGTATAAAAAATACATAATGTTACAACAAGCTTCAGGGAATTACCGGAATGCTAATTAAAATTTAAGACAGACGTAAGAGGGTTTCCTATCTAAATATATCGATAATGGAATGACTGATTTAGGAGTTTTAGCATTTCCTATTCAATAAATTTAATTTAAGGAAAAAATTCTCGTCTCAGTTTTATCTTCAATATTAACCTTTCCTTTTTTTTTTCTTAACAGATATCGTAGGTGCTGCCATTGCTGTGTTTTTTCTTGCAATTATATACGAAGGTTTAAAGTACGGTCGTGAAGTGTTAGTCCAGAGAACCACTTCCAAGAATAAATACATTACAACCACACTACCTAATGGTACCTCACAGGAAAATATTATTGTTGGTGGAACACAGACAGTTTCGTAAGTCTTTTATTTCCCCAGATTTCAACACACCAGAAATACAGTCTCTTATCTTTGTGAACTCATCAAATGAGAACTGGTATAAGGTGTTCTAGAAATGAAAACATGGGATTGGTCCCAAAAGAATACGAAAAAGCTTTTGTTGAAAAGATGCCATTTTTTTCAAATGAGCTCATAGGGAGTTCTCTCCCCTCTCACTAGCGACTGGTTTGGACCTGGCCCCTTGCTCATTCCAATCAGTCATATGTGGTTGATACCAAAGATCCATATTAGGCCGAATTCTCATCTTTGCTTGGGCTAAAACGGTCTATAAAATCAGACAATTGATAATCCTGCAATTAACATGTCAACAAAGTCTCCAATAAAATTTTTTAATTTTATAGTTCAGGCTCGAAACAGGCCAGAAACTGATAACTTATTTCTTTATGGTGCGGACTGCGAAGCCATATTTGCATATGTGTGAGTTGGATCCTGCACTGCGCAGCACAGCTATTTAAAATTTGGCCAATCAGCAGTCGCGCTTGCAGGGTTGCGATCAAGTGCTGTTTTTGTTTCGCACTGGACTAAATTGTCCCTCTTTTGTGTGGCCCCATCTCGAACATACTTGGATTTTTTCTTGAAAATTATACAGATCTCTGATAAAACTGACTTCCTTAACTCTTTTGAACTTTTGAAGTAGTAACAAGTAATGCACCATGATGTGATTTCTTTGGTGAGATCAATGAAGGACTAGGTGGTGAATGAGACAGAATAAGTACTAGGCTTAGTAGTAGGGGTTATGGACATAAAAGCCCTAAACCAAAACGGCTAAAGTATTTGGTCATTACGGTCAAACATTTTGGTCATAACTACATAACGGCCAAAAAATTTTAGTCATAATGGCCAAAAACAACATTTGTTATATTATATAGCATAATGTAAATATCCACATTTCGTAATAGATAATATTTACATACATTTATTTAACACATAAATTTAAATACACTGTAGACATTTATACTTAATACATTGTATAACATACATAATTTACATAGACATCTATTTAATATGGAGAACGGGGGAGTCCTCCAGTTTCCTCCCTCTGCTAAAGACCCTTACGCACAAGCGCATTCTTTAAATAGAAATGAACCATATGTTAGTCCCAAAATTACCTACTTTGTGTCAAGTGGTGTGAAGTACTTAATTAGGGATTATCCAATCGGTTGATTAATTAGTACTCCCCTCTTTCCTTTGAATGACAGCATGTAATTTTCTGGGTTGCAATGTGTTCCGTGGAGCTCGCCATTTTGTTTATCAACAATACAAGTGTATGTAGACAATAGTGTGATTGGTCGATAGTTGAAAAAACGATTGTGTGGCGCTGCGAACAACTTTGAATTCTGTCCAGTGACCTCATGTACTATGAATTTTACTATCAATAAATATCATCGCAGAACTATTAGATTTTTTGTTGAACATCACAGAAAATGATTATCACTATATTAACTAAACACTGATAAAATTTCTTCTAGACTTGAAGGAACGTAAAAAATTTTGCAACAAGAATTTGTGCACATGGAAAGCGGCCTGTATGTATTTTAGTTCTGTTGCGCAGCCATGTCAAAATTCCCCAGTGCATTCTGTAAATCTCTAAATAAATGATGTATTGTGTTTTTGAGAACTAGTTTTTGATTAATAATAACTTTCCTTTTTGATTTCAGAGCTCGGATGTTAAGTTGCAGTCATTTTGTCCAGACGCTTCTACACATGTTACAAGTATTCATAAGTTACTGCTTAATGTTGATTTTTATGACATATAATGCCTGGTTGTGCATAGCTATTATTTTAGGGGCTGGAGCAGGTTATTTCATATTTGGATGGAGAAGAGCTGTCATTGTTGACGTCAATGAACATTGTCACTGATCTGTACAAAATTATAAAATGTTAATTAATACCAGAAAAATCTTCATATTAATGAATATAATTTCCAAATTTATTATATTTACGTAATACAAATAGTACACAAATTAATTTATAATGCAAATACATATTTATACAGTGTTCAAACTTGAGTTAAATTTGTATATACTGCAAATACTTACTTATTGTTAAATATTTTGATACTAAAATATTTACAAACAATAATTAAACCGGTAAATTAAGAAAATTAGTGCTTCGAACTGATTTTTTAGTATTTATTATTCAGTGTCAATTTAGACTTATTTTTTGTACTGGTATACATTATTCGATGTCATGTAAACATAATGGTCCTTTATTAGTTTTCAGTGATATTGACCAATACATTGATTATTTAAACATTTGAATAGTAATTTGAATAGTAAAATCAGCGATGTTTCCACTGTAAATTAAGACTACTACAAAGTAGTACATACACCTAAGGCCTCAACAAGTACCTGTGAAAATGTAACTAGCATTAAAGCAATTCATGGTATATAGTTATATACGATTCAAGTGTATTTGATGGTCTGTGATATCACCTCGGTGAAAGCGGACCTTAAATAAACTAATTTCACACATAATGGTCCCACTCATTGATCCGATCCACTTAGATTCCATTTTCATCACCATTTTATCCACGGCACCAGCATGTGTATATATCTCTATTGGATAGTTCTTTATTAAAATGTTCAGCACAAAAACTTATATATCAGTGTCCATTGAAAAATATGAATATCAATCTGTGATTTATAAGTAGAAAGATATAGATATAAAAATAGTGTGTATATATATATATGTCACAGGCCTAGGAGATATTGCACAATATTGCCCCCAAGGCAATCGGTGAAAGATGAAGGCTTCTACAGTTGTTCTCCTTTCTGCTTATTCTATATGTCACAGTGTGATTTTAAGAGTTGCCTCTCAAATTTCTTACCAGCATTGTTATTGTACATAATTATATACTCATAATAAAAAGCCTTATGCTTACTACGTATGCATCATATAATTCATAAGATACTGTAAGACAAGAAATGTATTTGTTATGACATTAATGCACCCTGGGATTCAACATAATGCAGAAATTAATATGTCCAGCTGCGCTTTCCCTACTCATGTCTAAAATGGATGGCTTCTTGTAGTTTTAACATATAAATTATATTCCATTTAGAATTACCCGATCACTTTTGAGGAATGTTATGGTTGATGTAGTTATATATTTACATGATAACTACTCAGTATTTTATGTTTGAAAACAGAAATTAATGCAACTAGCACTAGGTTGCCTTTTAACGCTTTCATTTCTGGCTTACATAAATTTCTTGTTTTACAGTACATGTATTTAGATATATTTTAATAATAGTGTACAAACAATGGGAATTAAATAATATTGTAACAGGAATCATTTGGTTGTAATTTCTTTCTTTAAATGTACATAATTAAATACTCCATTGCTGTACACTGACATAATTATGCACCAATTGGACATATTATAAAGTGAGAACTATTTGTTGAATGATACTATTCTAATGATCTTTGATGGCTAAAAAGTGTTAATGTTTACTTGGTATATATATATTTAAACCAGGGCTTCTGACCAAAATTACCATGAAATAAATGAGTCGAAATGTCATTATCATTTTAATTTTTTGTTTTATCTTTATTTAAATTACTGTATATTATTAATGTAATTAGTAGATACATCTTGTTAGTTACAAGGAGTTGAAATGATATATAAGCATCATATAAAACTGTTGTTAATGTTTATTTAAGAAATTATATTTTAAAATCAAAACTATATTTATATCATTTTACTGATGAGTAAAAACATAATGATTTAATTTAGATATTGTATATATTCAGGTTTTAAAATTATCTGCTATTTGCTTCTATGAAGGACTATACTGGAATATTAATTATGACTGTCATGGGATATTTATGAATGACTGCCATGGATTTGATGACAGTCACTGATAATTTTTTAATGGCCATTGTTGGATATTCATTGAGGAAATGTCAATCAATTATGAAAATGCATGCCATAAGATAATAGATAGTGCCCCCACTAAATATCCATCAAACTATAAAGTATAATTATATCTTAAAACTTATCTGTAATTTTATTTACAAGAAAAGATAATAATGGTTCATCAATTGAAATTGTGATCAGGTTACTCATATTTGCAACTGAAAACAAAGTGGCCAATCTGTGATACAAATAAAAACACTGCAAAGACATATCTTCCAGGATTAGTACTATGTCCTTTAAAAATGTATGTCACTAGTTTATGAATGAGGGTGTAGATATTATTATTAATCGTAATAATGGTTCATGTTATTCATTTGTTATCAACTATTTTGTTTTAATTCAAATACCAGAACAGTAATCTTTCATCAACAAATAAAATTGTTTTAATTATCGGCAAATTGGTGAAAATACTGTTCAACTTTTTTGTGATAATTTCAAACTGATGATGTTGTATAGTGTAAAAGTCAGAAGGAAAAAAAAAATATGAAATGAAATTGTAATCTAATTTAGTTAGAATATTAGAATTGGTGTAGAGGGGTACAGATGTAACTACTCCCATTATTCTCCTAGATTTTGATTAAGATTTTTGACACAAATAAGCATCTATTAATCCAAGTGGAAAAAAGCCTAATACTTTAAATAAAACCTGGAATTATTGCATATTTGAAATTCATTTCCAACAACTTTCCTCATGCATTAAGATGTAGCTCAATCAATAGATTTGAGCATTTTAAAACAGCTGCTATGTCTTGAATGGATTTGCAATAATTTCATGTTTTGTTTTATAAGTGAATTACTGTACACCATTGTGGATAGTAAAATACTATAGAGAATGACAACGAGCAAAAGGAATATTACAACGATTAGTTAGTTACTGGAAATACATTGAATACCTTCTGCAAATATTCTCAACAAACACAACTCTGAATTTATTCTTACTAAAAAAGGCTATATGTATCATATCAATTAATGCATATTATAGATAAGCTTACTGTACATGTATAATAGAATATATGCATTATTGTAATAACCAAAAATAAATGTAATACATATTTTACTCATGTATAAAAACCTAATGAATATAATTATTTTCAGTATAAAATAGACAAAAAGTTTGTTTTTCATTTACTGTTATAAGTTCGAACCATCGATAAATCTTTGACTCTTGAAAGTAGCTGATTTAGTGTTGATGATAAATGCCCCCTGAAGCACTCTACACTTAAGGTCAAAAAGACTTGATGATCATGAAACAAGGATATGGATCAATCAAGTCCCAAGTTCCCACCCCTTTGAATACCGTAACCATTTTACCATGACAATAATTCTCCTTAGTAGTCCTTAGTTTGAGCCAGTGTCCGATATGTCTGACTCTTTCCCTATTATACATCATGGCTGTTTTGAATATTGATTGAGTGTGTGAGGGGGAAGGGATTGGAAAATTAGAACAGGTAGTTGTTTTTGTGTTATTTGTGAATGTGTATATTTCATTCACTACCCAAACGCCTATGATACATGACTGGCAGATAAATCTTTGGAAATGTAAATAATACAGATTATTTAATACATCAGAGTGTATTATTTAAGGTATTTCTGGCAAAAATTTCTCAAAAATACCGTACTTACTTTAGTACATGTGCATGTGTATTAATAGTTAATCAAAAAGGCACCACTTTTAATAGTAAGTGCAGCGGGGCTGCATACACATAATTTACACAAAAACAAATCCACGGACAAGACACAATACAGAAATCACAAACAAACAAACATATCAAATTAAGTAAATGGATCGGGGGGCTAGCCATAAGCATCCACTGCACCGAACAGTCCCGGGCCTGTAGTGATACAGACTTCACTCAAATTTGAAAACAATCAGGAATATAACCCAGAGAAACCATTAAGTAATGCCAGCATGAGTCATGATCTGCTATATGTTACAAGAAATATGAATGTAAGCATATTGAAGTAAAAATTACCTATACAAGTAACCACATCGGGGAAATGTATAAAAAAAAACAAGTTGTCGAAAACTAAATGTTCTAATTAAGTCAAGTGAGAAACATTTTTAGTATTCAATCGAATTTAGGTAAATTGAATATAGTTAGTGCATATGTTCCATTTACCACAAAAACAGAGTAAAAAAAAATGGATCGGGGGGCTAGCCATAAGCATCCACTGCACCGAACAGTCCCGGGCCTGTAGTGATACAGACTTCACTCAAATTTGAAAACAATCAGGAATATAACCCAGAGAAACCATTAAGTAATGCCAGCATGAGTCATGATCTGCTATATGTTACAAGAAATATGAATGTAAGCATATTGAAGTAAAAATTACCTATACAAGTAACCACATCGGGGAAATGTATAAAAAAAACCAAGTTGTCGAAAACTAAATGTTCTAATTAAGTCAAGTGAGAAACATTTTTAGTATTCAATCGAATTTAGGTAAATTGAATATAGTTAGTGCATATGTTCCATTTACCACAAAAACAGAGTAAAAAAAAAAAAAAACTGAATACAAAGAAGCAAATGAGAAAATGTAAACCGTCTGCTGACTGAACGACCTGACGTAAAAGGTAGGTTGCCAATGACGTCACAGTTTGAAAATGCAATAAAAACCACAATAAAAAGGGGCAATAATCCAGATAAGATAACCCCAAAAGGTTAATAAAACATTGTTTAAGGAGTCGAAGAAGCAATTTTGCTTAAAATAAAAGAAGGCAGCAGTTGCAGTTAAGGTTAAGTATATTGGCTTGCGAAAAGATCAGAAAATCTCAGACTACACACGCAAGTAAATTATGACATTTTTGGGGGGTGGGAATTATTGTTATAAGTGTACATTTTAAGAAAGTACATTAAAACTATTGAACTATTTCACATGCATTTAAAAACTAAATCGTTTTGGTGAAAAGGCCCCTTGTCCTTTTGTACATTTGAGTTATCCCCCTTCGATCAACTGCAAAATGGCTGACCAAAGTAAAGTGTACAATTCTCCCCTTGATGAAGGGCCTTTAGACGACGGAACCAGAGATGCTTTGACAGAAGGTTTAGTAGATTTATTACGACCAGCAGTGGAAGAGATAGATGACAGAGTAAAATGTGTTCGGTAAGATGCTTAATAGATAAAATACACCATGTAAACAATGCCACGCCCCTTTAATTCACAATTGACATTGTCAAAATTAATTGGTACAGGGGTAATTGTATTTGTTTGATGGGGTGCCAGTTAACACGTCCACAAGCAAAGTCGTCCACAGTTATTCTATATTCTGTTTTTCAAATACCAGACTGGTTTTATTACCAATGTTTAGACAAGTGTCATCTGTTGTTGAATGAAGTTCCCAATGTATAGATTTTTAATTTTCACTGCCATGGAGTGTATCCGTAGTAGGGCCTATTCAAGAAGTCACGGCACTGACTGAACTGACTGACCACTCTCGTGAAGAGTACGGTAGTCAGAAATGCTACTATCCAGTGAAAATTCACCAACTCTGTATCTCACATTACACACAATCAATCTCGAGGCAGATAATGTCCTGAATTTCATTTAAAATCAATTATGAATCCTAGTTAATCATTAGCACAGAAAATAATGGAAGCAATATTTTAAAAACATATGATATTAGATACGAGGAGCGATTTTAAATTGATGATGTCCTGCATAGCGTTTAAATCATTATTTCTGTGGTATTGAGCACATTAATATACAAAATACAAGAATTATACACAATATTTTGTTTCATATGTTACAGAGAAAGTCAAATGGAATTAAGACAACAAATTGATAGTGTCGCAGATGGTTAGTATTGATACATATATATATACATGTATATATTATATGTATTTAAAAGTCGTTTGCAATCTCTGAGTTTTGAATAAAATATGGGATACAATGATTACAATGTAAACTTTTGAGCGAAGCACAATTCATATCATGCCTATCTGTACTTGCATTAAGATATAATTGTGAAAGTATAGCAATGTTTCCTCGCTTGATTGCATGGGATTGAGCTGTTACTGTAAGTGTAACAATGAACTGAGACTTTAAAATGGATGTCAGAAGAATCTAGAATAAAAGTAGTAGGTTGATTGATCAGTAAGTGTGGTTTAATAGTCTCAAGTAAGACATTGCGTAATGTATTGATACAGCACTCAAGCAAGCAACTTAAAATACAGACACTATCCCACGTGCGCATTCCAACGGAATCGTCACACAAGTCCTACAATTCATTTAGTATAAATGTAATGTGCATATGGCATGTTGCATACATTATTTGAAATAATAGTACGCCAACATCAAATGATGATATGACATTTGTATTTTAATAATGGTGATATAAAGCTAATTAACAGAAACAGTCTGGTGTGCTGTGTGATTGGTTTTAGTAAAATAAAAACATTTTACACATAACCCAATAATTTGTTTATAACTTTTCAAGTACAAGTAACTAAATGTACACTTATATTATTATTTTTTTTATTAAGATTTGAAAAAGGTCAATGAGATTGAAGCAGTACCTGTAGATTTAGAACCATATGTCAAGAAATTAAATAATTCACGTAGAAGAGTTATGCTAGTTAATAATATACTACAAAATGTTCAGGTAAAGTTTGTTTATTGTAAATGGAATTGAATGGGGTTTAGAGGCTTGTCAACAAAACACTTCGGTTGTTTTTGAGATTGAGATGCAAATTTTTATTCAGTGGTTTTGTGTGCAATGCAAGGAAGGAGAGTTTTACCCAGACAGCAGTGTTTACACCTGATATTTTTCAATTTAAAACAGTCAGTTGTTCTTTCACATGCACAATGAGCTTTAAATCAGCATTGATTAAAGGAGCTGGCCCAGATATATTTTAGTGAATCAAAAAGGTTAGTTCTGTGTGGAAGACTTTTCGAAACCTGTATCCTATCTGAAACTCTGTGGTATTTTTTTCAAAATATTCCTACAAAATACAGATATCCAATTACACATTACTCTTAAAGCACGACAAATGTTGTATGAAATTATACTAAATTGGTGCATTTTGATACCAAATGCTTTCTTTGTATTATTGTTATCAATTTAACATCTTTCTGTTTCTCTTTCAGGACCGATTAAATAAACTACATACAAATGTATCCAAAGAAACAGCCAGAAAGAAGACATTGTTAGATCCAGGTGCAAGTTTTAAATAATGTGTGATTTTAGAAACAGTCTTTTTAAGTGACATTTGTGAACTATTGTGAAATACAAATCAAATTTTGTTATTATTGATTGGGGATTCCAGTTTGAAAAAAAATACTACATTACCAAAAATATATATGTAAATTAAAGAAATGTACATCTTCTCCATATAGCCAGGATTTTAATATTCATATGGTAGTACTTGCAGTTGTATGATGAGAGAGAGAGGGGGAGAGAGTGAGTGAGCGATAGACCCTTTTCCCTGTCATGTACAAGCGGGGAATTGAAACTACACCATTTGACTCCATGACAGACCTTGTGATCTAATGAGCACTCATTATGTCATTAGGTCATCCAACCACCCTGTAAGATGAGTAACCTTAGGACTGGATGATGATCAATTCATAAAACAAGGGAACAACATAATACATCACTCGACAAACCTCGGCAGACTCCCGTACCCTACATCTAGCCTTGGCTGTATGATGGTAAGTGATATGTCCCTATACCTATACAATTTCGATGCAACTACCGGTTTACTTAAAAGGAAAACTTGGCGCTTTTAGAAAGAAGTTCTCAAAATTGTGTTGTTCGAAGAGTGTGTAGAGTTTTCATTGCAAAGTTGTCCAATATTTAAAGAAAATCGGATAAACTTGAAAGAAAAACAGCTTCAGATATAGAAAGCTTTGTATGATAAAACACTCTTCACAGGCATCTTCATGGGTGAGGCCATTTTGTAATCCGGGAACTTGTAAGTAGTTCTAATGGTGGAATTTGTCATACAGCTGAGGCTAGATGTAGGATATTGGAGTCTGCTGAGGTTGGCAGAGTGCATAATACATATCTTGCCTGTGATCTTGTGATAAATAATAGTCTTGATTGCTCCAGTTCAAATTGTCTCCAATATTCGTTAAAAGTCAAAGTGGAGTCAATTTGGCTAGAGTATACAAGACTAATAAAATATTCCTTCAATGTAATGCTTTTAGCAATTCCCAATGTAGTACTTCATATTTTTTAAAGGCCAGCATATATTTCAAGCAATTGCAATAGAAGTCTCAAACATAGGCACATTTGAAAGATATAAATCTCAGTTCAGTCACAATAATTCATGTATGATCATGGGATGTGGTTGATTTGCTTATGACTAGCCGTATAAGGTGCATGTTCCTCAGACTAATGCTTGTTTATATGCTATTGTGTTTTTTTCTAAAATATGTTTTATTCACCATATATAAATGGGAGATCTACAGACAGGTAAAATACCTGTCAGACCCCTTTGGCTATTCTGTTATGCTGAGGTAATATATACGTAATTTTATTAATGACAATAAATATTATTATGTTATTTGTGTCTTTTTTTCATTCTTACTTGCAAATTTTGTCTTGTCAATCGGAAGGGATGAAAAAATCGAGGTCCTGTGTGCATGTAAAAGAACCCATGACAGTTGGAATTCAATTGCTGCCTGGGAAAAATTTCCCTTGTAACGCACTGTATGCCTGTCTACATTAGCCGGGTTAGTGTAGACGGATGCGGGTCAGTTCATCCCACAACCGTTTCACCCCGGGCTATTTCATCCCAACTTAATATTTTATGGGGCTGTTTCATCCCGGACTGTTTCATCCCCCTTGTTATTATAATAGCAGTCAATTAACTGAGTTGTACTTTTTGTTGATTACCGATCGCGACCGATTAGGTCAGTTCACCGATGTTTTTTGTAATAAAGTATACTCGTATTGTTTGTTAGTTTATGATGTCTAACATCATTTATCTTCTTTATAAAGGTGTGCCTTTTAAATAAGACAAATTAGATTGATATTATTTCGAAACCATAATTAATTTTAAAACTGATCGTTGATTTAATTTCCGTACACGAAATGGAACTAAACAACTCCAAATTAAGAATTCCGAATAAGAATCAATTTAGAATATCAGTGGGATGAAACGACCCGTGTAAATTTGGGATGAAACAGCCCGGGATGAAGCGGTCGTGGGATGAAACGACCTGCTCCCAGTGTAGACAAGTAGAACGTTAATCAGGGTTAAACCTGATTTCATTCATTTATAACCTGCAAATTCCCAACATAATTTTATTGTGTGCAATAATCCAGACATGCAGGGATGAGGGAATTTTATCAACCAGAGAGTATCAGGCAGTCTATTTTCATGACATAAAGGTATGTATTTGATAGTATTTAACCTTAAAGCACAAGAAATACAGTTAAATTTATAGTATTTATTAATTGAGATAATGCCAAATTTGGTATAAATTTCTTGGCAAATCTGATAATAAATAAAATATGCAAAAAAGTGAGTGGCTTGGTGCCAGGGCATTATTCATTTGGAGAATTAAGACTTTGTCATTGTTTGTAGTCATCTACGTACAGTTAGACCCTGGGTTGAAGCAGATTATGTTAAGCTCGACTTTAAGTCAAGGTGATAGTTGGAGGACAATTGTATTTGGCTACAACTGATTGATTAGTTGTTAGAAATGCAATATGTAAGAGCTAATTCTGCCTGTTGCTGGTCTTCTTTTTTTTTTGTGGGTGTGGGGGGGGCGCTTAAAATGTTATATAAATTATTATTCAGGCATTTATTCACATGACCATTGAATTGCTGAGATATTGAGACCTTTAGATCTTCTTAAATGTTTAAATGGAAAATAAATACTTCTTTGATTATTGTAGCAAAGGTACAATCAACACTATTGACCCATAGGCTAGGAATATTTGCTTATGTTTTGAAGAGAAATCTCTGTAAAATAAGATTTATTACAAAAATACCATTGAACAATGTCTTTATATCAGTTTATGAAAATCTATTGTGTATTATAGAAATACATTATGGATGGGTTTCTGAAACCAAACTGGGTGATTTTACACTTTATTTAGAAGATATAATAGTAATTAGTATTGTCAAAAAGTAATGTATTTGTACAAACAAATTTATTATACATTAAATATTAAATATATTAAAAATATTATACAATTATTATGGCACATAAATAGATCAATTCTGCTGTCACAATATAGATATTGTGAACTATATAGTTAGATATGTTAAAATATATATATATGTGTAGTATACAAAACTGAAAAGATCAGTTATACTGGGAAATACATCTTACCAGCACCAAAAATTTGATGGTCATCGCTTTCAATTTACATCATTTAAATTTTAATATACATGTAGGTATATTATAAACAGTATAAAATCGATTTTAAATATGTAACAAAATAAATGTAGGTCTTTTGAACAACATTTTGAAATTTTTAAGAACAGTTGGTATTTGTATTTCATATCAATGTTGTTATGGTAAGAGTAAAATCCTTTTTTTTGCTTATCCAATCATGTTTGAAAACTGCAAATGAAAAACAGACGGTTCAGTTATCCATTTAATAGAAACGATATAGCTAACAAATGTATGTTCTACTTTGGTATTTTCAATGAAAAATATAATCCTCATGTAACAGAAAGTGTATTAATTATGAAGGGGATGTTTAATATGGAAAAAACACAAGATTCTATAATACGTCAAGTAAGTAAATGCAGGGTTGTACGACACTGGTGAGAAATCCCATGCAAATTAGATCAAGATGCTCCACAGTTGATAGCCAAGAAAATCTAGTCCTTAATTTGATTTTGTGATTTCCCCCTGTTTAAACGGGAGGCATGCCCATGGTTATATAATTTTCACAGACGATGCTCTTCTCTCCCTATCTGATGCTGGTAATATTTCTTGGACAGCAAAGAAATTATTTACTTTTGCTACCTGAAATACAGAAATGTATACATATTATATTTATATTGGTTTATTCATAAAAGATCAAATGCATGAAATGAGGTTTAATGTCCTACTTTTCAAGACCAACTGGACACTTGCCATACACTTTGCTATGAGGGAAATTTTTCTCCGACCGCTATTGAATTTCAACTGTCAAGGTTTCTTTTACGTGGCATGCACACCATGTTGTACTCGCGTCCTCAATGTTCGTCCCATCCGAACGACTAGATGCTGTGCCTTGCTAGGTCCTCTGTCCTGCACAACTGACAAGCGGAAGCGCACGCATTTGAGGACAAAAACAAGACATAGAATGTGGTACAGGATATGAACAGAGAATGATATTTTCACAATTATTTTTAATAATTTTTCGGGGTAGCACAATTTACCAAAAGCTGTCCAAATCAAACAATAATACAACCTCGATTAATCGATTTTCATCAAATGTCTTTATTTGGGCACTTCAGATCTCAAATATGTTATTTGGGTGTAAACATGCAAGGTTTTGAATATTCTTCATTCACTTTATGTCTGTATTATACTGGCACATAAATGGTGGACCTGTTTGAAACGAAGAACTGGATTGGAATCAATGATTTGTGGATTTGAATAGATTTAACCATTTGGTGCATAATGGAGGGAGTCGGGGTATGCGTACTTGTGTCGAAACATCTGATACAACCATGCAGTGACCTGGAGAGGGGGAGGGCTGGTCCTGGGTATCTAGGCTATTACTGTCGCCTCCTGTCCGTCCGTAGTCCACATTTTCTTGTGAACACTCTACAGACTACATTTATCATCTGATTGTTCTGAAGCTGATATATGTGGTTCACATCAGTGAGATGAAGAAGTGTATTTAATGTCAATAATTTATGTTATTTTCTTCTGGAGTTGTGACCTTTGTTTCACTTTGTTAAACCTTGTGGACGCCTCAACGACAAAAGATATTATCCGATCAGTATGAAATTTAAAGATACATTATGGGAGATTAGATAACGAGTTGGTAATTCTCACTATAATAGTTAAAAACTAGATAATGTAAAGGCAATTTGCTGAAAATTTCAGTCAAATTGATCCACTATAAACCGAGAATTTCCGCCTTGCCTCGATCATCATTACTAAAGTCGGTACGACAAAAATCATAGTCACGATTATCCATTTAATCATTAAATCGTGAAGGAAAGTTATGCAGTAAATCGGATCATAATCCACTAAAGATCGCAGGCTAGCGATGCCATCGAGAGTTGTGATTATGGTCTGGATAAGTTAATTAATGTCTAATTAATAATTTAGATGACATTTCAGGCTCTTGCAAAATGTATGTTTAAGTGCATCATTTAAATTAGTGAAACGAAGAAGCCTATTGAATTTCAGCAATTTCCGTTAATTAAGTCTCGAGTTATTACCCTTGTTTCACTATGTTGAACCTTGTGAACACTCGAATGACGAAAGTTATCATCCGATCTGTATGAAACTTATATGCACCATTTAAATTATTGAAACGAAGAAGCCCATTGAATTTCAGCAATTTATAATAATTACTTTTAGAGTTATGGCTCTTGTTTAACTTTGTGTAACCTTGTGAACACTCGAGTGACGTAAGTTATCATCCGATCTGTATAAAACTTATATGCATCATTTGAATTAGTGAAATTGAATTTCAGCAATTTCCAATAATTACATTTAGAGTTATCACCCTTGTTTAACTTTATTGAACCTTGTGAACGCTCGAATGATGAAATTTATCATCAGATCTGTCTGAAATTTATGTGCATCCTTTAAATTAAGAAACGAAGAAGCCTTTTGAATTCCAACAATTTCCAGTAATTACTTCTAAGTTATGACCCTAGTTTCACTTTCTTGAACCTTGTAAATGCTCGAATGACGAATGTTATCGTCCGATATATATGAAATTTACATGCATCAATTGAATTAGTGAAATAAAGAAGCTTGTTGAATTGGAGTAATTTCCATCAATTATAGAGTTATGGCTCTTGTTTTACTTTGTTGACCCTTGTGAACGTTCGAATGACACAAACGTTTTCATCCGATCTGTATGAAATTTATATGCATTATTTAAATTAGTAAAATCATGGACCTTATAATACATGGTCCATGGTAAAATGAAAAAGTTTGTTGAATTTCAACAGTTTCTGTAAATTACTTCCAGAGTTATGGCCCTTGTTTTAGTTTATAGAACCTTGTAAAACCTTAAACGACGAAAATTATAATCTGATCTGTATGAAATTGTCTTGTAAATGCCCCCAATTACCTACAAAAGAATATATATGCTAACCCTTGTTTACCACTCGGCCCAATTAGCTACTGTTAGACCGGGAGCCCAGGGGGTCAACCTAGCTGAAAAGTGTACCAATTTTCTCCTATATGGTATCAATGTATGTATATCTGGTATCATCAGAATGTAAGTCTGCCGGGTTTCTGGTGGTGGGTGTGGTATTCCACGCCCTAAATGCCATGATCCCCAACTAGGCTAGATTAGCTCAAAAGTGTACCACACGAAAATCTTACTGCAGTGTACCGTACATCTTCAGGTATTACAAAAACACTCTGACAGACATTTCTAGTGGTGGGGTACCCCAGACAGAGCTATGTAATTGCCAGACATTTGTAGTGGTGGAGTATCCCTGACAAGAGTTATCTAATATTTAGACCAAAGCTAGGCTAGATTAGCTGAAATCTGTACCACCTAAAACAGCTTTGGAGTTGTTGAGTACCACCACAGGAGTCATGAATGGCCACTGCCAAACAGTTTGTGCGGGGGGCTACCCCTAACAGACACGCCCCAAAATGCCACGCCTCCAACTAGGCTAGCTTCATAGGCACTGTTCCTGTGTTCTAAAAAATTTGATTTTTAGCCAGGATGCGTAGGATACTAATACCTAGCACGTATGGAAAAGGGGATTAACTGCGATTGCAAGAAATTGATTTTGGGGCAAAAAACATTTTATGGGGCTAAAAATGCGTTTTTGAAAAATAAAATTGTTCCTACAACCGCAGTTTACTGCCCCTTCCATATGTGCTAGGTATTAGTGTTCTACGCATCCTGGCATAATTTTTAATTTATTGGACCACAGGAACAGTGCCGACTTATCTATCCTAGTTGGGGGTCGTGCTATTTTGGGCGTGTCTGTTAGGGGCAACCCACCGCACAAACTGTCTGGCAGTAGTCATTCATGATTCCTGTGGTGGTACTGAAAAACTCCAAAGCTGTTTTAGGTGGTACAGATTTCAGCACCACTAGAAATGTCTGCCAGAGTGTTTTTGTAATACCTGAAGATGTACGGTACATTGCTGTGCGATTTTCATGTGGTACACTTTTGAGCTAATCTAGACTAGTTGGGGGGCATGGCATTTTGGGCGTGGAATACCACACCCACCACCAGAAACCCGGCAGACTTACATTCTGATGATACCAGATATACATACATTGATACCATATAGGAGAAAATTGGTCCACTTTTCAGCTAGGTTAACCCCCTGGGCTCCTGCTCTATGTGGGCGTATGTTTCGTTGATTGGCAAACAATATTTGTAATTTTTAAATTATCGCTGTTTACTTTGTTGTGCAAGCTGTCCTATTTAATTTTAATAGTGATATAACAATCATGGAGTTGGTACTGGGCATTGCTAAACGTCCCTCTACATGCCACTAGATACTACTTTGTTCGCTTACAATTGCATGCCTTTGTATTTACAAACTTTGAGTTGGAATACCTCTTAGGATCGATTGGCCTATATTTATTGCGTAGATATGGGTTTACCTTGCTACTGCTTTTGAGCAACCGTGTTGTTTTTTCACACATAAATACAACGCGCTTTTGCTTGTACCAAAAACCTTACCATTATAAATGCCACCAAGAATCCTAATATAAAACCAGTTAGAACATCTGCAGGATGATGCCAATAGTCAAAGATTCTGGTTAATCCACAGTATAATGTAAGATATAAACACAGAATCTGTAAAAATGGTTTAATTAACCAAACGGTGGGTACATGTAATCTCTGCTGTAAATATAACTGTAAAATAACATTATATACAATTAATGAATAAATAATTAACATTTCAATCCTGTTATTTTGTTTAAATTAAAATGTAAATATATACATTTAATATATTTAGACATTTTCGACAGTCGAGATCCTAACGACATGCCAATTGATTGGAAAATATATTCAAACCACCGGGAAAAATAACGCTGTTTTAGCCTATACCACACCAAGCTAATTAATATTCACATGGCCAAATGGTTGTTGACAGTTTGCAATACATAACATTATTAATTTATTAATTTAATTGTGTCTATATATGTATTTTCATTATTATACTCATTCTCAGATAAAAAATAAGTCTTACCAGTCGAAGTAATGACATAGTCAGACTTAAAGCAATTGCAACTTAATTAGAAATAAATATGGCATCCTATAAAATCACCAAATAAGAATAAAATTACTCTATACTATTTAACACACTTTGCTGTTACTTTGAAATATTATGAATAAATACTCACCACAAGATATGCCATACCATACATAGACATTGCAGCGTGACCAGATGGGAAGGATAATCTGTAAATGTCATATATTATTTTATTACTGATCTAATTTGTAAATATATTGGCAGTTGAGATATTCTTATGATTAACAAAGATATATGTCAGTAAAATGAGACAATGATGTAGACTCTGATAATTTCAGTACAAACCCGACTTACTTCCACGACACAATTCAATAGATGTAATCCGTATGCAGGTGTAAGATATCTATTTAAACCGAAAAACCCTTTAAATCAAAGGAAATTGTATGAGAATTTGGAAAAAGTTTCTGACATCAAGAAAATCTAGTTTCTCTAATGATGACGGTGATTTAGAATGGAGCTGAAGAAACCCACACTGAATGGAATGGAGCCCACATTAGCTAAATGCGTAATATTTAGAAATATATCTTTGTGGTATACAGATATAAGCATGCCTACCTTGATTGTTTAATACCAGAATCTGTACCTGCGCCACATTTAAACACATCAACATAATTTCCAGTACAATTATAATCCATAGGCTTACAAACGTCTAGGAAATGTGGTCGTAATCGTCCGATAGAATATTTCGTTATGTCTGATGTAAACTGTGTTACGGCCAAACCAAATAAGAAGGTAACGCATAGGTGAGAGATCTGTTCGCAGATCAATCTAGATCTTGACAATTTCATGCTACCCACAGCTTCTCTTTCATTTATTATAGACAGGGTATGGATTATTTCTCCTATACACATCTGTGAATGTAAAAGTACATCATAAATAAATGAAAGTAAAATTAGATGTTTAGAAAAGCCCGTCATGCCTCGGACACGATTTATTTTACTTCAAGTTCTGCATAGAAAAAAATCCTTCCAACTGTACGACTATTTCAAAACTGGTGAAATAAAACCTAAGTGATGGTTGGAATAGCGGCTACGATGTAAACTAAAGCGATGAAATGAAATTTAACGTCCTACTTTTCTGTACCGACTGGGCTAAGACTGGCATACAGTGTGCAATGAGGGAAATTTTGCCCGGACAGCGGGGCTACAGCCAGCAGTGATATTTGAAATAGTGGCTATGGTGTGAATTGTTGGAATAAGCGGCTATGACGGGGGCTGACAGCAGCGATAGCTAGAATAGCAACTATGGCATAACATATATTTAAGAGATTATAGCGTAAATTAACAGAAGTGATATATATGAGATATAGTATAAAGTTAGTATAAGGGGTAAAATATCAATAATGCATGTATAGCTAGTATAAACTATAACTTACAGCTATAATAGGTAGAATAGCGGCGATGGTGTACAGGACCGGTGTACTGATAGTGGATATTTTAAACGGATATTTAATGGAGTCGTCATTACAGAAAAATCCTCGTTGGTGTGGATCCACAAACAAGTATAATACACCAGATCCCATAAAAACTGAAACAAACAAAACAAAAAATCCTTGTGCGAACAAATTGCTCACGAATGGCGTATATGTAACAATTTCGAAAGAGGTGGGCTAATATACCTTCGACATATATTATGATATAACAGTAAGCAAGTTGGGGTTTAATCCCTGTGGTATAAACAGTTCTTGAGCCCAAACTTCGTCGTAAAAATAGTCGGCTGAATAGTATATGCTTTTATAGAATAAAAAGAATGATATAGATTTCGTGATATAGAAACCATGAAAGCAGAAAAGTACACCTTATAATTTCGCCCCGTGCCATTAACCAGAGTCGGATTAAACTTGCAGGGGGCACCTGGCTGAAAATGTCACTATGGGGCCATCGCATCAACAGTAAAAATTGGCCATATTCTGGTGATTGTATGTCAGTATGGTGTATAGATAGGTATGTTTGGCACGAGAGAGAGAGAGAGAGAGAGAGAGTGTGTGTGGTTTTTTTGTCATTATTTCGTAGTTCCTGATTCAGTTGAATCATTTGGAGTTAGACCATGGTAAAATCCGACACTGAATAAACCTTTGTGGTGTCCATGCTTATTTCGCCTAATAGTTAAACCAGGACGACGGTAACTATTACATTTTGTGTAAGCTACCCTATCTTTACCCAAAGAATATTTCATAAAACCATGTTTGTGTTAAAATCGGTAAACTATACATGATTTTCTATTAGCCAAATACCAAGACACATTTAACGTTAGTACGCTATTTAATCACATACAGAAAACAAACATCCCGCATTGAAAGGGGTATTTTTTTTATAAAAGGACATTCATATTAATGGATTCACAATATGCAATCGTCTTCGAAAGTATAGTCAGTATACCTTGTATGTATACGATTTTACTCGCGTGTGGTCTCCCCAAAGTTGCGTGGCATACTTTCTTGACTTAATACCCAGTAACAGATTAAAACTCAATGAAACCACATGGAAGGCATGGAAGGGGGGGGGGGGGGCTGTGCTTGCCGTCTCTAACAACCTCCGAACTAAACACTATAGGTCAATGAATTTTATTCGATTCTGATGAAACTTACAACGCATGTTTATAACCCAAAGATCTCGGTTCCTGTGAATATTCCTGTATTATGGCCCCTGATTGTACGAAAAATCACATTTGAACTTCTGGACTCCCTAGAGGTCTCAGTATTCATTTGATTTCAAAAACTGTTTAAATATTCCCGTTAGATCATAATAATGATTGAGTTTAAATTTCGTGAAAATCGGACCGAAACTACCCGGGGGGGGGGGGGATGGCTGAATGGTTAGCATCATTAGCACCGGTTTCCTCCCTCTGCTAAAGACCTCTACGCACAAACGAATTATGGAAATAAAATTAAAGCATATGTTAGTCCGGAAATGACCTAGTGTCGAGTGGACGTTACCTCCCCCCCCTCTCTCTCTCTCTCTCTCTCTCCGAAACTACCCGACAAAATGGCATGTAATACCAAGGTTATGGACCATCTAGAGGTCAGAATTTTCATCCGATTTTGATGAAACTTAAAAAATATGTTTATATCCCAAATATTCAAATATATCACCGTTACAACATAATTATGGGTGAGTCCGAATTTCCTGAAAATCGGACCGAAATTTTCCGTCAAATGGCCGATCCACTTTACGCAAATTTGTAAAAGCATGTAGGCCTAATACCAAGATTGTGGACCGTCTAGAGAGGCAACAATTTTCATCCCTATCCCGTTGTTTTTTAATTACCTAATCTATAGATACAACGGAAGTGAGATGGGCTTGAAATAATGATCGACTGTTCACCTAACTAACTAATCCCGACTCTCGCAGCTGGGGGATCAGTATAGAGTATAGCAGGGTTTTTTTTCTGAAAGTCTACATTCTAGAAGTTTCACTTCTATGTTAAAATGGGGCCCCTTCCAGTTACGTCATTGTATCTCCGAATAGTTACTTGCGTGCAATAACATACAGAATGGATTATGTATACTTGCGCCACCCTCCCCACCCCACCCCACCCCACCCCAACTCCACCGGACCTGCTTTCTGGGTGAGAGTGATATACCATGTAACTTTAAAACAAATAATTTTAACCTATCAAATGGTGAATTATGAAAATCTGTAAATAGAAGCGCCCAAAGCTCTAGGGTAATATAATACAGAGGCTACTAATAGAAACAATTAAAAAAACACATAGAACATTTGAAAATACAGGTTGGAGGATTTTCGCCTGAGGGATTGAATTCACCTTGAGGTTTTATATTTAAAACAATAATATTTATGGCTGTTGGTACATCCTGTTAGAATACATAAAACGGAGTTTTATGTCATAATTATTTCAGGTCGTAACATATGTTTCAAAATCCAATAAACATTTACTTGTTCTGATAAATATTTTTTTTCTAAACTTGTATCAACAGGAAGAAGTTTAGACCAATAGGTAATGAACAGATGCTACTCGTGGTTGTAATTTAAAGAGGACGCCATTTTCTGTTTAATAAAACGTTTTTCAACACACAAGCATTTTGCTCCTAAATCCCCCTTTGTCAGCATTTCCAGCAACATTCTTCTCCACACCATTTCCTTCTTTATAATCTAAATCACCCCAAAATCATTGATTCCCTGAACATGTTATCTTGGGGCCAAAATGAGAAATTTACCCAGCTACCTATAAATTTCTCATCGAAAGATCCTATCAGATCTAAAATGTCTTCAGAGTTTTTAATCAATTCAGCCAAATTTGGTGAGTTTGTTTTTCTACAATTAAAGTAAAAACATACCAAAACAACTGTTCAAATAAGTAGAGTGTACAATTTTCTATGTGAATGTGTTTTGTTAGATTTGTTTGTCTTTATTTAGAGCTACATAAGAAGCTAAGAAAACATTTGAAATTCTGATTATCGTGAGAGCTGTAGTACAATAATGTTGCTTAATGATTTTATACGCTTCTTCTTAAATTGAGTTGTTATCTGGTCCCCTGCCCAATTGTTGGGTGGTAAAATGGAGGAAGTAAATCTTTAAAAAATCTCTTGTTCTCCTTTAGCAAGCTTTTTCATCCCAATTTTGACCATGTGTTTCAAGCACACCTGGACAATACTTACAATATTTATGTTTTCACAGAGCTAATAAAATGTTGATAAGACTGGATACAAATAGATCTTTGAAAGGTAATAAATAATCCGTTAATCTGGGGTGTTAATTCATTGGATTAAAATTCATTTCTGTGGATACAGTGAGAGCATACACATCTCAAAATTGGGTCTTTCTGTAGACCTATGGACAGATCTCCACTTTCAAAAACAAATCAACACATAAAACTTAAGGAACTAAACTTCTTTGATTATTGGTCAAAATAAAGTTTGGATCAGGTGTGTTATTTTGATTCAGTTTGTTTCAGATGAGTAAGCGGGGTCTGCTTGTTGACTAATTTTAGGTTTTCTGTGTCGAGATTGGAACACACAATCTGTTAAATCTCAACACTGAGATAGACGTAAAATTTTACACGAAGACAGACTTGTCATCCCATAAAATAAATCAGCATAACAAATCAAATACAATTAACAAATAAATTCGTTTTGGCCAGAAACAAAATGGTGTAGCCATTTTAATTAAATCCATATTTTAACTGTAAAAATAACAATATACAGTCGAAAGCACATAGATAGGCCTATACAATCAGGGCTAAAACACACAATTATTGTAGATTAAACTAGGTTACAATGTAGCTTCCTCGTGTATTACATATTATAATTAGATTATGAATACGTTCATTTTAAAAATTTTAAAGAATTATACAGTAGCAACTTACCTATTATAAATAAGACATAATTAGAGAAATTCTGTAATAGACAGAGTTTCGTGCTGTTCATCTTGGGGGAGAATAGATAGATTGCGTTCTTGTATTAACTGTAGCTTAAAAACTGAAGACACTGGCGAAGTCGTAACTATTAAAAGCCGTGTAACCTATATTACCAACTAAACAAAATATACACAGTGTTATCTATTATATGTAATCTCATATCCTAGGTTCTCAGGTGAGAGTGACATTTACAATATTTTAATTAAAACTTCCGTTCTATTTATATAAGCCTACGTATATTAACACATTTTAATTTAATACATTTGTGTTGGGGTTTTTTAACAGCCGTTTAAAGATTTCTTACAGTCGTATACTTTTAATGGGGAAAGAATTTCTGTTTTTGAGAAAATAAAATATATTTTGAACATAACTGGGCGATTATGTTTGATCCGACTCCCTTTTTTCGTCAACTATATTTCAACAGATGATTTTGTGACATGAACATCTGTATCGTTCACGTTGATATTTGTATCGTTCACGTTGATAACTTTAATCCTAACCCATGAATACTTTCGGGGGTATGAGTTAAAATGGGAGTTCAGTATTTGGGGGGATAAAAGCAAGTCGAATTAAGCATAACCGCCCATTGCTGTAATATTGTGCAGTTTTGTAAAACGTTTTTTTTTAAAACACCCATTTGGTAGGGTCCTTAAAATTTTTAAGATTTATCCACGGATATTACCCAAAAATCCGATTGGCTTGTCGAGAATACTAGTGGTCGCTCTTACCATAAAATTTTCGCCATGACTATTATCTCCATTGTCTCATGATTATTCTAGTTGTTTGGCTATTCGGTCTTCGCGAATAGATAAATGAAATATTGCTTAATTGAACTAATCAAATAAGAAAATTGTGCATGCATCAAATCCCGAAATCCAAACCAGAGTTGCAAGAAAAATAAGAAACTGTTAGGTTAAGTATGAAAATTAATGTCGGCAGCTGGTCAAATTCTGGTAATGTTCTTTAAGACAATAATAGGTTATTGTATTATTAGCCGAAATGAAAAATAAAATGAAAAATATCCTTAAAATCATCAATATCTTTCAGATATCTGTATTATTTCTAAACGTATTACGTCGCATGCGGATGTCAATCGCGGTTTTAATTCCAACCATGTTGTAGTGCGCTGTCGGCAGTATTTTCAATGTAATTCAATATTTGGGTATTAAGAAATTTTATTTGAAAGTCAGCGATAATGATGTCTATTGGCCACAACATTACAGAAAGTTCCATATAAAAACACGACATACCCGTGGGCGCCCACATCGTGGAAAGTCTACACATATTTTCATTGGGATTTTTTGTTATGGTCAGAATTGTGCAATGGCTAAACCACATATTTGTCTTGTAGTTTTTGTCAAAATGGCCTATCTGTAAGGCTGGTCTTTGTTTACTGAACGTTTGTCACAATGATTTGGGTTTGTTAGACTTTTTCTCTAGGTGGCTTTTAGTCAGTGAATTTTGGCATGGATGGCATTTTTGATCCGGTGTATTTCCCATGCATACGTAACTATCGCTCGGAAACATTATCTTTCTCTGCAGGTATCGTGTCTCTTATGTTCAGAATGTTTCCCATGGTGACATCCTGAAGTTATTTTATCATGTCTCTTTAGTATTTCGTCAGAATGACTTTCATCTAAAAGGTGTAGTACTTCCATTATCAATATGAACAAGGGCAAATAAAGTAAAATAAGTTTATTGTATACATATATGTATGTAACTGAGGATCTATCAGTAATAAATTATAATACATGGACAAAGAATTACTTATGGAATTCCATAAACCCATTTCAAGATTCCTCCAAGAAATAAAACAATTTTAGAAACACATTTCTTGAAAACTTAAATTGTCGAAAAAAAGAAGATTTTATTTTTGATGATTAAATGATGTCATTATGAATTAATGGCCTTCTTAAAAGTAATCCTAACTATGATTAAAGGAGGAGTCTTAGTAAATTGGTTAATTATGTGTGAAAGACCATTAGACACTTGTATTCTAATTTCTAGTCCTATGCAACAATCTCAAGCTCTGGAATACTTTTCCAAAGAATACAAATTCTGCAATATATATGCCTGGCTAACAATATTTGTACCCTTGCACTTATTGTAGTTGCAAACGATCATTGCTACTATCAAGTCTTTGTGAAATTCCTTAAATGAGTTACATACCCATGTTAAACAAATCTATAAAACATTGCATACTTAACCCACTTATATTTACCGTGTCCTGTGAAATCTAGGACTGCTCCTTTAACATTGATTTGAATTAAGTTTTCAAGAACTTGACCGCTTTTCTATGATTTCGGGTATAAAGAATTTATGATGCTGACAATTTAATGAAATGAAAATTGCCTGAACACAGCTCTCTGAAGACCAATTACATGTAGGCTAAAACACACACTGGGATCTCACAGTAACATGATTCATAATAAGGCAGATTTCTGTCCAATGCTGGGCATGGGGTTCAGCATGGCACATAGTAAAATTGTTTTAACAATTTTATGGTAGTCATCGGATTCCAACATGACAGTGAAGCCCCAATGTATGTAGAAAGCAAAACATGCAAGGAAGCCTTCTCTTTTTCAACTATTAGTATTAGAGCCATATTCCCAAAATGCTGACTAAGTTTAAGCAATAGTCTTTATTTTCCATAATCCATTCAGAGTTAAATTCTAGTCAGCTTCAGAAATATGATGTTTAATAAAAGTTCATATTCGACAAAAACAATATTATCGGTTTTTATTCTGGGCAGATTCTTTACGAGCTGCATCTTGTAATAGTTGTGTGTCACATTCATCAGCTGGTAACTGGACATACCGCACTACAGATCCCCTAATAAAACAATTCTTTACTGATAACTGCAAAACAAATAAATTAATAATTGAATGAAAGCAATATGAATAAAGCAGCCATTTCAGAATATATATTCACCATGGAACAGCAACTCCAATAAATATACCATTACCTCTTTTTTTAAAACCCATATATCAAAAGTTAATCATACATTATGCAAGATCTAAATATGCCTCTTGCAGGTCTTTGTTTAGGCCTTAAATGTTATCTAAACTATTAATTAGACATTAATTAACTTATCCAGACCATAATCAACTCTCGATGTCATCGCTAGCCTGCAATATTTAGCAGATTGGAATATATTTTTGGAAAAATAATTAAATGTGAAAATGGATAGTAATGATGATCGAGGCCTAAAATTCAAAGCTAATATCTCGTTTCAAAGTGGAGCAATTTGATTGAAATTTTCAGCTTTATCTAATCTTCCATAATGTCCCTTTATATATAGTCGTTATTTGCTTGACTTACCATGTGTGGATACTTATCTGGATCTGTAACATTAATATCTGTTAATTTGATATTCAAAAACTGATCCACAGAATGCAAGGTTCCACATATACTGAAAACATTAAAACAATATTTAATAAATTTATAAAATCAGATTACATGCAAAATTTTAGACAAATCTGCAAATCAATGCACAAGATACATAGGCTTAGTGTAGGCAGTTGAAATTTATTTAGCTATGGTAGGCTTAATCCATAATGGTATAGCATAACAAAATGTGACAGGATGCTCCTGCATTCCCAGACATTACACCAACTGTTTAGTGAGCCAATGGCAATCACCCAAGTCAGTAGGATATATTTAAATTCCCGGAGTGTACAATCTTGGCATACTAATAATATGTCGAAAGTCTGATAAAAAAAAAATGCTTGATTAACCAACAATTTTTGCAGTATGGGACGGGAAGGCGTACCGGTACATGTACATATATATATATATATATATATATATATCATTATTTTATTTTAAAGACGTTACAGGCATTAATAAACAAAATGAATTTGCACGGGGAAATTATTAATATCAAATTGTTGCTAAAAACGAAAGAAACATATCAGATTTGTCTAAACGTTTTTATCTACTTTCTCATGCGGTATGTAGCTATCCCCAGGCAGAGCCAGATACAAAACAACAAAGTCACAGAGCAGTGACAGCACAGCACATATTTACATCCCTGCTACAAGAACAAACCTCAAATCATTCTTCAACTCCACGACAACTTCTTTCCCAACCAAAGACTTGAAAAAGGAATAAAATAACTGAAAAATAACCAGAAAATAAACGTTTTTTACACACGCACTTGGGTTCAGTCTCTTCAGGTGATTAAGGGGAGGTAACTCCATTTAGAAATCACGTTAAAACAAATATCAGTGGTGAGAGAAAAATATGATTAAACCCCCTAGATATATCTCCCAACTCATCAATTTAGTCATTTTTATTGAAAAATGGTATTTACTTTTAGTAAATGTTCAATTTAAAATATGTGTCACTGATAATAAATCCATAAAAACCACAAAATTGACGACAAACATTACCATTTTCGACTTGATGCTCCCGCAAAATGCAACTCGCGTGTTTCACGAGATTCCAACTTTCAATAACCGATTTTTTTGCGTCTCAGGGATTGACAATCCATAATACAAATCCGGATCATTAAAAAATTAGTCCCCATCATCAATAAGTGGCGTTTCTTTGTCTGGTAATTAGGCAATTAACATTTTCAATGATTGGTCACGTGATTTACAGCGAGATTTCATCCTCCATTACAGAAAACGGCAATCTCATCGTGGTTTTGTTTATCTTCTGAAAATTCGCAGGAACCGTAGACACAAAACTGATTGGCTTTGAAACAGAGAAATGGATTCACATATGAATGAACTTTATGGAAATAATGGACCGAAACAAGTTCACTTCAGTCCCTATGCTTTCAATGGAGGGTAAACACCTTTGAAATAGGCCTTATAATATAAATTATTATTAGACAAGAGTTCTATCTTGGTCTGAGTGGTCTTCTGTTATTACTACTGGTCATGGTCCGAACGGTCTTTGGTCCGAGTTGTCTGTTTACCGTCTATAAAACTATAAGTTATAAATAAGACGGTAGATCTACTTGATCAGATCTACAATGTTTTCGGATATAGGTCTTATTAATTTATAGCCTATTATAGAGTCTTATGACTTATATCTATCAAAATTGCAGGTATTGTCCAATATTTTAAAAGTTTAAAGTTAAAAAAGGGTTAACTATCCATTAAAATGTGATCAGGTTCAACCTGTGCGAAACAGACGTAAAGTTACGAACACACACAGGCTCTCTTACATTCGTATCCTGGACCTGGAACAGGACCCAACCAATAGGGCGACCTTCGGTTATAATTTTTTCACGACTAGTGGTCGGAACTTGAAACCGAACGTGAATGGTCCGGGCCATCGTCTGTTCAAAGATGGCTGTCCCCAGAGACATGGTGATGTCATTTTACTCTGCTTTAGACCTTAACCATAACCCTGAAAAAAAACCCCTTAACCTCAAGGAAGGTCTATACATCTCTCCATGGACGATAATTAATCGCTGTGTTATATAGTTTAATAAACAAATAATACTTTCATGAAGTTAAATTTGCGCGACTCAAATTAATTTTAGAGACGACAAAATTCCTTGTAACTTGACTTTACTTTTTGCATAGCGCAAATATTGAAATAATGCGTAATTTTTAGACTTGCATAGATTCAGACATAACATACGAGACAAAAAATATCTGCTCATAGAAGTAGCAACCATTTAAAATTCATTCAAGCTTTCTTGAAAACATATACATAACAAAAATAGATTCTTTCTACATATTTTACGCTTTCGTTTCATAGACACCGCGGGGGGTTGGATGGCTGAATGGTTAGCGTGCGCGCGTTGTATCATAAAGTCTGTCATTGAGTCGACTGGCGTGGTTTCGAATCCCCGGTTGTACGTGGCAAGGAGTAGGGTCGCTTGTCCAACCTCATGGGTTTTTTCCGGGTCCTCCGGTTTCCTCCCACTGCTAAAGACCCCTACCCTACGCGCAAGCGAATTATTGAAATAAAATTAAACCATATGTTAGTCCCGAAATGACCTAGGTTGTGTCGAGCGGACGTTAAACCCCATTTCTCTCTCTCTCTCTCATTCATCGACACTGCCATCTTGGAACTACTCCGACCATGCCACAATACCATGGTTCAGTATTTCCGGACTATGGTCCAGACTAAATGAAATTCGGATTCAGTTAGTTCGACCATAGTCAAGAAATCACGATAACTGAAGGTCGCCTAGGAGGTAGTATAAGTTAGGTCCCCTAACTAGTAGTAGTAGGCTACCCACTAAGGTAACCTAATGTCAATCAAATAAATTTTAATATTCCTGGTACCCTCTTTTTGTAGCTTAAAGCTTGTTATCAGAGGTAGAGGTGCCGTACACTAATATGCAGTCAATATCACAAGATTTATATCATTTCGCATAAATCTTTTTTCTCACAAAGAGCCAAGCACATTCATTGTCCGCATGTCACTGCAGGTCACAAGCGTAAAATTGCATGTGTTTTAATGTCATTTATTTATCTTAATCTACAACTAGAAATACATGATGTACTGTACCGGACACTGGTAAATAACATATGCGGTACTCATATTTCATATACATGTATTAAAAAAGTGGACAGAAACTTGTGTTTTAGGTGAATAAAGTTACTCCAAGCCCAATAAAAACATCAGTGATATGACTGACAAATTGACAATACTGCTACCTGTAGTTGTACATGTAGTATCTACAGACTACTTTTGTCTGCATTTTTGTTTTTCACTATCGCTTTAATTATTATTAAGCTTATGAATATCCTATTGTATGCACATCTATATTTTTATTTGTAGGACTGTATTAGCTGTAGCTGGTGAAGATTTCGCTGTTGTTGCTTCTGATACCCGACTAAGTGAAGGCTTCTCAATCCATTCTCGGGACACACCAAAAACATATAAATTGTAAGTTTTTAAAGAGGCATTATTCAAGAGCTAGATCTGCCTATTGCAGGTTTTTTTTAGGCCATAAATGTTATATGAGTTATTAAATTAGACATTTATTAACATGACTAGACCATAATCAACTCTCAATGCCATCGGATGGCTCTGATTTTAAGTAGATTAGAACTGTTAAATTAAATAAGGAGAAGCGAGGCTAAGACTCAAATATCCAGCACCGTGGTTACAATAATAAACAATCAATGCACACATCTTTTCAAAACTACGTTGTATAAACATTGATAACTTCGCTCAGAATAAAGTAATTTGAATGAAATTTTCAATATATTCATTTCGCATTATCTATTTTGACGGTTAGTTCCTTATCTGAATCTTACATAATGTATCTTTAAATACCAGGGGTCTGTTTCACAAAATTTTAACTAAGATAAAAATCCAAATTTTAGTAATTTGATTGGATAATATTAGATTGATTTTAGTGCTTAGCCAATCAAAATTGAAGTATCTACTAAAATTTGGATTTGTCTTTAGTTAAGATTTCGAGAAACAGGGTCCAGGTAGCAATAATATTGTTAATTAATTTATAATAATAGTCTTTGCATGGAGTAAAACATGGTTTTGGGTTAATGAATCCATCATGATTATAGACAGTCGTTTATTGATATTTGATATTATTTTTTATATTACAGAAGTGACAAGACTGTTTTAGGTAGTTGTGGTTTCCATGGAGATGTCTTAACATTAACAAAAGTAATTGGAGCTAGACTAAAAGTATGTACTACAGGCTTATAAATACACCATGTACTATTAGTAGATATTCCAAAATATATGTTTCTCTCCACAGGCAACACACAATATCTAGTGCATCAGACCACATACTTGTACCACTATGAATCTTACTTTATTTTTTAGAAAGTAGGCCATCATCATCCATGTCAACATCAATGATGTGTTAATTACTGACTGTTATGCATGCATATGAATATTCATTGGTGAAACATTTTTTGTTGATTGGCTATTTCTGTCGTTAGAGATATATATAACAGTCTCCTCAAGACAGCTGTATGAGTTTTGTGCATGCTATTATCTCCAGAAAACTAAGAGAAGATATGTTAACAAAGTGATTCCAAAGTTTTGTGGATTAATAACCTCAACATACAGTATGTTGTTGCTATACGTTCACAAAGGTCAATTGGTCTTTTAACAAAACATGCAGTTTTAATCTAATAAATTGGTCATTATTATTTAAAAATTTCTTTGAATTTCTTTTCTTCAGATGTTTGAACATAGCCATAATAAGAAGATGAGTACATCATCAATAGCTGCCATGTTATCTACTATGTTATATTATAAAAGATTTTTTCCTTATTATGTTTATAATATTATTGGTGGTATAGACGATGAAGGTAAGTAATTGGCCAAGGCCCATAATATCATTGTTGTTAAGTTTTACCCTAGATGGTGAATAGGATTCTGAAATAGGGGCCACGGTGGCTGAGTGGGTAAGACGCTGGCTCGCTAGCCTGAAGGTCACATGTTCGATCCCTGCATTGGGATTTTCCTGCATTGGATTCCCCTTGTTAGCTGTTTAGTCATTTGGATGAGACGGAAAACCGAAGTCCTGTGTACACATTGGCGTGCCCGTAAAAGATCACTTGGCAGTTGGAATTCGATATAAGAGTAGGCCATAGTGCCGCTGGCCGGGCAAAATTTCACTCATAGCACACTGTATGGCATATGCCCGTCTTCATTAGCTCAGGCAGAGCAGAACATTAGGACATTAAACCCCATTTCGTTTCATTTCTGATTCTGCAATGTTGTGGCTATTTTTACTGACCTGAACCGTTTACTATTTTTATGTGTCATAAAGTTTCTATAAATCCTTTGCCTTTGGAAAGGGTTATCCCCCAAAAATTAAAACAAGAAGAATTCAAATGGTTTTGAATAAAGGGAAACAACTCGGTTTAGTGAACCACTGGGGGCATTTTGATTTTCACTGTAACAATATTATGTTAAAAAGACAACAGGATTAATAAGTATTGATTTTTACAGGTAAAGGATGTGTTTATAGCTTTGATCCTGTAGGATCGTATGAAAGAGAAGCTTACAGAGCTGGTGGTTCAGCTAGTTCAATGTTACAGCCTTTACTGGATAATCAGGTACAGCTCAGTTATTTGTATCAGTTGGGTATGGCCTTACAAGAGTCTCAAAATGTATGTCAAAGGTTTAAATCAAAGTAACTCTCTAAGTGATGGGTTGCCCAAATAAGAGAGCAGAAGATTCTGATTGTATTGGCAGAATTGTAATAGAGTGGCATGTATGGAATCAGGGCTCGACACTGCCGGCGGCCTCGCCCTTCGAATTTAAGAATTTGGCCGCAGATTCGTGGCCGATTTTTAACTATCCACGGCCATGTATGGTTGCCGATTAGTGCTGGGTATCGAGAGTTATTTTTACTATCGATAATCGGTATCGAAACAATCTTATTTTCACGATCGTAATGAAGAATGGATTACGTGTTTTAAAGTCAAACCATACGATGTTTTTGTTCGTCTAATTAATAATAAACTGTCTCATATTACGTATAAATTGTTTAAATAATGTAGCCTTGGTTCCGAATGACGAAATACCATTGATAGGCCTATGTATGTGCAGGAACCAAAATAAAATGAGCACGAGTCGATTCAAAACATTGCGTACGTGAGCGCGACAAATACCAACATGGTGGACAAATCCAAGTTGAAATCGTTGTCGATTCGTGTGCAAAAACTAAAGAAAATGTAATAGCCTAAAGAGCTTGTTATCTCGAATTCGTAAATTGTTTATTATTATTAAAAAAATACAGCTTTGATTCCGAAAGAAGAAATACAAATGTTTTTGTCATCCATCATTGCTATGTCATTTATAAATAATGAGCAGACGAATTCTGAAAGGGGAAAAACTCTGAATTATTTACACATCCGGGTATCTCCAATTTAGTGAATTCTATGATATGGCGATAATTGTTTCAAACTAAAGTATTGTTTAAATGTGGGTGAATTTATTTTAACATTTTTTTTAAAAAGCTAAATTGAGATTGAGACTTTGAAGTAAATATAAAGTGACCGATGTAGGCTATGGTATTATTATATATATACAATGGATTAAGTCACAGAAAACATCGAGTCGACTCCTACGCATGCACGAAAAATAGACGAAGAGAACGATACCGGTACTCGATAGTGCTTTTTGGCATATCTTATCGATACTATCGATATTTTACCCAGCTCTGCCGATGATATAGCAATACTTTCAACTCTCAATATGGCTACATGCCGATTTTTTAAATATTTTTTTAGAATAAAAAAATTGTACTAAAAACGGTACGATAAGAATTTTCTGCATTATTTTTGTAAAAGTAATACAAATATTGAACGTGATGTGATAGGCAGGCCTGTAACAACATTTTGACTGAGAAACAAGATCTACAATAAACAGATTTACATATGATCGACCTATTAAAACCTTCTAAATAAGCTGATAATATAATTCATGACATAAAAATTGGCCTTGGATTTTCAATTTTTGGCCTTGGATCAAGGTTGCACTTTGGCCTATCGTAAGCCAAAGTTGGCCTTCGATCGAAAAAACGAATTTCGAGCCCTGTATGGAATATAGACCGACCAAAGTTCTATAAGCCTTGATAACTGCAGTGTGGTGATGTAATTTAGGGCGACGTGAAGTTAGCTTGTTGTTTGTTGTTCGGTATTCGCGAATAACGAACAATGAGCTGGTTTGTTGTTCGTTATTTACCAGATATGGCATTAGTAATATAATAAAGGCACTTTTAGAGAGAATACGCCGGAAGTGGGTTTTTATTAGCCTAATTGGTGCATAAATCTTCAAAGTCTTGGGAATAAATATTCTAACAAACTGGCTCGTTGTTCGTTATTCGCCAATATGATACAGCTCGTTGTTCGGGTAGAAAGAGAGGTTGTTAGAATCTTTTTCCCAAGACTTAGAATATTTATGAACCAATTAGGCTAATAAAAACCCACTCCCGACGTATTCTCTATAAAAGTCCCTTTATTATATTACTAATTCCATATCTGGTGAATACCGAACAACAAACCAGCTCGTTGTTCGTTATTCACCAATATGAAACTACTTGGTGTTCGAGTAGAACGACAGCTTGTTAGAATCTTTTTCCCAAGACTTTGAAGATTTATGAACCAATTAGGCTAAAAAAATCCCCACTCTCGGCTCAATCTCTCTAAAAGTGTCTTTATTATATTACTAATTCCATATCTGGTGAATACCGAACAACAAACCAGTTCGTTATTCGTGAATACCCAACAACAAACCAGCTCGTTGTTCGTTATTCACCAATATGAAACAACTCGTTGTTCGGGTATAAAGAGAGGTTGTTAGAATATTTTTCCCAAGACTTAGAATATTTATGAACCAATTAGGCTAATAAAAACCCACTCTCGGCATAATCTCTCTAAATGTGTCTTTATTATATAACTAATTCTATATCTGGTGAATAACGAACAACAAACTGCTCGTTGTTCGGGTAGAAAGATGGGTTGTTAGATCTATTTCCCAAGACTTTGAAGTTCTATAATCCAATTAGGCTAATAAAAACCCACTCGCGGCATAATCTCTCTAAAAGTGCCTTTATAATATTACTAATTCTATATCTGGTGAATAACGAACAACAAACCAGCTCGTTGTTCGTTATTCGCGAATACCCAACAACAAACCAGCTCGTTGTTCGTTATTCGCCAATATGAAACGACTTGTTGTTCAGGTATAAAGAGAGGTTTTTAGAATCTTTTTCACAAGACTTTGAAGATTTATGAACCAATTAGGCTAATAAAACCTCAATCTCGGCGTATTCTCTATAAAAGCCCCTTTATTATATTACTAATTCCATTTCTGGTGAATACCGAACAACAAACCAGCTCGTTGTTCGTTATTCACCAATATGAAACTGCTCGTTGTTCGAGTAGACGGACAGGTTGTTAGAAACTATTTCCCAAGACTTTGAAGATTTATGAACCAATTAGGCTAATAAAAACCCACTCTCGGCATAATCTCTCTAAAAGTGTCTTTATTATATTACTAATTCCATATCTGGTGAATAACGAACAACAAACCAGCTCGGTGTTCGTTATTCGCGAATACTGAACAACAAACCAGCTCGTGTCTTTATTATATTGCTAATTCCATATCTGGTAAATAACGAACAACAAACAAGCTCGGTGTTCGTTATTCGCGAATACCGAACAACGAACAGCGAACAACAAGCTAACTTCACGTCGCCGTAATTTAGCTGCTATTATTATATCAAATTTCTGTGTTTACCTGACCGGTATAGTGGGATTGAACAAGTTCAATTCCAAGATGTTTAGTTGGGTGAGAGAGAAATGGGGTTTAACGTCCACTCGACACGAACTAGGTCATTTCTGGACTAACATATGGTTCAATTTTATTTCAACAATTCGCTTGCGCGTATGGGTCTTTAGCAGTGGGAGGACCGAATCCCTGGTTGTACGTGACAAGGAGTAGGGTCGCCTGTCCAACCTCGTGGGTTTTCTCTGGGTCCTCCGGTTTCCTCCCACTGCTAAAGACCCCTACGCGCAAGCGAATTATTGAAATAAAATTAAACCATATGTTAGTCCCAAAATGACCTTGTAAGTTTGTGTCGACTGGGCGTTAAACCCCATTTCTCTCTCTCTCCCTGTATATTATCCTGCCGTATATATATATCTGAATTATTACTTTGTAGATTGGTTTTAAAAATCAAGAAGGTGCCACGGTTGTCCCCCTTAGCAAAGAAAAAGCTGTAGCCTTGGTTAAAGATGTGTTTATCTCAGCAGCTGAAAGAGACATATACACAGGGGATGCCATTATAGTCCAGGTTGTCACAAAAGATGGTGTAAAAACAGAACAATTTCCATTGCGTAAAGATTAAAATTCAAATCATCCAGTCATCTTGGTCATTAAACATTGGTGCAGATATTCAAACCATTAGCTATATATGTATTTGTTAAGACATTTCACTGTATATAATAAATATTATTAATATCAAAATCTGTTTATAAATCTAGGCCTTTGTCTGTAAAATCTAATTTTCAATTTAGAAACAACTTATATGCAGAATTTGAGACGGTTGTTTACTCTCTACTTGTGGAGGTTGCAGTGACAAATCTCCTTTGTCTGTAAAATCTAATTTTCAATTTAGAAACAACTTATATGCAGAATTTGAGACGGTTGTTTACTCTCTACTTGTGGAGGTTGCAGTGACAAATCTGTTTCTAAGATGACGTAATCGTATTGCTTGATCTTCCTGGAGTGACGTCACACGTGGCGCCCCCGCCCTTGGGCGGTCGGCAATAGTTCCAGTTTGAAGCACTCTCATTCTAAGATTAATTATTGTCTGGCGTGAACAATTAAAGGCTCTTGCAACAGTGACCACAGACTGACCAGCATAGAGCCTACCTATAGCACGTAGACGTTCTACATTTGAAAAGCGCGGCATTTTCTAACAAAGATGAAAATAACAATTTTAATTTGTTTTTCCAGTTCAAGTTACGTGTGCGTGTTCAGTTTAAGCAAACTTGCATCGATTGACCTCACAAGTTTGTGTTTGCACGTGTTGTTTCAGGTTTTTCATCTTTATATGCTCAAAAGTCACGTGATCCAAGTGACTTTACAATTTTATGAAATTAAAGGCTTCTTACTACTTACTATCGTTAGAAATTCACCAGTGTCAAGTTTTTAATTTGGCTGAGTATATAACCCATATTGGTATTCAAGGAGTTCATCTGCATGTCAAATACTTTAACTAGACCAATGCTTGGAGTTTTATAATTGTCTTGTTGAACATGGTAATACATCTTTAAAGTGAGTGCTTTTAGCTTGTGATCAAGTTTTAAGAGATTTGTTTTCTTGAATACCGGTAATTCCCCTGTATTTATGCTGGTAAAAATGTAAATTTAAAAGGTTAATAACAATGGAACAGTAAGAAGACTATTACAGTAATCAAGGAAGGATAAAATCAATGATCTGGAAGAGTTGTATGAGAGTCAGAAGATGGCAGGTGGAACCAGGGCCTTCCTATCACATGTGTACACCAGGCAATTTGAAAAATAAAAGATTCGTATTATTAAATAGCAGCAACCTTAATTAAAGTGAAATTTAGGCCTCCTTGAATGCAGAACGAATGTAGGATTTGGGCCATCTGGCATTTAATTGATCTTTGGACCAAACTCACTATATACAGTAAACCTCGCATAAGTCGGATCTTCACTCAACTCGGATAAAATCGTTTGGACCCTTTGATCCTGCGCGCAAGACAGGTCTTTGCTCAACACGGATCAAAATGTTCGGTCTTTTTTGATCTTATTCCAGCTTTTTTCCTTCGCCTGAGTTGGATCAACAGTATGTTCACAACATGTGGTTAAAAATGCCATTGAAATCCAAATACAGGGCAGCGCACAAATTTGTGCAACTCGGCCATATAAGACGAAATGAAATTGGAATTTTTGAAAAAATTCGATTGTAATTGGGCTAGGCAAAGCAATAATTGATTGAAGTTTCTCAGCTTTTCAACGATTCTAATTTTTCCCCACCCCAGCTTACCTTAATTGCGTTTCGTCTTGTATGGCCAAGCCACGTAAATCCGTACGCCACCCCTCATCCAGACCTTAGAATAATAATAATATATGCATTTATATCGCGCTGACATTCACTACTGATAGTGCTCTGTGCGCTGGTTGTTCAATACTAATAGCAGATTTGAAAAAGAAAAGTTTTCAATTTAGTTTTGAATATGTTGAGACTCGAAGATGATTTATTGTCAATAGGTAACTCATTCCATTTGGTGGCTGCAGCATATTGGAAGGATCGCATCCCATATGTCTTGGAGTAAAATTGTGGAACTGTAAAAAGCATCAAATTTTGTGCTCGAAGTTGGCGTTTTGGGTTGTAGAGCGTGAATAGTTCCTGAAGAAATATTGGAGAAGTTCCATGAAAACACTTGTATGCAGTAGTCAAAATTTTGAAATTTATTCGGGCAGATACTGGTAGCCAGTGTAGCTCTCTTAATATCGGTGTAATATGATCAAACTTGTCCTGGTGACAATTCTTGCTGCCGTATTCTGAATATTTTGAAGCCGTTTAAGTTGTTCCTGATTTGAATTTGCCAGAAGTCCATTGCAGTAATCTAGTTATGATAAGACAAGAGCACTTGTTAGCTTTTTGGTTGCGTCGGTGGTTAAACATTCACGTAGTTTACTGATGTTGCAGAGCTGGTAGTATGTAGTTTTACAGATGTTTGATACTTGTTCGTTAAGTTTCAGATGTTTGTCAATGTATACACCAAGATTTTTCACTTTTTTACGTGGGCTGGATGGTGCTAGTGCCGATCGCGATGGTTTGGTTTGGTTTGACAAATTAAGCTTCTGTAATTTACTCTTGGATCCGATCAACATAAACTCTGTTTTGGGTCATCCATAATTTTATTTCCTCACAGCAATGTTCCATTTGATCAAGACAGTCTCTAGTATCCTCGACTGCACATGACAAGTACAGCTGGTTGTCATCAGCATATTGGTGCTGATTGACACCATGTTTGGCAGTAATTTCGCAGAGGTTTGGTGTAGAGTGTGAATAACACAGGACCAAGGACGGATCCTTGAGGCACTCCTTGGTTTAGTATAGATGGTTCCGACAGCAGACCAGAGATGATGACTTGTGTCCTGTTTTTCAAATAGGATTCGAACCACTCAAGAGCATGTTCTTGTATGCCGATATATGATTTCAGACGTAGAAGCTGCTTTTGTTGGTTGATGGTATCAAAGGCTGCTGATAAGTCTAGCAGGACCAATGATGATATCTGTCCACTGTCACAGCTTATTAGTAGGTCATTTATTACTTTGGTGAGAGCTGTTTCTGTACTATGGCTCTTGCGATATGCCGACTGGTGTTTATCCTGCAGACTGTTGACCTCTAGATGTTCAAAAAGTCGTACTCCAACAGATTTTTCTAGCACCTTAGACAAAAAATGGTAGATTCGATACGGGTCGATAATTACTATGCTGATTTTTGTCCAAGTTTGACTTCTTTAATAAAGGTCGAACAAGAGCTGCTTTGAAACTCTTTGGCACAGTGGCGGATTTAATAGACATGTTGATGATATTTGTAATTGGGATGATGAGGCAATCTAGAAATCAATTAGAAGATGAGTTGGGATCGGGTCTAGTTCACAACTTTTAGCAGGAAGTAGAGATATAATTTGACGAACCTCTTCGGTTGTGAATGGATTAAATGAAATTACAGGTGATTTGGAAAACGGTGTGTTGTAGGTTAGTAGGGAGTCAGTATTTTGATCGATTGAAGACTGAAGTTTCTCATATATCGTTGATATTTTATTTTGGAAAAATGACGCGAAATCGTTTGCAGTTTCTTCAGATGTTTTTCCCTCAGGTAGTAATTCTTCGTTTGTTTTATTGCATAATTTAGATGTTAAAGAGAACAGCGTTTTAGAGTCTGACTCGCAGTTTTCTATTTTAGAGTTAATATATTCCCGTTTGGCACTGCGAATCATCGAATTGACCTTTCGTCTTTGACATACGTACATTTGTCGATGGACTTCCAAGCCGAATCTTCTCCATTGTTTCCGGATCTTCTCCATTGTTTCCATTGTTTTCTACGAATCGTTTTTTCCTGTTTAATGTCGTCATTATACCAAGGTGACTGTTTATCAGTAAAAAGTTGCCCAGTAAAATTGACTGGGAATCGATTTTATTTTGACAGAGATTCAATAGGATGGTTCCTGAACGTACAGGGCAATAATGAGACCATCTTTCAGAGCTGAACTAGGTCTTCGGCTAACTCGGATAGAATTCGTCAGTCCATTTAGACCCAACTTAAGCAAAGTTTACTGTATAAGCGATTACTCCTTCCCCAACAGAATTTTAATGTGTTTTGAAGGGTGGTATTGGAGGGATCTAGTATATTGCTTTGCCCAGGGGCCTCTAACATTGTTAACTAGGCCTGGATGGAAATGAAATGGGGGTTTAACGTCCTGCTGGGCTTATGAAGATGGGCATACGCCATGAGGGTTTTTCATCCCATCTGAACAAACAAGGCGGTACCCCGCCACAAAATCCTATTGAACTTTCTCGGTCAGCACAGGAATCGAACACTGGAACTCCAGGTTAGCGAGCCGACGTCTTACTCGGCCACCGGAACTAATATTTCTCAGATGACAAAAGCATTTTTTTTACACAGATCATCACTAGGTGTGGAAAAGGGGTCTATTTACTCCATTATATATCAAATTAATGATGAATTATGTTTGATCTGCATGTTCACACTGACAGGTCATACATCCACAATCACCATGAAATAGATGTTTACGAACACTTTCAGTGGCAGATGATTAAAACATTTCAAATATAAATTCAAAATTTAAAGGACAGTATTGGTGTTGGTCATTATCACATGTGATAGAACTGGTTAAACACGTTCCAAATATAAATTTAACATAGAGATCAGGGGAGAATTTCTGCTCACTAATAATTCCTTGAAGACCAAAAGTTGTTATACGAGACTGGGGGGATATCTGACAATTCAAAAAAAATAATTGACTGTCACTAGATAAGAGAAAGTGAGAAAAAAAAATAGAAAAAGTCCGTGCATTACCATGTATTTATTAAGTATAGAATGAATCGTGGCGCCCACGCCCAACCAATGTCACTAGGCTTTATCGATATGGGCACGTTGGTCGTTGGCTTCGTATTGCGTCCTGACCCCCCCTCCTAGAATATAGAGAGATGGTGTAATTACCTTGTCTCAAAATTTCAGCTCTATTGAGGCAAAACCGCTTATCCGCACACGTGACCATTTTAAGATTTCTGGTCAATTTTCTTCTTTTAGGTGACCTGATAATCTATTACCGTTCGCTTAGAGTTCTATATACAGTGCATGACCCTCGTGCTGTACTTGATAACGAAACGTAAATTTCACCCTAACGTTACAGCTTGGGATACCTGGTCTCCATTTCCAAATGAAGACTGACGGGTTTAAGTTGTTTGAAAACGTATCACGTATATTGTGTTAGTCGCTCGGTCCTAACATGGAGGATTTTAAGGACTTTTAATACAAAATTAAGCAGTTTTATCCGCCAAAATATAATCGATATAACGCAGTCACGTGTGTAAAAATAGATATTTGAGTAACTTCCTTGGTGAATAAGTGTGCCAATAATATGATAATATGAAGAAGACGGTTTGTGAAATTGTATACGTATGTAGAACATCAACGATAAATATGGTCGGTGTTATACATTTGGATCATGACGTGACTTTTAAATTTTTTAATAACCAGATGCAGAAGCCTTTTATGAAGGGTGTTTCACCGGTGTGCTCTTACCAAGATAAATCTAGAAATATCAGATATAATTATTTATACACAAAATGGCGTACGGGCTCGATCAATGCTGGGGGCAGGGACAGAACCTGAAATTCCCGATCGCGGTGGCGGTCGTCTGCGAGAGCAAAGGACCCAAGCTTACCGTGTTGCCCCTCCCTTTCAAAGAAAATTTGACGGCCGCAAACGCGTTTTCATGCTATTCCATCCCGTGAATACAGCAACTTCAACGTGGTACAATATAGCCTACCTTGTGTAATTCACCGGAATCCCAAACAATTAATCAATCATTGTGGGATATTTCTGCTATTCTCTAACCCGTGAATTCCAACCATCCAAGCAGCTGCATTAATTGATGCACAAAAAATGTCGCACAAAGTAGGTATTCAATTAAAAAGAAAAATTAGTGTTCTATTAGATTTCGGGCACTTTATTTTGCCAACTAGATGAAATAATAACCCTTTTTTTTACTTTACTCGTCTGCCCGAAAGTTTGGGGGGGGGGGGGGGATACATAGGTGAACATCAGTTTTGTGTCCCTTCCGAAAGAATATTGTAAGCGTGAAATGTAGCAATGTCATAGGAATGAATATTGTAAACATGAAATGTGGCAATGTCATTGGAATGAATGTTGTAAACATGTAATTTAGCAAAACTGATCCATGATAAAAATGAAATTAAATTAGATACCAGGACAAGTCTTGTCTGCGATGTCACAACCAATTTCACACACACAAAACCCAAATCTAGGTTTTTATAAAGCTATTGATGTTAGGGAGTGAAGAGATTGGGCAAATCGTAGTGTGCAATTTCCTGAAAATACATGGTTTTTATTTCGACAGGTCGGATGCAGATCTTTGTAAAAATAATTATCCAGGTGACACCAAAGCTAAAGAAAACACCTCAATTAACATCACTGAATTTCGGAACATTTAAAAAAAAAAAGCTAAAGAAAACACCTCAATTAACATCACTGAATTTCGGAACATTTAAAAAAAAAAAATCCCTATCAAAATCAACGAATTTTGGAACGTTTACAAAAATGTTGGCACAAATCATTCTGGCTATATTATTATTTACTTTTGTAAATGGACAAAATTCCTGAACATCAAAATTATGCAGATGCCCTGGATTATTTACAGCCACGTGTCCAGACTTAAAATACATTCCTAAATTTCCTAGAAAAATAAACAGTATTCATATGAAGAATTATAACTTGGTGCATATTAATGAAACTGCATTTTGCAATTTTTATTTTTTCGATACAGTCCAAGTGAAACCATAGATAATACAGCCTTTCAAAATACACGAATGCTGCAAACATTGGACTGATCTTGGAACAATATTCAAGTAATTAACTTTTCTATATTTACACAAATTAAGATATTGCGAAAACTCATTTTACTTGGAAACAAAATTTTATTCGTTATATTAGATTCCAACCTGTGAACTTTCAGACACTTGTCTTCGGCTTTAACAATCTAAGAGTTACCAAACTTTTGTGGTGATCAAATATTTTTCCCAAATGAGTTTAAACTTACACTAAATAATAATAGTATTAACAACTATATTCCCGAACATTTGAATTGTATGAAAAAATTGCTTTATTTGGACCTATCACATAATGCTCTACAATTCATTACAACCGATGATTTTCACGATTTTCCACCTCTGAAAATGCTGACATTGACGCAACAATGAACGCCAAAATCATCGTTTAGTTAGAACTCAGAATTTGCTCACACTTCAAAACTTGAACCCACAAGCTTTTGAAGGTTGTGGGAAACTTTTCAAGCTCGTATTGACAGGTAACTTCTTAATGATAAAAATATTGAGAAATTGAGTAAGCACAGTCTCCCTTGGTGGCAGGTAACTTCTTAATGATAAAAATATTGAGAAATTGAGTAAGCACAGTCTCCCTTGGTGGCCGTTTGGACATTAATACTACCAGACACAAGGCTAGTTGCTGTTTCCAAATTCTTTGAAGAAAAACTTCATAAACTAAAAAATCTACAATTACTGTGGAACAAAATCCAATCCTGGCCAGAAAACTTCTTCATAGATAGTACAGAATTAATTCATTTGAATTTGGGATACAATCTTACCCAAAGAGTGAAAAAAGGAATGTTTCCAGAGATGTTGCAAAGAAAACTCCAAACCATTTACATGAATAAAAATCTGTTTATATGTGATTGTGATTTGGTTTGTTGATTCAATGGATTCATGGAGAAAAGCATCAATTTCTTGTAGATGACTAAATATTACAGGGAGGATTTGTCTAAATAACACTAGTGCCTTTATCTCGGTGACAACAGTAACGTGTATAATAGTTCTTGTTGCTATATTGGTATCGTTTATATATAGATATCTATAAATATCATATTTACAGGCCCAACCAATTATTGACTTTAACCCCAAAACACTTCATTTACGACGTTTTTATGTCTTACTGCATTCAGGATAGCGACAGGGTGTTAGATGCGCTTCTTCTGATCTTGGAAGATGGCGAAAAACTAAAACTTTGAAAGTTTGAAATCTGGTAATTTCAGAATGTACCTGTATTGGTAGCTTAAGAGGTATTCCTACTAATTAGAATTCCCTTCTTTGACGGTTTATTTATTTCGCTATTTATTAGTCATACAAACTGCTATTTTTTCCAGGATATTATAAGGATGTCTGGGCTTTGTAATGGTACCATATTCAAACAGAAAACCCCAAGATAGTTTGTCAGTATAAACAAATTACATTTCCTGGATCATTTTATTTTACTAACCATTGATTTCAGGAAAATTGATCATCTTCTATCTTCATTCATCCAGACAGTGACAATTAGTGAATTGCTGGACAGTGTTTCATAACTTTGTCAAAATAGATATATCTGCAACCATGGTAACACGCAATAAATGTAATAATATAATTTTTAAAAGCATTAGATTTTATTATCAAATAATGCAAACATTCATTCATAGACAGAACCGTTGGAAACAAGATATTCTCTTGTCCAAACAAAGTTACCTCTCCAATATGGAAAAGATAGCACATGTTGTTGTAGAGTATCCAATAAGATTGCATTTCACTGTTTATCTTGAGAGAAAAAAATGAAAAAACCAACATCCCATATTATAGCACAATGAACCTGGAAGCCGAACTTGAGTACACATATTCTGATAATCCATGCTTAATTAATTAATTTGTAGAATTACATTAAAAATATCTCTCCAACTGTAAATTATGAAAAGTTTTAATCTAGATACAAGTATGTACGATTTCAATGGTCACGTTTCTTCACTTCTTGGCTGCTTTTGGTTCCAGCGGTCTTCCTTTGTCTTTTCCACGCAGCTTAATTTCTGAAAAAAGATTTCAAAAGTTTTAAAATTAACTAGCAAATAATTAAGTCGAAGATTCACCTATTTTCATTTCCTAACAATACACAGATAACAATGACAGCTACTAAAATCAACTTTTAAAAACTTTCTAGACATTAAGTTCAAGATAACAATTATGAAACTGGGGGAACCAAACTAGATTTCAGCTATTGGAAAGGGTAAAAACAGTTGATATTTCTAAAAAAGTTGATCTAAGTCGCTAACATGTAGAGGATTGAAAGTATGAAATGGGGTTTACGGTCTACTGTTCTGCTCCGACTGGGTTAATGAAGATAGGCATACACCATTCAGTGATCTATGGCCTACTCTTATATCGAATTCCAACTGTCAAGGGATCTTTTGTGTGCACACCAATGTGTACAAGGGACCTCGGTTTTTCGTACCATCCGAATGACTAGACAGCTGTCCTTGTCAGGCCCTCCGTCCTGCACCACTGACAAGGAGAAACCCCGCCAGAAAGGATTGAAAGTAACGATGGTGTCGATTGGATACAACCACATAAATAATGTAGCTATTTGTTGTGGTTGTACATCTGCTCAATAGGAAAAACCTTAATTTGCAAAGTGAATCTACCCAAGTCAAGGCGATGATAATATTCACTATAATAATTAATGCACAAAGCCATTTGTAAATTTTAAAAGAAATTTAGATACATATAAAAACACCTACCAAGTACTTTCTCCATCTTGGCCAGAATACCTTGTGAGGGAATAGCTTTACCAGACTCATAATCATTCACAACTTGCTGTTTTTCATTGATTCTCTATAAAAATCAAAAAGTAAAAAATAAAAACATTTATTTATTGATACATAATAATAATTAATTCTGTCAATGTTTCAATATTTGGGCACCCAACGCTTTGGGGAAAATAATGGTATTAGATGAACTGTGGATATGATTACTGGGTCAATCCATGTCAAGTGGACCAAATTTCGGAAAGTTGGGAACCAAACACCCTCCAAAAACATTATAAAAAAATATATGTTATAGTATATGTCCTTAAGCTAACAAATCCAAAATTATACCTATCTAGGTCGAAAACTCGCTAAGATATGGCAATTTGAAATTAAGTTTAATGACTAACAATTCCCGCTAAAGCTAAGCAGCACTAAGCAATTTCAAGGGTCGATGCTTTGGGATAAGATAACTTTGAATCTAAGTGTCGATGAAGATGATGAAACTTAAGAGTATAGTTTCACTACCAGGTAGTTCAAAACCTTGACTAAGTTTGATCATGAACATTTTATGCTTAGACTAAGAATAGATAATAAGTTTGATTTCTCGATACTTTTGAAAAAGATAAATGTGCAATTAATTAATATGTGTCATTTATTTATTTCGGTCTCAGTGTTGGTTTTTTTTTATATAAAGTGTGAAAATTGATTGAGAAGGATTTTGCCAGGTTAGCAGACTGTCCATCTACACTTATCAATTGTCTACAAAACTTTGTGCTGGGGCGTAAATGTGGGGGGCTGTCTGGGAGTGGTACACCCCCCCCCCCCCCCGGAAGAAAAATAGTCGGTCGCAAAATCAGTGCAGTCGGTCGCAAAATAAGAGCAGTCAGTATCAAAATAAGTCGTCACGCTACTCACGCAAAACTTTAGTATAAAATAACCTTGTCAACTTATCATGTTTGAAAAAATGTTGTGTTTCACTCTTATTCTGTTGTGAGTATGTTTGTCTATGAACAAAATTGGGAGAAAAATAGTCGGTCTCAAAATAAGTGCAGTCACTGCAGTCGGTCTCAAAATTATGCATCGGCGACTCAATGAATTAATGAGGTAAACAAACAATGCCAGAATAGATCCCAAATACTATGTATTTGTGTGAATAGATGAGCCTAAATTGCCTACATCACACAAAACTATAGTACAAAATAATCATGTCTGCTTGTCATGTTTGAAAAAATGTTTGTCACTCTTATTCTGTTGTGAGTATGTTGTTCTATGAAATGTTTTCCCTCATGGCAAAAAAATAGTCGGTCTCAAAAAAAGTACTCACCGCAGTCGGTCTCTGACTAAATGAATTAATGAGACAAACAAACAATTACAAAACAGGCGAATTTGACAAATAGGCCACAAGATTCTGTCTCATTTCTTATCCTCTTGTTAGTGAGAATTTGGTTCCATTTGCCATGACTATGACTAAAATTTTCAGGCCCAGTTCCGAAAAATTAAAAGCTCAGTTACATTTTTGATTTTTTTCGCGCCTGCGGATCTCGATTCCGTTATAACATTATTCTTCTATTCCTCTGTTTCTTATGCTGTACAAGCACTATCATATTCACGATTATACTGATCTCCCCGTTATACTGGTGTGTGGGTCATGGGTCGTCAGACTATACAAATGTTATGTCAACTCTTGCGAAACTGGCGGAATTGACAGGGGCAGATCTCAAGATTCTGTCCCATTCATTGGCATACATTTTTGGTCCTCTCGTCCTCAAGACTTTCTCCCAGCAATGACCTCAAATGCTAGGATATTGACTCAATTTTTCAAAATTTTCTCAGGTTGCTCAGTGTTATAGGCACAATCATCATGTATGACACAAACTTTATGTCAACTTAAATAAAACTGCTTTCCTGCGAGACAACGATCGGCGAACAACTATATAATTATACAATACTGTCTATGTTCTAATGGGACGCTTAATGCTATAGCCAGTATTTTGTTGACATTCATTGTGGGGTGGGATTGTGGATGGCGCCCTAGATTTGGAACCACCCCCACCCCACCCCCTATTCCCAGATTCTAGATCCGCTCTGCACATGGCCCCTAGAAAACTCGCACCTGTGGTGCGCGGTTCCTGACTGCGTCACTCTTACTGGGGGTATGTGCATCAGTCGGTCGCATTTTGGCTAAACACCCCCCCAAACTCTTACTGGGGGTATGTGCATCAGTCGGTCGCATTTTGGCTAAACACCCCCTCAAACAAAATCGTTATGTACGCCCCTGACTTTGTGGGAAATGCACTGAATTTGGCTAAACTTTACATTATGTATCATCTTGTCAGTGAAGTCAAATATGTTTGCAAGAATTTTTAATGGTTGATGTCTGCAATAAAACTGTGTGGCGATCAGATTTTGGTGTTCTCTTGCACTTTTTGCCAATGATAAACATCTACTTGTAGAATGGACAAAGCTAATCTTTGCTGAAATAAGTCATTAAAAAGACATTAAATGCTTACTGTAGCCAAATCTTTTTGGTTAATTCCTTTTGATTGACGACCTTGCTGAATCAACTGAGCCACACTTCTATCAATATGATCATGATGAAGTTCTTCTGTTTCCCGATCAAGCTTGGCTGTGTTTTTGTCAGTGACCACATGTTTGTTGGTAGCTGCCGCAACTGAATAAACAATTTCACAAGAAAAACAGGTTATAATTTACCCCTTTGGTGGAGGATAATTAATTTTTTAAAATGAAATGCAATATCAATTAGACGGAGATCTTAAACAATGCCATGTAACAAAAAATAACCAAGAACCAGAAGAGAACAAGGGAAACAACTCTATTCTACATTTTGTTCTAATGTACTAAGCTTTATACAGCGAAGTCAGCGATCAACGTTCAATTTCAAAATGATTCATACAAGAATCCTCATAGTGAACCATTGAGTGTAAGAGAAACCGGAGCAGAGCTGAACATCCAGCATTTAACCAGAGGTGCAGGAAATGTGAAGCGCATTTCCGATTTGGATCTTCTCAATTCCTGCATTCTGATTATTGATCAGGGCAAAAAGACTTTGTCAGACTATGGTAAGGGTAATGGACAAAGACAATAAGGTATATTTTAATTCAGGAATCTTTTGTTTTATTTTAATAAATTAAAAACTTACATTTCTTCTTGGTATCCACTGTTCCACCAGATTGTAAGGCTCGATTCACAGCCTGAAATATTAATTTATTGTTAAGAAAATAAAGGTTAATTTTAAAAACGAGACCTATCAACTCTTGCCAAAATTACAAGGACATTGAACTTTACAAAGTTTTCTCAATAGTTTAGAATTACATGTAACAACATAATGGCAGTACAGAGTTTTATAAAGCTCTGACACATTGATAGTTCTTCCAGTTTGATGCAAAAGTTGATCTACATGTACATGCTATTTTTTGTAGGTACAATTTTGTGCTTGGTACTTTTATTTTTTTTTACATTAAATCCTTTTCAGAAATGATATCACAATTTTCAAGCTATTAAAGTGGTCATTATCCACTGCCTTCAATGTTAAATGTACAGAAATTAAGGACCTACATGTATGATAGCTTTAATTGGCTTGTAATAAATAAAAGTTTTGCCAAGTAATAGGAAGTGGCACTCGATGGAAAATTGGGGGATTTCAGTTCAGTACTGAAATTCTTTAGATCCAAGAACAATAACTGAGTAATATTGTGTGACAAAGCCAGCACCAAGGTAATAAATCAAAAATTTCCATCAATCAACAATGCATAAATATGTTCAATGAGATTGAATTATTTCACATTCTACTCAAAAATCTGCAATCAAAACTGTGGCAGAAGTTTAATCTGTTTCACATTATAAGTTGATTGTGATTGCCAATTCTATCAATTCAGTCCATTGATTTAATTAAATCCGACGTGTTAGTCGTTTAAGATTTTGTCCTGTATATGTATGTGTACAGATTCTTATCAGTATAACAAACTACTTCCACTTTCCAATCAATGGAGTTACATAATGTATGTAGCCTCCTATCAGGGAGATTTAAACTATATATTGTCCTTTTGCTGTGGTCATTGATCAGAATATGTTTTGAGTTTTGACTTTAAATAGGTATTTTTTAATTATTGCGAATGTCTTGGTTTGAAAGTGGGACTTAGTGGTTTATAAATATAATTACCCTCAACCACAACAATTGTTTTGCAAAGTGGGTATGTTTACAATTACAGATAATGTCAACGCACATTCCACTGAAACCGAAATCAAAAATCGTAACCATTTTGTGCCATCAAGAAGGGACTAAGGCTGACTATGTCAGTGAATGAAATAGCACACAACTGACTGACAGCAGATCAATCAACTCAATTCCGAACTTGTTTGCTATTTAAAACGGAAATTAACTCATTAACTGTTACTTTAATTTACTGTCTGTGGATGTGTGTTGCAAAGTCATGTCATCCCTTATCGATATAAAGTTGTGCATTTCATTTCTTTCGCTTTAGTTTAGATATTCGGATTTCCACGTTTTATTTTCTCATCTTACCCCAGTAGCTCTACGCTCCTGGCCCTTAGGTTGTGGTTTCCTCAAGTAAGTGACTTCGTTCCAATCAGCCATTTTGTGTTTTCAAATTTAAAAACCTAATGTTATTTTCGCTACGTTAAAAAGCTTCGCATTAAATATGTGTTCAAAAACTAGGATGTATTGCGTGTGATTATGAAATATGGCGGAGCAAGTGAAATAAACAGGGGCTTTTTGCCCGTTGTCGTAACTTTGTTTACGATTTATTTATTTACGCAATTTTAAATAGGTACAATCTAGTAACAAATTCTAATAACATTTTGTAAGAATTTGGTATTTCATGAACAGTGTCTTCTCAATCGTTACGATAACTGCGAGTATTAAGTTGCACAGTAATGTTAGCTACAATGTAATGTCGTAATTGTTTTCCGTACTTGATTCACAATCACACTATGAATATGGGCACTGCTTCAAATCTGAACAGATCTATTTTTATGATTATTATTTATTTATTTTTTTTTTTGGGGGGGGGGGGGGTCAGTATTTTATTGAAGTGTGATATGAAAATGATTTCGGTTTAAAACATATGTATTTAATGACGCATAATTATGAAAAATACATCACAAAACAAGATAGTAATTTTATCAGATTGTGTTGCGGCCGTAGTTTATAGGCACGTGTCCAATCATAACTAATCAAGTTAGCCAACCGGAAGTAGGGCCTATCAGTTTTATTTATGGAAGAAGAAAACAGGAGCAATTGAAAAGAAGTTATTGTCATCCTCAATAATAAATCAAGCATATTTAGGAAGTGTAAATGTTTATTTCATTTGGGATACACTATGTAAGATACCTTGGCTCAAGTTTTTATAGAATTCATAGGAACACTATTGAGGATTTTCGAATTTTGTCCATGTAAAACTCAGTGAAATTTCACTTCAGAGTACGGTTTCAGTTTCATTGAGCAGTCTTTCTCATCAAGAAGTACATTACTATAGACTAAAACTTTATTGTATATGAATTTAATTCAAGACCAGTCCTGTTTACCATGATTAAAAGCTTAATACAGTTGTCGATGACCAGTTATAATAAAAATGTAACCTTGTCTCGACTTTGTCTTCAAGTTCAATACTACTGTAGCCTACGTAGGCCTAACCGTAACGTACCCATCCTCAGCATGATCCTGCACCCAACTTTGGCACTGTCTATAGGCACTATAGATTTGAAAAAGCTGTTCTAATAAAACAACTGGACCTATTACAGATTCAGTCCACTAAATCTTTTCAACAGTATGCCTTACCTGATCTGTAACCTGGATCTTCACAGCATTTTAAGTGTATACATTCATCTCTATTACCGGTACCCTTGTTTGCCCACACTAAAACTGGGCAAAACTGGCAATGCGCATGTCAACTAACCAATTCGGCGAGATTACGCTTCATAGAAATATATCTATGACGTGTCTAATCAATGATGTCACATATTTTTGACGTCAATGAAAACAATTCTCACACTTTTATGTTCTTTTTTTTTTAAACAAAATTAATCATACAATTTAGATCTAGATTAAAAATCAATTTCTATGTATCACTTGAGAAACCTAATTATGAAGGTTTTATATTTAAGAACAATCACATCAGCTTCGCACTACTCAGGCAATGCCTGTTACATTAGAATTGTGCTACTGATGAATGAAATAGATGGAAAGCAGATATTCACATCCAACTTGCAGTCTTGATCTAAGACTTTATTTATATGAAGTAGACTTATTCAAATTTATTGTGCAGCATAAATTTTTTATTCAGTTTATTTTATGGATCACTTTTTTCTTAGTGCTTATTTTGTTGTTTATGCCTGTCGTCAACTGAATTGCTTTAATAATGCCGTGTTGAATTGATTCCTTGTTTCTTCTGCCACCAGTGTGGCAAACATGTGTGGTAGTGCAGTAAGCACAACACAAAGCGGATTTCAAAACACGCAATGTTTTATCATGCTATAATACTACATGTATCTAGTCTGAGGGTGGTGTACTTTTTACTTATAATCTTAATGGTCCTTTACTGTGAGGGGGATCACGTGGCTAAGTGGGTAAGACGCTGGCTCGCTAGCCTGGAGGTCGGGTGTTCGATCAAGTTCATCCAGATTTTCCGGCGTGGTTCCCCCTTGTCAGTGATGCAGGACAGAGGGACTCACAAGGACAGCTGTCTAGTCCTTTGGATGAGACAAAAAACTGAGGTCCTGTGTATACATTGGAATGTACGTAAAAGATCCCTTGGCAGTTGGAATTCGATATAAGAGTAGGCGATAGTGTCGCTGCCCGGGCAAAATTTCCCTCATAGCACACTGTATGGCAGATGCCCGTCTTCATTAGCACAGCATAGGAGCAGAACAGTTTGACGTTAAACCCCATTTCATTTCATTTCCTTTACTGTGACAATATTTTACTTCAATAAATTTAATAACAACTCAAATTGATACCAATTATTAGTGAGCAGAAATTCGGCCGTGTATCTATTATCACTCGTCACATCAGTCAGTTATATAGATAGATGACTCATGTTTTCCTTTGGCATTGTTCACTTCCGATTCAGGAAACCTGTATTACTCAGCTATCGTAGCAATGATCTCTGTGTTAAAATAATATTTGGAATGTGTTTAACCAGCTCTATCACATATGTGATAATGACTGGCACCAATATTGTCCTTTAAATGAAGTATTTTTGTTGTTTTTTTACAGCAAAGATAACAAAATGGATGTAACGGTAAAAACATTGGATGGACAGAATAAAAACTATAATGTTGCAGAAGATGTAAGAAAAATTCATTTTTTGTCTGATTGTCTTGAGATTTATACGCAGTGTTTTTGTTCATATCCAATACTGACTGCCCTTGACAACTTAAAAAAAAATCTTATGTTAGAGGCTACTGTTATCAAGTGATTGAGAACTATACAGTGTTAAGAAGTAGCATCCTGTTGATTTTCAATATTTGTCCCCCGCCTTTCAAGAAAGCAGGGGACTATTAAAATGGGTCCGTCCGTCTGTATGTCTGTCCGTCTCACTTTTTGGGACACAATAACTCTCTTTCTAATTGAACTAGAATGTTCAAACATGGTGTAGGTGTTTATTAGGCCAATGCCTTGATGGAGTTCGAAGATGAGCATTTTGGGCTTAGAGTAAGCAGAGATAAGCAATTTGATTGGATGATGCTTTGGGACACGATAACTTTAGTTCTAATTAAGTGAGAGTGATGAAACTGGGTGTATAGTTTCAATACATCAATACCTTGACTAAGTTTGATAACGAGCATTTTCTGCTCAGGGTAAGCAGAGCGATAAGCAATTTGAATAGTCGAGACTTTGGAACACAATAACTCTCATTCTAATTGAGTTAGAATTTCACACTTGGCATAGGTGTCTATTAGGCGAATGCCTTGATGGAGTTCGAAGATGAGAATTTTCGGCTTAGGGTAAGCAGAGATAAGCAATTTGATTGGTTGATATACATGAGACACAATAACTTTAGTTTTAATTAAGTGAGAGTGAATTCACTTGGTGTATAGCTTTATTACATCAATACCTTGACTAAGTTCGATTATGAATATTTTCTGCTGAGGGTAAGCAGTTTGAGCGATAAGCAATTTGATTAGTCGAGACTTTGGAACACAATAACTCTCCTTCTAATTGAGGTAGAATGTTTAAACTTGGTGTAGGCGTTCATTAGGTGAATGCCTTGATGGAGTTCTATGATGAACATTGTCTGCTCAAGGTAAGCAGAACAAGGTAATGATATAATGAATCTATATTTGGAGTTCCATCTCTCTCACTTCATTATAACCAAAGTTATCGTACCTCAAAGCATCAACCAATCAGATTGCGCATTACCTTGACTAATTTCGATGGCGAGAATTTTCTGCTTAGGCTAATGAGCCATAAGCAATTTGATTGGTCAAGACTTTGGAACATAACAACTCTGCTTTTAATTGAGGTAGAATGTTTAGACTTGATGTAGATGTTCATTAGGTGAATGTCTTGACTGAGTTCAATGATTAACATTTCGAGCTGAAGCTAAGCAGAGCTAATCAATTTCATTGGTCAATGCTTTGGGACAAGATAATCTTGATTCTATCTGATAGAGAGTGATGAAACTTAGTGTATAGTTTGATTGCTTGATACTTTTGAAAAAAAAATAAATGTGCTATTAATAAATGTGTATCATCTATTTATTTAGGAATTTCGGCGGGGGACATCAGCCTCACTGTTGGCTTGTTTTCTCTAAAATTTGTTAACGAGTTATGGCCTTTTATTACTTAAATCTTGAGGATGCTCTAGCAGCTAAATTTATCATCCAGTTGATTTGAAATTTATACACCATGTTTTCACCTTGAGACAAAAAAAATCTTTTGATTGTTGAAAATTTTCATAAATTTTTTTTTGAGTTGTGGCCTTCTGTCACTTTATAAAATGTTGTCTGTGACGAAATTATATCAGTGATTTGATATTCATACATGTATATTAATTAATTTTTACACTTTTTTTTCTAGATGACAGTTCGACAGTTTAAAGAAAAGATAGCAGATTCTATTGTAAGCAAAAAAAATTTATCTTAAATAAAATTGTATAAGAAATAATGTTGTATAATATTAGAATGGGGTTGGCACCTACTCTTCCATGAGTTCCACTGTCAAGAAGGGTTCATATCATGGCTTCCACTCTAAAATTTTCGCTGTCGGTCATTTTTAATTAAATTAAATTCAGATGTCATCTCTTTTTTATTTATGGTAGGGTATTGTGAATTTATGTGTCTATACCACTTTTTCACCATTTTGTACAAGAAAAATATATACTTTAACTAAGAAATAAAATATTAGTAGAGCCTATAATAATTATTAATGAAATATTCTCTTTTGGTTATTTAAATAACTTTTATACATATTTCTCACATTTATTGGTTTGAGACCATCTGTTACGGCATTACGGACTGCAGAATTGTGACGTAAATTCTAATATTGTATAACTAATTTGAAGGACAGACTAACTTCACAGCTAGCGAAACTAGTGCCCTCTATGGTTAGTCGTGCATAATAAGAGTAAACATATACTTGACATGTGGATTATCAATATTGCTATTTTTTGCACTGGAATGCGTAATTTTCTAAATTTTTCAGTAAGCATATTTACTAATCTATAGCTTTTATTTCTACAATTCCCACAAGACCGTTATACTGCTGTATACATTTTGTAATACATTTTTGCTCCTGACATGTTGGGGTTTACCTAATTTCTATGCTGTTTTTATTTAATATGACGTTTGGAATCTCATTTACACTGTGTGTGTGACAATAATAAAATTCTTGTGACACATGGACAATACATTGGTGTTCAAATAGAGCATGGCTAACAATGGGCCGCTTCGTTTCTCGTCATTGATAGATTTCCGTCTAACAATTAACTTTTATTGTTTTACTACCAGACATTCATCATTAATTATCAACACAACACTCTGTATAATCTGTTGATAACTATTTATACAACTCTATAACACCAATCAAGAGATTATGTGGCTTCTATATGTGTGCATTATTCTGCACAGTCTGTAGAGTTTTACAGTTATATAGCAGAGTTTGATCGTAGCCATGTTTGAAAATTTGGTTTTGAAAAATATGCTATTATTTTAGTGTGTAAAATTCCTGATGGGTCAGATCCTGTTTCGGTCATTGTCCATAGCCTGGCTTCAGTCATGATCGGCATACCGCCGACATAGTACCCATGGTTCATATACATACATGTCATTGTATAAGCTTAGTTTTTTTGTTTCTTTCACCCCTGACAAGTTAAGACTGGGCTATAAAATTACTGAAAATTCTTCTTGGCCCAGGCCAGGACACTCTGGTCAAGAGTACAGTACCCTGACAAGTTGATTATTGTTGTCCCCCATTTACGCAATGACAAATCTTCTAATAATATGTGAAAGAGTCACTTACCTGTATTGTGTTGGGTTTGTTTTCTTCCACTTAAAATGCAGAAGATTACGAATATTACCACTTGCTGCCTTCTGCATAAGATGTTCAAATAAACTTGTTTAGGTAAAGTTTGAGATTGTCAATTTTTATTTTCAGAATATTGAAGCAGATACCCAAAGGTTGATTTTCCATGGACGGGTATTACAAGATGATAAACCATTGAAAGAATACGGTAAAGTAATATGAAAATATACAGAATTGAACATTCACAATCGGAAATATTCATATTGCACTCAGAATTATGTCTATTTCACATGCCTTGCTCATAGTTTTTCTGTATTTACCTTTTTATCTGGAATATAAGTCCTATAAATTGCTTTAATTTTTTTTATAAAATACTTAATATTAATTTTTATGTTCATTTCTTGTCAGATGTGAAGGGTAAAGTTATCCATGTTGTACAGAGAGCACCCCCATCATCCAGATCCGAATCGGCAACTAATAATACAACTACCACTACATCTAGTAGTGGTGGAACTCCACGTAGTGTAGTCGTTGGATCATTTACATTACCTACAGATATCCTTGATCCTAATCAAGTTCAGGTTTGTACTATCAACTACCGTATTCAATCAAATGAACTGAAAAATTTCTAACTGAACATACTACCATCATTCCTGTTACAATGAGGGTATTGCAACTAGCGATGACCAAATAGATCTTTATGATACGATTTTAGTTAAGTACCTCGTAAGATGAGTGTTAGTACCAGTGAAACATTATGATTAGGTAAGGGAGCCTGGGACGAGTCTGGGGTACAGTAGTTAAATAGTCCCCGAAAAATGAATTCACTCAAAACTTGTTCTCATGTGGCCTTGACTGATTGTTCTATTTTCCAAATCCTTGAATTATGATTAGACAAAGCAGGAAATTATATTATAACCAAGTTGAGATTATACTAGTTTAACACTTGTCTTAAAGGGAACATGTCTATAGTGTCAATAGTAACAAGCCATAACAATAAAATACGCTACTATCAATCCTAAAGAGTTATTTCAAGAAGTTATTTATTCTGGGTAAATTGTATATAATATATTTGGATAAATAGTATTAATTATTGATAAAAAAAAACTTTTTTTGAGAAATGTTTATTGGATATTATACCATATTTTTTTTATTGATTCTAACAGAATATAGTACAGAATGCTGTAGCAGGAATGGGAGATCAGTGGAGAAATGCACGAGTTTCAACCAGTGCCTCTGTAAGTTTACCAATATTTAATTCAAATGTTTTAACTGTAATTTTAAGTGTTCAAATTGGTCAAAGAAATATATTCATTGCACAAAGCAAATCAACATATCAAATTGACTATTTTATTTTTCATTCAAATTGAAGAACTTGTGTCCTTTCTATCATATGTTGTGTATTTTTCCAAGGCTGATGGGTCACCCATAGATGTAAGAATAAACTTAGGTCAGATTCCACCACAGGCAATGGATCAGGGTCAGATACAGGTGAATAGTATCAGAAGAATTATCAGACAAGTTCGTCGTCTCATAGATTTATTACAGGTAGGTTTGGTTTTACTATTTAAAAGACCTTTTCACACAACGCAAAGATGACGTGACTAAAGGTCGTTGATCGTCATTTGAGGGATCTTGATTGCACTCAAATTTACTCTTAAAGCAGCTAAATCGCTAATATTTGGGACCTAGAAATTGATACAAATGGGTCGCAACGCATATAATAATGTAATATGGATGTATATAAACATACTTATGTTCAATCGCTTCTGTTTTTACTCTAATTACAAATTAGTTATGTTCGGCGAAGTATGCCAGAAGTCTCAATCGAATGGCAATTACTAGTGTCTGGTTATTTCAGTCTACACCGATAGTATTTATTGCACATTCTCTACAGATAAGACTGTGACATCGAGGTTTGACATGACTTGTGGGATATGTCTAGCCTCGTTCTTCAAGTCCCTTGTTACAAATGGCGCTGAAACGCATTATTTTAAACGATTCGTGTACCAATGGTAAAATGTTTATTTTGTCTTAAATATTGGATATCAGAAGCCCATCTTTCCCCGGTAAGATCTCAACATCAATGTTGATTTAAATTTATAAATAATTCGTGTTTTCAATGTCGAAGACTTTGGATGATAATGAGTTAGAGATTTAGCTAATTTAAGGGCTAAATTTCTGTGAGCGCAAGTAAGAATAGTTAAAAGGTTCTTTATTGTTACGGCATGCAAAGTTATGCTAGGAATTTAGAGATGTTCATTTTGATGTTTGATGCCTTCACACTGGTGCAATGTTAAAAAGTAAGAAAATGTAAAATGATTATTAATTTATTTTTTAAGAATCCTCCTTCAGAAACAGCCACTGGGGGAGCTTCTAATTCTGAAGAAGCAAGCATGAGTTCATCACCAGATGAATCATCAACACCTACTGACCCAAACCTAGAATCAACAAGACAAAATACTACTGATGGTGCCAGTAATTCAACTCAAACTGGGTAAATTGCTGTCATCCTTTTCTACACATCTGTTGTCCATAATTTCTTGTGTACACCCTAGAGGCAATCAAAATCATTTAGCCTTATCTCTTAGAAACGAAATTGCAGTTATGCAATGCCCTTTGATGCTTTTGCCACAGAGTTTATGGAGCTAAAGAATCTTTCTGTACAGTTATATGGTTAAGTATGGACAATTAATTAAACAGTTCCGTTTTATTGCAAACCATGAAATTGCAATAATGTTGTATTCAAGGCCAAAGCTGTTGACAACTTACCTAACATTCTTTTGCGCATAAAGTGGTATTTTTAACATTATGGCTCTAATTTGATTCTGCTTTCATTTTGTTTTTTTTAGACGACCAGGTATAAATGTATTAGCAGACTTATTGAAAGAAGTACAATTACTAAATGCTGATTTACAGCCATTCCTAGATCGATATAGACAGGTTTTACAGGACGACGCTCCAGTAGAGGTAAGTCTGTTTAATTTAGATCAATATAGACAGGTTTTACAGAAGATTGTTTTTCTGTATATTGTTGACCAGGGTTGGGCTCACTTTCAGAGTATGCGTGATCATTAATACATAGATAGGTTCACACTTTAATAAGGTTAGACTTTGTCATTGAGATGTTTTATCTAGCTTATTCAAAAGACATTTTGAAGCTTTCTCAATTTATAATTCCAGGAAACCCAATCAACCCAGAGAATGTGTAATGTGGTATCAGAGGCTATGCATGCGATGAGTCATGTTTATCATGGTATCAGTGACTTTATGGTAGATATATCAGCAGCACCTCCACGTCACCTTTACAGTCCCCCATCTACTATGATGGGAATGTTCCCAAGAGTACAAAGGGTAAGTTAAAAATTAAAAACCAGGGGTCACACTATACGTTTTGAAGCTGCCATCAATAATACAAGATATTTTTGAATGTAACATTTTCTTGTTACTTAAAAAACGTAAAAGATATCGCAGACAAAATGACTGTCCATTGATTTAGGGTGTTATATACTCTTATGACTAGTTTATACATGCTGTCGGTTGATGATGCATGATGTGATTAAAATGTCCGACAATGGAGAAACCACGAGGTAAACACGTAGATTAAAATAATAACCACTCTTATTTGTTTGATGAATAGTCTGACAAAGGGGAAGCAGTGACTTCTGTTTAAGATTAGATTGATGAATTGTCCGATAAAGGATTAAGTCAGTCAATTAATACAGATTAAGTAGTTAATCAAGGTATAACACGATAAATATGTTGATCACTTAAATTACCTGATCAATCCAGCCTATTATCATCGATAATCGGGTTAAGTGGTAGTTATTCACTCAGTACACTATATCAATTTTGGAATTTGGAAAATAGCGTCGGACATGTCCAGTTTATACGGGCAAAATTCCATCACTGATTTGAAACCTAATATGAACCCTTTTTTATGAACAATAATTTTTTTTTTTTTTTAAAACAATAATTTATTCAGAAATTGAAAGGGATTGACGAGCAAGCATAGCCTATTTGACCTCTCTCCTAGTGTTTATTATGTCGTGTGGGAATTTTGATACGTTTGATGGCTTGCATATTTTTTTTGTCATATGTTGTTAGTCAGTACTAACATTTAATTTAACTGTTACACTAGATGTACCAAAACACCAAACTTGTAATAATTTAAACTTCTTATGGAGGACAAAGCAAGCAGACCGTGTTCCTGTGTTATTATTATGTATATTTTATATTTTTAGACACAAATTAATGTTGGCAATGGAAGAACAGGCCGACCCAGTACCCAGAATTCATCATCTAACAGAACTACTAATAGCCAATCATCAAGTACTACTACAACCACACCAAGTTCTATAGCCACGCCCAGTAGTTCTACAGCCACACCAATGTCAACATCTACAACTCCAACAGTAGTATGTATATTTCAATAAAACTGATGATTGCTTTGTATCTCTTATTTTGTTAATTACTGTGCAAAACATTTTTACCCTAATATTCCTGGGATGAATGGATTGAAACAAAATTTTAGCTTTTCTGATATTTAGCTGATTTGAATATTTATCAGTCTTAAATTAATTAATAATGTTGCATTAAAGGCAAAAATTCATGTTAGTTTTCATTATATCCCCACTAAATCCATTACTTTTTCCTTTTGAAACTTGTGAGGGATTTATGGCTTTATTGTTTAATCTGCTGTACATTATTCTTGATTTATATTTATAGACATCTGCTTTAAATGGAACAGGAAGTAACTTACCACCAGGTGTCTCTGTAGCTGGTAGTAGTGATCCATATGTGTATGTTGAAGTTGGTCCTGACTCTGTGACCTTAAACAGCATATCGGCCCATGTTATAACATCAACACATGATCCTTCAACCCCTATAGCTTCAGGTAGGTTATGGTCATGTGGCTAGGACCTTGGACTCGAAAGTAATGTTATGTGTAATGCAAGTCAGCACATCAGTTGTTTAAAGTCTGACTTCTGGTGTTACATAATAAGTGCTAAAAGACTGTAATGAAATATATAGGTTTTAAATAGACCAATAAATCATTTACATATATAGGTTTGAAATAGACCAAAAAATCATTTGCATGTTTTACTGTTAGAGGCAGTGTGGGTCTCAATCATAGAAAATAAGATTATATTGTGATAAAAAAAACTGTAGTGCTTATTCATCATATAAATGATCCTTGGAAGTTGGAATTTGAAAGAGAGGAAGCAGAAATTCTATTTCAAATAGCAAGTTGCATGTGTAACCGTAGTTAGTAAAATTAACTTTATGTTAGTTTCAAAGTGGCTTATTTAAAGTGTTTATGACACTAGATTCATCTGTAAGTTGGATGATATCTTGTGATGGTTGTCACGTGATCGTTATTCACTTTGATGTCTTTCATTGTTTGATCTGTATACATAGACTGTTTGTTAATCCAAAATGTTCAGAAGTGGTGAAATTGGAATCAAGTACCAAAGAGTTGAGTCCTGTCACAGTTCTACCCGTCCCCAAAATAAATGTGGTAAAAACAGAATCGTGACTTATAAACATTGCAGCTATATTGATCAGTCGGGATAGAATAATATTCAGATGGCACCTTGTTGGCCAAAATGCAAGTGTTTACACGATTGACACCTTTCATGGGGTTAAGCGAATTCATTTCTGAAATGTTCAATTGAGTATGCCTGATTTCCTGTTTTCTATGTTTTGTTGCATTCTATTTTAAACTACATTTATTTTATTTGTAGCTGCCTCTTCAACTACTATGGACTCAAATCAAACTGGACCACAAACAACTCCTGCTACCCCTAACCCTGGTCCAACACCTACATCCACACCACAAGCTAGTGAGAACATGCCCGATATAAATGTAGCAGGTGTACAACTACCCGCTGGTGCCCAGCTACCCCCAGGATTTATACAGGGTCTAGTAAACTCTGTTCTACAATCACAGGGTGGTAAGCAATTAAACTCTATTTTTCCAAAAACTCTATCTTTTTAAAGTTGTTTTTTTTCCTTTATTATTACATTTACCTCTACCTTACCTTATGATTTCTCTCCAGGTACACAGGTTTCCTCTCTTGTTTAAATACCCAAATGCACAAGTGAAATATTGAAATGAAAATATGCCCTGTGTCAGGACAATAATGAATGCATACCCATTTCTGTTACTCTCTGATAATATCTCATCTTGTCTCCCTATTTTCCTCTTAGGGGCTAGACCTCGTCATCCAGTACAGATTAATTTCATACCATTAAACAGAGCTGAAGGTCAGATGCGTGTGGTAGGAATGAGACCTCCATCTGTTGATATCAGAATGTCCAGTACTACTAGAGCTCCTGCACCATCATCCAGTAGTAATCAGACATTAACAACTAGTACGACTACATCTACACCCAGTGCTTCAACTTCCAGTACCACCACAACTAGTACCAATACTTCGACATCTAGCAGTTCTGCGACAACTACTAATAGTCAGACTAGGTCACCCAGACAGATGGATATAGCCGATGATTTGAATGCTATGTTCGGAGGAGGTATGCCTGGACGTCCAGTAGACCCATACCTACCCTGTTCTTCTAGACATTACTTGACACAACAAGCTCGGAATACTGCAGGCACAAGAGCGCAGGTAAGCAAATGTATATTTTCTAGCATTAGATACTGTTTTCCTTTACTCATTATCCAAATACCATTAGAATATTTGGTTCAATACAAATTCAAATTTTAGATTGTTTTGGTGTATTTTAAGATTTCTAAAACAATTTTGAATCCTTCAGATGATTTCATGTTTCTTGTAGGAGATATGAGTTTTGATTATTTTTTCTTAGCATCGAAGAATGAAATGCAAAACATCTATTTGTGGTATTACTGGACTCTGTCACATCCGGCTTCTGAATAGTACAGCATTCTGTGAAATCTGAAATCAGTTTCAAGTCCTGATATATTTCCTTATTACTTCAGCCAAAAAAGTTTTGAGTAATCTGTATTCTGAATATTAACTGTATAATCTGGCCCCTAATCCATTGGTGTTCACTTACAAAAGATTGACAAGCAAACACCAATCAATTATCAGTAAGATTAATATTTGTGTCGGTCTTTGTTGATTACTTTGATATCGATATACCGTATCAACATAATGACGCACAAGTGATTTCAACATCAAAACCTTTAAACATTAGGCACACCTCTGCCAATTCTACAAATCTAGTGTACCAGAATCTGCTGAGGATAGTTGAATGAGCCCTTAAAGTTACTGGCGAAAGTGTGACTTTTGATCTTGGTACCGTTAAAGAATTCTGCATTTGCATTTCGTCTATTATTGAAGGGTATTCTCCTGAAAACATGTTTGATTGTGATGAAACCGTTTTCATTTTTAGAGCATTACCCCACCGATTATTTTGAGATTAAAATTCGAGCGCTATAGCAAGGTAAATATTTCCGGTATTTGAAGGTACAATAATACTTCCAGTATTGAGTATTCCATCATGCTCTATAATCCAACATTCTGAACAATCCCGTTCAATGCCGGATGTGTGTGAGTCCACTGTATTGATTTTAAAGGTAACGATTTTATTTGTAGCCAAATCCTGAAGCCGGTTTGGCTGATATGGTGTCTGGGTTAATGTCAGGATTGTTAGGTGGTGAAGGAGGAGCTCAACCTCACATACATAGTAAGTATCAATATCACTAAGGTAACCTTTACATACGATACGTATATGTATCTCAAAGTGGTGCTCTTTAAGCTTAACATGTTTATAAGTGAAATCCATCAATTATCAAATTACTCATAAATTATTCAGTGAAATACTAGGAATGCCTGCCTAACCTTGTGAGTTTTCTCTGGGTCCTTCGGTTTCCTCCCTCTGCTAAAAGACCCATACGTGCAACCGAATTATTGAAATATGTTAGTCTCTTAATATGTTAGTACCGAAATGACCTAGTTTGTTTTGAGTGGACGTTAAACCCAATTTCTCTCTCTCTCATCTTTTTTTAACAATAACCATGTTTTCTCTATTTTTCAGTTCATCGAGGACCACCACCTACAGCAGCATCTACAGCTTCTACCACTGCTAGAAGTAACACAGTATCACCACCATCTGGTGGTCCACGAGTCCCAGGTCCTGATCCATCACACCCATTTGCTTCATTGTTTTCACCTTTAGGAACCCCTGGAGGACCGATACCCTATACTGACAATACACAACAAACAAACGCCTTTAGAAATATCTTAACTAATGTTTTTGAAACAGCGGTGAGTATATCCTCTTTCATAAACTCAGTACACTGTCAAATCTGAAACCTTTTCAGGCCAACATTGTCAGATTTAAGGGCAATGAATGACTTTGGTGATCTTGAGATATTGATCTCTTATCTTTTGGAGCTGTAGGGTTGGGAGACAGAGGTACAAAATGCAAGAATGGAAGATAGATGATATAAAGTCTATGCTCAATTATACAACAACCTCTTTTTGCCTCTTTCATCTTGTAAACAAACTATATTTGATCCACTAACATCAAGGCGAGGATATTATCTAACCTACAATTTTTGTGCTTTAATATTGTAAATTAACAGTTTTCATCCCTTATTTATGTTAAATTAGAAAACAATAAAAACTTTGTTATTTGCCTTCTAGCATGTTGCAATTTGATAAGCGTTTCATTTTATTTTATTTTTTTTTAGCTTCACTCAAATACGCCACCATCAGCTACAAACAGTACTGGTACTTCCAATACAACTTCATCATCCACACCAGCACCTCCTCCTCCTCCTACAGGTGCCACAAATCCCAACGCCATGTTTTTCGATTTATTTGGTGGAATTGGTCAACAGTTATCTGCTGCGGCTGGAAGCAGAGAATCTAGCACTACAATATCAGACTTTGTTAGCAACATGTCTGCCACTCATAATCTTAATCCAGAAGAAGGTTTGTTCGTTTATATTATATGAAATAGTATCAAATCAAATCTTCAGTATTGTGTAAACTATTTGACCTCACATGAGAAAATAATTTTTTCAAAGTATTTATCCTCAAAACAATAATAAGGCATTTGAAGGATAGTATTGCATTTCTAGGTTAGTAATGTATTAATAGTAAAATGTCACACTAGAATGATGTTAGTCTCAAGATGACCAGATTATTTTGTTACGTGTCATTCCTTCTTTTTCGTACAGTTAGCAGTATCTGATGTTTTTTATTATACGCCCACATGGAAATGTGGATATATATTGCCATCGCCCCCGTCTGTCGGTCTGTTGGTCGTTCACAATTTCTTGTGAACGCTCAAACACCAAAAGTTATCATCCAGTTGTTTTAAAATTGATATATGTTTTTTGCATTAGTGTGATGAAGAAGCCTAGTTAATTTCAATAATTTCCGTTTATTACGTCTAGAGTTAGGGTCTTTGTTTCACTTGTTGAACATTGTGAACGCTCTAACGTCAAAAATTATCATCTGATCATTGTGAAATTTATATGCATTATATGCATTATTGAATCTCAGCATTTTCCGTTAATTAACTCTAGAGTTATGGCCCTTGTTTCACTCTGCTGAACCTTGTGAACACTTGAATGCCAAAAGTTACCAGCCGATCTGTATGAAATTTATATGCATCATTTCGATTAGAGAAACCACGAAGCCTATTAAATTTCAGCAATTTACAATAGTTACTTATGGAGTTATGGCCCTTGTTTCATTTTGTTCAACCTTGTTAATGCTCGAGCGATGAAAGTTATCATCAGATTATTATATATGAAATTTATATGCATCATTTAAATTGTGAAATGGAGGTCTATGAACGTTCGAATGACAAAAGTTATCATCCAATCTGTATGAAATTTATATCAAATTTCAAAATATTCTGTAAATTACTTCCAGAGTTAATGCCCTTGTTTCAGTTTGTAGAACATTGTGGACCCTCATATGACAAAAATTGTAATCTGATCTGTATGAAATTGTATTGTAAATGCCCTACAAAATTACCTACAAAAGAATAAATATGCAAAAACTCTTGTCAACCGCTCGGACGATTTAGCTGCTGTGGGCGTATGTTTCGTTGCCTGGCAACCTATCTTTATTTATTTATTTCCTAGGTTTTGTCAGTGACATGTTTCAAGTTATATCTCGTCACCTGACCTTCACAGATTTATTTGGAGTTTTCTCCGGACAATCTGAAAGACTCGGACAACTACAGGGACCATTAAAAGAGTTTTGCCGTGAGCGTGTATTGAAAGGACGAGAGTATAATGAAGACAATCTAAGAACAGCTATTGAAGAAGTTATTGAAGAAATGGAACCTGAATTACAGTCTTCTATTGTAAGCTCATATACCATCAACTTATTCTGAGTCTTGGGCATTTGGTGGTCTAAAGTGATTAATCCCCAGGATTGTATGTGAACAGGATTGGCATCTTGGTCCACCTCAATAAAAGAAAATATCGCAATATCTTCTAAAAATCTCAAGTTAGTCAATTAGTAGCAAGATCCAACGTCTATTTCTAATGAGGCTAAAATCTAAGAGCATTACATTACAAATGAAGAAGGATTATTAAATTTAATTTTTTGTTACACAATAAGAATTGAGTATATGATGTTAAGTGAATATAAGTCAATCTGTGTGTCACTTACATTTCATAAGTTATTTGGGACATATATATTTTACCATGAACTATCCCCAAGACAGCGTCATAAATCTAGCTGTTTCTTTCCTGTATTATAAACACGAATGCCTATATGGTTCTTTAAATGACATCTAGAAGCACGGTTTAACTATTCATAACAAAACACAACACAAGGTACATATGGATATAACTACTTTTCTATTATTTTATAACTTGAGTGACCTGTATGTGTTACGAAACGTCGTTATTAAATAATAGAGAAGTAGTTATATCCATATATACCTTGTGTTGTGTTTTGTTATGAATGCCTATATGGTTGTTGTAATGCTTTCATTCATTGTAGTATTTGAACTTTATTTTCCTCTCAGGATATAGTAGAAGTTAAAGAAGGAATTGATTTAATGGCTACAATGAAAAACTTTCTACGTCAACAACTTAGAGCCACCATAAGATTGATACTCAATTCTGAAGGTATGAAGGGATTACAATTGGAAAACGTTTTACTTTTCTCTGATTTGAAAATTACTATTTTTAAAACCTTCCTGTTAAGGTCATTCTCAAGTGAAACTCTGAAAATGTTGGATATATAATGCAAACAAATTAAGATTTTAGTTTAAATACAGTTATTGTTATATGATAACTACTAATCAACTGTTATTCTATAACAATATGAGAGCTAGTATATAGAATGTTATTGTTTGAACTGTTAGTCTAGAGTGGTATTGCTAATATTGAAATTGTTAGTCTGGGGAGTTATTGGTAAAAAAAGGGACTAATTGTCAGGAGTTTTATTGGTAATATGAGAACTATTAATCTAGACCAGAGATTTCTGGTTGTAGTCATCAGAGGGCAGAGTTGGGTTACTAGTAGTAGTATCCTGGTGTTTTAACGTCTGTTTCCACATAAGTGATATCGCAGACAAGAGTTAGGTTACTAGTAGTGTTGAGTGTTATAGGTAATATCAAAACTATTTGTAATATCAGACCTATTAGTCTAGAGTGTTATTGGGAATATCAGAAATACATTGCATTAGTCTAGAGTGTTATTGGTAATATCAGAACTATTAGTCTAGAGTGTTATTGGTAATATCAGAACTATTAGTCTAGAGTGTTATTGGGAATATCAGAAATACATTGTATTAGTCTAGAGTGTTATTGGTAATATCAGAACTATTAGTCTAAAGTAGGCTTGTAGTTTAAGCATTACCATAGATAAAGGTAGTGATGGTTTTTTCCTCTCACGAGAAAGATAATATATACTATCTAATATAGATCAACTCTTGAGCTCAAGTCGCATCACACAATTGAACTTTTCAAATTTTTAATGCAAGATAACTAAAGTTTATTCATATTAATTTAACTTACCGAGAACCAAAATATCTATATGGCCTTATTTTGTTGTCTTTTTTTCAGATGGGGATAGTAATTTTGGAAAAAACATTTACGAGAGAGTGCGTCGTCTTCTAGGAGAGTTTATTACTTTGACACCAATTTGTTTGGTGGAAGGTAATACAGCTTTCCAACGAATGTTACAGCACAGACTGGTAAGTTTTTATGGGAAGTTGTGACATAGAATCATTGTCAAGAACATTGGCTTTACTCAAAAACCTTGCCAAGTAGATATTTTTTTGTGTGTTCAAATTAAGACGTATGATAATTGACTGATAGCGAGATTTTGCAATTGGAGATTTTCATTATGAATTAGACATAGACTGGTTGGTGATAATTACCAAAATATATTAATGGTTGAAATATCGTCCGGCTTCCATAGGTGGATCACCTACTCATATGAGATTGAAGGCTGAAATTAGTTTTGAAATAAAAGTTATTTGTGTATTGACAAATGTTGCACTGATTTGTGAATTAAACATGAAACAAACTAATTTAAAACTGAATAACAACAAAGAAATAAAATAATGGTTGTTGTCTCTTACTTTTCTAAAAATATTATTTTCATATGAATTTGAAAACAGGTAAAGTTTATGCAAGTTCCTATCCCTTTACAGGCTAGTAAAATTAGCTCAAATAAAGCCATAACCCAAAACAAATTGCACCGCAAAAGTTAGCTTTTCATTATCATTTAGTAGAGTATTCTGCATGCATAAATCCAAGATGGCCATAATACATTTTTATGGTCTAAAGTAACAGTTTAGCCATTATTTGGATGGTGGCCATCTTGGATTTATGCTAATAAGACCCTTTCCAGGTGTCCAATTTTTGAAGACTTTTGTTCATATATGCAGAATACCATTCTGAATGATAATCAAAAGCCGACTTTTGCAGTGCAATTTGTTTGGGGTGCTTTTCTATATTTACCAGCCTGTTAATGTAATTTCTTTATTTTATTTATGATAGATAATATAATTTTATCATGCACGTAATATTTTTAGCATGGTATAACATCTTCCATGAACCCCATGATACAACAGTGGATGATAAACATGACATCACAGCACATTCAGACGTTCCGACAGTCCTACGTTATAACGGAGGCTGAAGTTCAACATTATGTCGTCAAAACAGGGGCAACAACTCCTGCTGGCGCAGCTGCTATTTTGCGTGCTGAGAGAACAGAGGTTCCTATGGATGTGAGTTCACCACCTGCAGCAACATTGATGCCCAGAACATCACCAGCAAAAACTGAACAGGTATGTGGTTATATTTCTTTGATTTGGGCGTATAGATATCTAACATATTGCAAAACTAAATTTTGTTCGATGAGCTGTGTTTCCTCTCTAAGACTATCTGGAATTAGTCTCGATGATGAAAGCAAAGGTTAAAATTGGATGTAAAACATCATCTATTAATTTCATTTAATGTTTTGTGTATCAATTTGCCCTAAAAATTTGATGTCCTAATCAAGTGCTGAAATAAGCGGCCGGACACGGCCAAATTGCCTTTCGTCCGGACATAATTGTCAGACCGTGTTTTTGTAAAACATTAAGCCAAAAATATTTGAGTCGATCGCTAATTATTATTAGACTCGAAAATCCAGGCCCAAAAATATCAATGACCCGAGTCATAGTGAAAATGTTACTTTTTATATCTCCGCCGCGTGCAGATAAAATCTTCAATAATTTTTAGAATCGGCTCTTTTTCGCTGGTTATATCAACGACCCGAGTCATAGTAAAAATATTACTATTTATACATGTATCTCTCTCGGCCGCGTAAAGACAAAATAATGAATAATATTGAGAATCGGCTCTTTTACACTGGTTATTCGAGTCTCGTATCTAGCTTTGCGTTACTTTCGTACTTTCGTATATGATTAGCTCTAAATCACACCTAACATGACATGTAATTATATAAATTATTAGTAATAAAAGTAATAATATTTTAAAATTAGTTTACAAGAAAATGTTCAAGTTGCCTATGGATGTTATTAGGGACAGACTTTTTATACAAAAATATCTCACTTTGTTGGACACTTACGATGTGAATGTAAATAGAAGAGCCGTGAAAACATGTCGAATAAAATAACTTCTTACTTTTCCCAACCCTCGGACACGGATATCCCGGCTAGTGGGACCGTTCCAGAAAATTCAAAGACTGGTACTGTGTCTAATGTCTATCATAAAGACACTTCTAAACGGGGGCCATCGCCGTCACCAGTTCGAAAATTACAAACAAGAACCGTAGAAAAGAGGATCAAAAATGACTTGGTAGATTCTGAACCATTTACGACAACTCAAGATGTCTATTCTTTATTTAAATTTGAATCTTAATCAGAGTTTTTAGGATTAAGTCCCCAGCCCCACCAAAGAGATTGACATTATTATATGAACTATTAAGTTGTATTGCATATACATATAAAAACTTAAAACTCCAGGTTGTGAGTCATCAATTTATTTTATTAATAAATGTACAGTATGTATAATTATATATATTAACATAGTAAATTTCAACAGTTTTTTGGTTTAATATACTTTATAAAGTATTTGTCAGGCTGAAAATCTGAAATGTCCGGCCGAAAATCAGTTCAGCTTGACATGATGTCAGGCTGAAGCTTAGCAGTTATTTCAAGGCTTGGTCCTAATAGTCAATAATCATCAAGGATTGTAGGTCTACATTCACAAAAGTGTGATCCAACAATCAGGAATTTGGTTAGTCCGGACAGTTTTTATAGGAGGTCAAATGTGTGCAGAAACACAAGGTTTGACTGTGTAGTAAAAATGTGTTTTGGAAGTTAATAAATAGTCTGCAGTCAAAACTGTAACTAAATGTAAAAGAATGCAATTTGCGTTTTCATTACAGTAAAAAAAAAAAAAAGATGAAATACGTCTTAAATATTTCTTTATGAAAAATCCATTATTCATCATAGATACATAAGTGAATGAAATGATTTTTCTTTCTTTCTTTTTTTTTTGCCAAAACTAAGCCAATGTTCATGCAAAATTGAATATTTTTGTGCTTTCCTCACCACGTAATTTTGTAACCATAATTTCATTTTTCATATTTTATTATTTCAGCCCAAAAAAGCCACAGCAGTAGAAAGTAAACCAAAGCCTTCAGAAGTTCAACATACAGCAACAAGAAGTAGTGCTGCAATGAATGGAACCAGTAGTTCAGGAGTACCCTCTCCTACTCCTGGTGCCACACCCAAATCAGTTAACATAGCATCCAATGGGGAAGACTGGAGAGCTGTTGTACCTGAGGTATATATTATATGATATCTAAGGGTTATCGACTGAGACAGAGGGGTTCAAGTTAGATGAGCACAAGTTGTTCAGTAGATGGGCGCATGTGTTTATCTAACTTGACCCCGAGGTCAGGGTCGATGACTGACTTACAAACTGGATTCTTTGTTTGTGTAAGAAGTTGATTGAGAGAATGAAATTGGACGGAAACGAAAGAGACGCAAGTTTATCACAGGCCCTTTATCACACAAAATTGTTTTACCAATTCGTCTATAACTGGTTTCAATACATTATTTTGAACGTCATTTATTGTTGTTTACTCAGCAGATTGGGTGCAGGGTGAGGTCAATAACCTAAATATAGCCAGTTTATACCTGTTTATTTACGATACATACAAATCAGATTATTCCAATGTCAGTTTTTTTAAATACGATTTTAAGAAATTTGGATTGGTATACGAATAAATGTATTTTAAGCCTATTTGCTGATTTCAGGTTTCTGACACTTTTTTTATGCACCCACATGTTGTATATTGTCATCGTCCGCCCATCTGGTGTCCACTCTCTGGTTTTGGCATTTATACGAGAAAGTGGTCGCTGAACAAATTTTTGTGACCAAATGATTCACAAAAGATAACACATCAAACCGATCCCTTTTCCTCTTTCTGCTGCCATTTCTGTACCATCAAAATGGATGTGTATGCCTCTTAAATGTATCTTTGTATTTTGCAGGAGTGGGTTCCAATTATTAGTCAAGATATTCAACGTCAGAAGCAGAATCGCCCACAGCCTCCATTAAGTGATGCATATTTACAGGGTTTACCAGCTAAACGCAGAAAGGTATAAACAATTCCAGAATGTATTTTGTTAGTCTCTCAGTTATAGAAATTATTCCATGTATTCTGTCCTGTTGATTAGCTGATGAATATTAATACAAAGGAAACTTTCTTACCATTGGTAATTGTCTGGTGAATCACTCCAATTAAAACTTAATACAGCAGTGATAATAACTCTAGATGCATTATGTAAAAGCTAAATCTGCCTAATACAGATCTTTCTTTTGACCTCAAATGTTGCATAAATCATTAATTAGACATTTATTCACATGCCAAGCCCATAATCAACTCATGATTTTCAACAGATTTAAACACGATTGACAGTTAATAATTTAATTTAAAAACCGGATAGTTGAGACTTTGTTTATTATTACAGCTCATTTTCTAAACATATTGTGAACACTCTATATTAACTTTCAGTCTTTTTAGTATTGATATATGTTGATATCATTAGTACTTACATTTGCTCTGCTTGAATTTTATATGTATTTTCCACATTAGTGAAACAAAGGATCCTATTGAATTTTAACAATTTCTGATAATTACACATATTTTATGTCTTAAAAGCTTGTCAATGCAGCTTTCATATTATACAGTATAAAGAATTGGCTTTTCATTTACCTAGATATTTACAATGTACCAACCTTTGTTGATACTGTATATCTTGAAAGTCATGAAAAATGGGCCAAAGTTTACAATAAAAATAAAATTATGGGAGTGTGAAATCAATAGAATCCCATTGATTGATTTGAATAATGTTTGGGCCAAAATGCTTTAAAATAAAAACAAAAAAAATCTGTTTTTTGGCTTGTTGGCATTTTAACCTTATTTTTGTTTAACTGTATTATTTTCAGGTCATGACCTCTGATCGACCATCAAACAGTTTATCAAATATGGCTGAATATATCCCAGAATCCATAAGACAGGCAGCAGCAGCTCTTGGAGTGGAACCAATCAGTAGTTTTGAGAATTTAACGCAAGAAGCTTCCACAAATAGTGACTTACAAAATGCTTTGAATGGTGAAATAGATCGCACAATTGTGAGAAGACTAGAGAAGGATTCAGATTATATATCAGAGAGATTTCCAAATGCTGAGCAGTGTTATAAGCCAAAGAAATCTGAGCGATAAACCTAGTACTTGAATGTAGGCTACAGACCTATTTGATATATATATATATATATATATATATATATATTAAAATGTAATTAAGAACAGTGAACTGGATCCCAAAAACAGACCATGAATGAGAAAGTCACGCTCTGAACTTTACCTGTTCCAGATGAGAAAGGCTTATCCTGGGTTCAAGTTGTTCCTTTGTGTAGATATGCTTGTACAAAAATTGTGACATTTCATCTCCGATAAATTTTAATATTTTTTTTTTAGTAAAACCCTTCTTGATTTTATTTCGTTTATTTTTTTGTAGTGTCTCAATGATTCAGGCTATTCTGTGGAGAAACAAAAACAATTTTCATATGATATATGATTTTTTGAAAATATTTTGCTTGCTTAAGTGATTTTTGTTATCCTATAAATATAAGATTGTTATTTTTACTTGTCTTCTGGTTTTTATTCTTTAGCCAAACTATAGGACTTACCTACATGTGTATATGTATTCCTTTTTTTACATTGGGTGTGAGGCTATCATAGTCTAGCGGTCAGGACACTTCACTAGAATGTCCAAGGTTCGATTTTCAGTGTGAGCTCAGAAAAACCTTCTGGATTTATGAAGTCCGACTTGCACTAAGTGTTGGCACTTTCAGGGCAAAAAATAAAGTATGCCCAGTGGTTTGGAATGATGGAACAAAAATAAAGGGTCCACCTGTGCACACACTGACCAGCACGTAAAAGAATGACAGTTCCAAATCAAAAAAGAGTAGGCAGAAATTCCTCACATAGAATTTAAAATTTCCATATGTTTATCTCAAAATGATTGAAGTACTGTGTTAATGAGGCATTAAACTCCATTCCATTCTTTTTTTTTTTTTTTTTTTACAAAACTCAAAGCTCTTGGGGATTTTACTTTTCCACCAGAGGAGTTATATGTACAATTATTTAATTGCTTTAAAGATGTTTTTCCTGGAGATTAATTGGATAATATCATGTAACTTGAAACTAATATTTTAACAAAAGGTAAAACATTTGTTATGATTTAGAAAAATAAAATTATAAACCAGAGTAGAAACAAAATCAGAAGAAAATCCAAATTTTTTTGCAATCTTTGGTGTTGTTAGTAGATGATGTAATGTAAGCATATAGTTATATGCTACACATGCCCACTTCGCCAATTGTTACGCTAAGGCTGTAGTAGTAATGGCAGTATTTTTAAAATGAAATCGGATCAGGTTTCCCATTCAGAGCTTATTAGATATTGCTTTAAGTTCCAATCAGTTGTTATGCATTTAGGCTCTTGATTGTAAAGGAGATATAGCTGTAAATATTTTAGTGTATTTACAAGTACTCAGTTTATTCCTATAATCACACATAGTATCACTATGCAATAAAATAGCTTTTAACAGTGTAATATATTAAATCTATTATCTATTTGTCATAAGCATATTATTCTCTCTTGTAAATATAGCAGATCCCATCATTTTCCCAAAATTGCTATAAGAAAAATCCCATTACTTATTAGTTTTTAATTGCTAAAATTAATAGCTACTCCAATAATTAGAAATTATTTTATTTTTAATAAATCTCATTTGTTGAGTGCTAGTGACTCCCCTAAAGTTCTTGTTTTGTATTTTTTTCCCTTTCATATAATGTTTGAGAATTCGACTTTCTGATTTCATTAGATCTATATTTTAATAAGATTATAAATGAATCCTATGCAGTTGTAAAATTTTGTTTGAAAGTTGTAGGGTGTGGTGATTGTAAAGGTAGTTAATAGAATTTTGGGAAAATTATATTTCGTAATTGCAGTAATTAAGGATTTTTTTTTTTGGGGGGGGGGGTCTTATTAAAGGCTTTACTGACATCTATGTAAAGAAAGCAGCTTGGGGTTAGTCAGAACAAGAGTCATAGATCATGTCATCTTTTCACCTTTTGTTGAAAGACCTTTATTTACCTTAGAATTTACATCATGTCATCTTTTCACCTTTTGTTGAAAGACCTTTATTTACCTTAGAATTTACAGACTAAAATCGGAAGAAAGCGAATAAACAATATCCTTATTAAAATTGATCAAAAATAAAGGGCAGATATATGTTCTTTAGATAATAAACTAAAAAATGCAGATTATATCTATACTCCCACAGTTATTGTTTATAAAGGAGTCTAAACACAGACAATTTGAAATTTAAATAGCTGTAGCTTCCGTTAATATTGATAAATTTTACACCAACATGTTATTTGGTACATTTTATTCTGTAAAGTGTGAGAGTCTATATTTATCCTGCTGTTTATGTGGAATATTGGATCTAAAAGGTACATTGTTAAACTAAACCAATTAATTTGGACCCATATACAATGTGTTCTTGTTCCTTGGAGCTACTAATGTATATGTTAATAATGGCAACACTAATATACATGTGAAAATAACTTTATATATGCCCACATGGAAATGTGGTCGTGAGTTATGTCCCTTGTTTCACTTTGTTGTACCTTGTGAATGCTCTAACGACAAAAGTTATTATCTGATCTGTATGAAATTTATATGCATCATTTAAATTAGTAAAACAAAGAAGCCTACTGAATTTCAGCAATTTCCATTTATTACATGTAGAGTTATGGCCTTTGTTTCACTTTGTTGAATCTTGTGAACGCTCTAATGACAACAGTTATCATCCGATCTGTTTGAAATTGATATGCATCATTTAAATTAGTTCAATGAAGAATTCTATTGAATTTCAGCAATTTCCGTTAATTATGCCGTAAGTTATGGCCCTTGTTTCACTTGTTGTATCTTGTGAATGCTCTAACGACAAAAGTTATTATCCGATCTGTATGAAATTTATATGTATGATTTAAATTAGTAAAACGAACAAGCCTATTGAGTTTCAGCAAATTTCCGTTAATTACATCTAGAGTTATGGCCCTTGTTTCACTTTGTTGAATCTTGTGAATGCTTCAACGATAAAAGTTATCACCTAATCTGTATGAAATTCATATGCATCATTTAAATTAGTCAAATAAAGAAGCCTATTGAATGTCAGCAATATCCTTGAATTACTTCTAGAGTTATGGCACATTGTTTTACTTTGTTGAACCTTGTGAATGTTCGAGCAACAAAAGTTATCATCCGATCTGTATGAAATTTTTATGCATTATTTGAATTAGTAAAATGAAAAAGCCTGTTGAATTTCAACAATTTCTGTAGATTACTTCCAGAGTTACAACCCTTGTTTTAGTTTTTATAACCTTGTGAACCCTCAAACGACGAAAATTATAATGTCATCTGTATGAAATTGTCTATTAAATTCCCCTAATTACCTACAAAAGAATAAATAAATATGTGACAACCCTTGTCGAAGGCTGCTGTGGGCGTATGTTTGGTTGCCTGGCAACCTATCTTTGTATTGGTCAAGAATATATGTAGGAATTTTTTTATTGAACATTATATGAATATATGTTAATAATGTCAACAATAATATGCATGTGAAAATTCCAAATATTTTTTTTTATTGATCAAGAATGGATGTAGGAATTTTTAACTGAACATGATTTCTTTAAATATTTGATTGAAGGTATTCTATGTAAACCGACTTTTCATATTGATAACTTATTATTTTTAAGTTCTGGCGCACTGGTAGAAAATATATTTGATTGAAGGTATTCTATGTAAACCGACTTTTCATATTGATAACTTATTATTTTTAAGTTCTGGCGCACTGGTAGAAAATATGAGTACATTGGCATGAAATTATTGCAAAAGGCAAGATATGAAAAAACACAAAGACCTCAAATCCCAGAACATGTACAACCTTATGTTATACATTGTTCAGCATCAGTGAATCTATTCTTAACAACTTCTAAAGTGAAAATAGGAAATAAAGTGAAAGATCAAAAAACAGTTGCCATAGTTTGTTGCACTGTCAGTAAAGTGTGCTCTTTTTTGGGCCAGTAACTTCTGGGACAGCACATGGAGAATAGAACAGCATTACAAGAGCAGACATTAGATTTTTTTTTTGTTTTTATCAAAACAGACAGTGACATATATACTTATAACACTCCACAATTTTAACACTAATTTTGTTGTGCTCTACTAGTCCAAACATTCATCTTTAGTTTATGTCTCTCTGTGACCAGATGACATTTGCTGCTTTTGTAATAATTTCATACATGCATTGCAAAAAATTCATGTAATATAGATAAGAAGTCTATATTAATATGACAAGTTTAGATATTAAGCCAGAAGTTAATGATTTTACAATGCAGATGGTTGACACATAAGTTTGATTAACATATAAAATATGTAATCTAGTGTGTGTATATAAAAAAATATTGTTTTTATTATTATTATTTATCTTTAATTCAAGTTTATTATGAGTAAAATAAATGGATTATTGTTGATTGTTTTTTTTGGGTTTTTTTTTCAAGCAATACCCATTTTATCAATTTTGACCAATTGGTTACTGAGCTAGAGTCATTTGCATACCTTTGTCCACACATGCAGGCATCTTTAAGACTGTGGGAAGCCACGTTGGCTCAGTGAGGTTGGCTTTGGCTCGCTAACCTAGAGGTCCTGTGTTTGATCCTTGTATTGGTCGTAAAATATCATAAGGACAGAGGTTGGAAAGGGACAATAGATATAATATATTTGTTTGGATGGGAAAAAAACGTGCACATAAAGAACCCTTGGCAGATGGAATTCCAAATAAGAGTTGGCAATAGTGCATAATATCCTGCATAGTACACTGTAGAACGTTAAATTTCATTTAAGACAGTGCTAAAATGTCAAATTCTTAGTTGTAGCAGTGTCAAGGGTAGTAGTGAGTGACCTGTGATGCCAAGATGCTTTTTCGTGCACTAACAAGATGTCCCAAGGAAGTCACTTCAGGGTCAGGTGCCACCTCTGACAAGTGAACATTGTGATTGAAAAATACTGATGGTCTGTCTTGGAATACTAACTAGCAACATTCTAATTAACAATTCTTATCCCTAATACCATTCTCCTGAAGGCTACTGAAATTTAATAACAAAAGAAATATTTGGGGATAAAGTTTTATTTCAGATTGCCACAGAAAACACAGAGAAATCAAAATAAGATTCAAATAATTTTACAATAGAGATTCAAATATTGTCATGTTTTCATTGGGCAGTGATATACAACTTATATATTACTAATTATAAATAAGCATAAACACAGGTATAGAAATAATGTAAATAAAACATCTCTTTTTTGACAAATGAACTATTCCATTTCCTTCAAGAATTTGTTGAATCAAGCAAAATTCCATTTATCAAAAGGGGATATTTTATCATATATTTTATTTCTACTCCTCAAATTTATTTTCAAATGCAGTAAACCATCACATCAACACCCACATAATCATAATCATTCTGCCATAGTTATAAAGTAACTTCCACCGAAAATCATGATTCTAATATTATCGTAATAACAATTAGCCATATCACAAGCTTATTAACTACACATTTTAACCCAAAACCTTGTAGTATGTCAAAGTTCAAATTGTGACCTTTTTAACTCACTGAGAATATGCAAAACAAATAAGAAAAAAATAACCATGACAATAGGAAAAACAGATAATTATTTCTTTTCTTTCCAAATATTAAATTCAAAAGGTTCGATAGAATAGCAGAGTACAAGAGTTCATTTATTTTTTTTTTGTGTAATTTTTTTTAAAGATGATATCCAATTGTTTAAGTTAAAATGTAAAAGTAAAAATTATGGAAAAACAGACCATTTCTAACAGCTTAGATTAGTTAAGGAGATCAAACCTATTAATCCCAATGTAGAGAAAATATTAACATTTGACAAAAATATTGAAAGGTAAAGCTAGCAATATGAAACAAAACTTATAAACACACAACCAGATTTAACTACATGATTAAGTACTATATATACCTATATATATTATATATAATAACTATGACAACAGTAACTAATAGTAACCAATAACCATGGTGATTTCAGCCAAACAATAATAATATATGGAATGATTAATATGGATACATCAAAACATTTTTAATAATATGTTTTTACTTCAGGAATGTGATTGTTAACTGTTTCAAAATTTTCAAATTTAATATTTTATGAAAATAAAACTGTTCCCATGACAACCCATTACATCTTTAACAACAACCTTTCATAGGCCATATAGTATATTACCCATTGGATAATTAACAGGAAAACTGCTCTTGCCATTTTATTGTTTAAATGCAATCCAGTAATCAAACAATTTGATATCTGTTTTATCATATGATGATTACCAGGCTTTCTAATAATACAGAATTTGCATTTTGACTCAAACCCTAGCTTATGTCCAATTTTAAAACTGGGCAACTTTGGAATTTATCATACAAAAGAATAAAGCTTAGAATTAATAAGGAAGAGATAATTAAAAAAATTTGGAATTTATAAAAGATATTATTGGGGAATTTAAAAAAGATAAATTTTTGAAATTCATAGAGTAAATGTCTTAAAATAAAGACTGATTGGAATTTATTATACAACAGATTCAAGCTTAGACCTGAAAACAAGTAAAATTTATAAGAATATGAATTTTACAAAAAAAAGATTTGTGGAATTTATGAACAATATTTTTTTTTAGAATTGTATAATTTATCCAACAGGTAATACTATACATATATATAACTATATACATTTATTTCCATCATACCTTAAACTTGGCATGGTCCGTTCATTATTGCACTTTACAACAAATTAAAATACATGAACAGGGTAATTTACACATAAAATAATCCTGTCGCAATAAAATTATTCTTTTTCCTTATCCATATATATCACAAATAAAGAAAGTTCAAAGAGCAAACAGGGGGAGATTTGTGGTTTCTAGTAAACATAACTTTCACAGCCAAGTTGGTTTGGTAATTAATTAAGAAAATAAACTTTATACAGAAATCTAATAATCAATTTAACAATATTCAGGGATATATATTTTAAAAGTTAGATTTTTATTTCAAGAAATGACTTTGAAATCTAGGATCTAACTGATATCAAAGATACTGCCTTTTTAATGGCTATGAACAATAATCTGTGATTGGATGCAAATTCAAAGATGTTTCAAGATCTTAAATAATTCAGAGAAAATTTTCAAGAAAGATAATTTAATAAATTACTAATACTGTATATTTTTTAAATGATCCCTGAATATCATCAATTGATTAATAGCAACAAGGAAAAAACAAAATTTAATTTTTGATTAATTTTTTCTGTAACTATTTTCAACCTCTAGATTCATGTCATCTTCTTTCAATAATTTATGTCAATTTTTCAGGATGTCTGTTCTAGAAAAATGTTTATCATTTAAGGAATTCTTTCAACATAAACAAAAGAAACTTTTGATAGTAATCGATTTAGGAAAAAAATGATTACTAGTTTTCATGATTTGAAGACATAACTTCCAAGACAGACTCCCCTCTTCAAAGACATTTAATATGAATATATGTATATATTGTTAGTTAATAATTGTTAAGAATACATAAACAGAACTTATCTCCTGTTGAAAAGTTAAATATTAGATGAAATAATTATGCTTCAACAGATTGATATGAACACTAATCTTTTAATCTGGTTATTGTAAAAACAACCATAAAGGAGATCCAATTAATAATCTAAATAGTATATGAACACAGTTAATCCATAATCCATCCCAGTGATATTTAAATAAATATACCGGATACCTTCATGTTGATTAATACTTTATTTTAGTTAATTATTTATTAGTTTGTGCATGAGAATTGCACAATATTAAGAAAAATTATTATTATTATGATAATAAATGTTCAGAGAAACCCATGCACTATCTCGTATCAGGGTACATTCAAGTAATACCATCTAAACAATAATCACAAATAGACTGGATTTATGCTGATTAAATACGAATCCCAATATCACAATAATGTCTGTCAAATATCTAGAAGTTATGAGAGAGCATACATATTTACTATTCAAATTTATTGGGACACACTGTATATTATGAACAAAATATTATGAACTAAAGCCCTGATTTTATAACTTATTATTACTTAACCATAAAACATATATCTATTATATTCAACAAAAACTTTACATAATAAAACCCTTTATATATTACTTACAAATAATTAAAATTTAACAAAGTGGAGAGAGAACATTATTCAAACAAAGCTGCAGCATGGTCTTTAAGAGGTAAACATCTGAGAATATATTTTGGCATTAAATTCTATTAATTTATATTGCAATGTCAGTGTCAAAATATGAATTTCAGCAAATAGGAATTTATTTATTCAATAATTTTGAAAAGGATGAATTAGATTGAGCAATTTAAACAACCGGGAGCAAAAGTGATTAGTCAAAAAAAAATATTGTGTTTCTTATTCCTGCAGAGAATAGATTTGGGAAAAAGATTTAGTTAGGGTATGTACACGACTTAAAGGGTAATGAATTCAGATAAAAGATACAGACTTTATTAATGTCTGTTTTATCTATTTCTAAATTAAGAAATCAGATTGAAAAATTTAACTACACATTTATAGAAATATTTATTTATTTACATGTTTGTACCGATAACAGTATGGAATAAGAAACACAAAGATTTTTTTGCCTTACGAACCAAACAGGTGATCCTAGTCCTAACATGCAGTAACAAAAATGTGCTTAGATTTGTTTTCCTAAAATTCTAAATGATCAAGAACCTAATTAATCGAACAATAACTTATATACAAAGCAATGGTGGTTTGTTTTTTGCATTGTTATATTTCTTTAATCAAAATATATTCAATAAATATCATTTATATCTTTTCTTTTAAAAATAAGATTAAACATCTATAATTTATTTTAATATCAATTTTGAACCTCCACAAATTACTATTTCAAAAACTATATTTCATGTTCAGTATAACCATCCGAAATAATATTGAGCTGAAATATCTAAATTTATTTCAATATCTATTTTCAACCTACACAAATTCCTTTTTAAAAAACTACATTTTATATTCAGGTTAAGAATCAGAATTAATATATTGTCTACTGATTGAAAAATTACTTATATAATGTTTATCTTGTAAGGTCCTAAATAAATAATATATTCGATATCTCATATCAAAGAGAATCAAGGTGATTAGTTTCAGTTGTTAAAGTCTGCTATAAAACAGCAATTGTTAATAATTACACACTATTTTTTTTTTTCATGATTTTTTTCCTTTTTTTAATATATTACTTTTTATACGTATGTTAAAATCACAGTAAAGGGAGACAACACACTAGCACTAGACAAGGGAAATGTTAAAATATGACAAGATTGACTAGAAACATAGATTAGACGAGATCGCACATGTTATTAATCTTGATCTTTGTGATCATCTGGTCCTGGGGCAACGGGTGTGTCCTCACTGAACAATGGATTTTTCACCTCCATTTCTCCAGTCTGAAAGTAAAAATAAAATACAGAATGACACTAAGTTTTCTTGTAAGAAAATAACTTTCAGTTTAAAACTACAAAGTACATGGAATATCAATTAAAATGAAGGCCATTATCTGTACAATTGAAAATTACACATCTAATTACACTCACAATTATTAACAAGAGCAGCGCTAACGCAGCAATATACGTCCACATTCCTGTTTTGTTTGATATGGTCCAGTTTGCTTTGAGGGTCTGTGAAATAAAACTGGGTTGTAGGACTGCTATCAGTTTAACACTTCGTTCACATTAACAGAACACAATTTTTATTTTAAAACAATCGATGTCTTTATTCTAAAAGCATGACGTTTCGAATAGGTATGCAAAGTTTCAAAAGGATCTGTTAAGAATTGCGGTCTGTAGGCAAAACACAAGACACACAAACATTAGGCGTGGCTCTGTCCCAAGGGGTCGAGCATGCACCAAAAATAATAATAGAGGTCGGCCTTAGGATTAAGGAATAAGTATAAAAAGTAGCCTTAGGCTATAAGGAATAAGTATAAAAAAGTTTTCAAGATGATCGATTAAGAAATGCGGTCTGCAAGTGACACACAGACATAAAAAAAGAAAATGGGCGTAGCTCTGCCCCAGGGGGTTGGGTATTCACCACAAATAATAGGGATGTTCCTTAGGATAGAAGGAATATGTATGCTAGGTTTCAAGGTGATACGATAAGAAATGCGATCTGTAGATGACAAACAAATAAATAAATATAAGGGATGGCCGTGGCTCTGCCCCTGGCGGTCGGGCATGCACCAAAAACAATAGGGATCATCGTTAGGGTATAAGCAATTCATATGAAATTTTTTCAAGACGATTGATTAAGAATTGTGCCCTGTAGGTGACACACAGACATAAAAAGAAAATGGGCGTGGCTCTGCCCCTGGGGGTAAAAAAACAATAGGGATCATCGTTAGGGTATAAGCAATTCATATGAAAAAATTTCAAGACGATTGATTAAGAATTGCGCCCTGTAGGCGACACAAAGACACACGAAAAGAAAATGGGCGTGGCTCTGCCCCTGGGGGTTGGGCATGCACCCCAAACGATAGGGATGTTCCTTAGGGTACAAAGAATGTGTATGCAAAGTTTCAAGATTATTAGTTAAGAAATGTGGCCTGTAGACGACAAACAAACAAATACTAGAAATGGGCGTGGCTCTGCCCCGGGGGGTCGGGCATGCACCAAAAACAATAGGGATCTTCCTTGGGGTATAAGGAATAAGTATACCAAGTTTGAAGAAAATCCATGAAGAATTGCGCCCTGTAGGCGAACCACAGACACACACACACACACACACACACACACACACATACATACATACACACACACACACACACAGACAGGGGCGACGGCATAATACGTTCACATTATGAATGTGGACGTATAATAAAAGTGTAGATGTTAAATCAGACTATCAAAGGAAGTACTCGAAAGGGTTGAAAACCTCAATGATTAGGACAAGCGGATATTAAGCTCATTTTTCCTAGGATAGCGATAAATCTAAAGGTAGGCATGACTATTAATACAGGATCGAAAAAACTAGTCAGGTAGTAGAATAACTGACAGAAATGAGTGATAACAGGCCAAAATCTTTAGTAATGTAATGTAAGTGATTAATGCATGTGCTTTACATATTACAAATGCTAACAACATGCTGATGTTTTATTTGACATTATCCAAAAAGCCTTCAATTTTATTTTTATTTCTTTTCGATCATACTCGACTATTTACAAACATAGACACAGGGCTAGATTATCTCTGGTATAACAGAGTGTCCTGCCGACTAATTTTGCTACAACAATTTCTTATGTCTATTATTTATAAATATTAGATGTGACTTACTGGGGCGAGTCCGGGACATTCATAAACTGTGTAATCTCCTTCTTCATTCTCTTCTTCTGATTCATCTTCAGATGCATCGTGTTTCATTTCACCATTTGCCCTACAAAAATAACATTCATCCATTAATACGCTGGCATTCAAATTCAATATAACAAAATTCAAAGTCTTCCTTCACCTTGTACCAAGACATTGATGCATAACTCAATCTTTTGCAGAAATCGTTGAGCCAAAAGAAAACGCCTTCTAAGTTCTGTGTGTATATCAAGGTTTTTGTTATTTTCAAATCCAATCTATTTATTGACAGGGAATCATCATGATAAATAAAAATAGACATTATACAATAGAAGACAGAAAACTTACTTTTCCATGGCAATCATTTGTTGTTTCTGATGTTGATAATGATACATCTGAGCACTCTGAGCTAATTTGCGATCTCCAGGAGATGGAACACGGTCTTTGTTTGGTCCAGAAACACCGTAGGCTGGATATTCTACATCACTGGTAGCTTTTGCGTTTCGATTCAGCCTGAAAATACAGAGACATTCAGCTTATTATTAATAGTATATAAAACTCTGTAACTTTGCGATCTTTGTCTCAGCCAATAATGACATTACCATAATCATACCTAGAATGACAAAATTCATAAATAACAGACAGATGTCCCCCACCTTAACCTCAAATAAGAGGACACTCATTGGGGATGCTCAATTGAATTCCCGGGTTGAATTCTGTCAAACCCAAAAATAGTGACAATCGAATGAAAATTGGATTTGGGGCTAGAAGGCATGCGCTGAGTGCATGAGAAAATATCTTAACCAATCATGACAGCTGAAACATATTCATTAGGTTTAATTACATCACTATTCTACACACACCACCTCCATTGTCAGGACTTTCAGAACTGTGACAGGACAGAATTTCGCGTCACTCGATTGCAATTTCATCAATTCAGAACGTTCTAGTCTGACAATTAAGCATCTCCATTAATTACTTCCACATTTACCTTTTTATAAGACTTGAACCAATAAAATTGCTGATCACTCTCCTCAACCTGATCAGAATATGCTCATTATCAAATTTAATCATGTTATAGATGTAATGAAAAAATATCCCTAGTTTCATCACTCTCACTTATTTAGAATCAAATGTGTTATGTTCCAAAGCATTGAAAAATCAAATGCTTATTCTATAATCTTTGTAGCATACAAGAGCATGAGTAAATGTGTAGCAAAACTTGAACAGAAGCATAAATTTGTAGCAAAACTTGAGAATGAATGTTTGTGGACAAAGGGCTGATTCAGTCATTAATCTTTTGATATTTGATACTTTCAAAATAAAATGCAAAGAGCAAGTGGTTGTAATGTTTTAATGTAAGTAAACTCTATTATTTTACTGGAAAATTAAACAAAATATTGAATAAGTGACATATTTAATGCAGTTATTAAAGTCCCAACTTACAGCAAATCAGACAGATTAATTGCAAATCTACATCTTAGGTTACTTAGATCCTTTGTTGGTAGAATGTTTAATAGATTTATACAACACTACACCATACAAATTACTTTATGTTCCCTTTAAAGTTTCATTTCCAAGTTGTACTAATTACAAATATTTCACTGAATGATACTATCTAAGCAATTACCTATTGAAAGATAAATAGTATTTAACAGTATCCCTATCCCCTCAAGTTTGGTGTAATTGAGTATAAGAATTTTATTTTTCAAAAATAATGTAATAAATAGTATTGCCAATTGCATGAGAAAACATATTGTTTACAAATACCATGGTAGTGAAAATATATGCCATTTTAATGTAAATAAAGTTGTTATTATGTAATTAAGCACACCTGTTTTACAAAAACCTTTATGAAGAAAAGACTGACATATAGTAAAAGATAGAATTATTACTTTACTAATTTAAAAGTCGCAATATGAAATCAATAGAAACCAATGTGAACTTCAAATGGACATAACTTACACTACGAATGATTGATTGAAATACATTTGGACCAAAATATTTTTTAATAGCAGCAATTATAATTTTTAGGTTGGGACTTTAATACTGTTAGATCAGTTGACTGAGGCATTGCAATCATTATCAAGTTTTGTCCAATATTTTAATACACTTTAATTATGATTCTCCAAAAAGTTCAAAAGACTACAACTTTGACTTAGTTTTTGAAATACAAAATGATTAATTTAATTTCAATTGAATGATAGATCGTGTTCAGTACAGTGTGCTGAATTTCAGCTGCACTGTAAATACATTATTATTACTATCATTATTAAGTAACAGCGGATATGATCTACAATTGACTGTTCTGACAGAACTATTTTGGGTGTTATAGTTTATCCCCTGTATGACCATATCCCCAAAAATTGACAGGGTGGACTGATTTATGTCTAAGTATGTGATTCAAAAGCAAAGAGTGAGAGAGAAATGGAGTTTAGCGTCAACGACACAAACTTGGTCATTTCGAACTAACACACGGTTCAATTTTATTTCAGTAATTCGCTAGCTCGTGGAAGGTCTTTAGCTGTGTGAGGAAACTGGAGAACACAGAGAAAACCAATGAGGTTGGACAGGCAACCCTACTTCTTGTAACGTACTAGCGGGGAATCGAAGCCATGCCACACGACTCAAAAACGACCTTGTGATTTTACGCGTAACTACTAGACCACCCAATCAAGTCTGGGAGTATAGCTCATTCATCATCCTTTAAATTAATCAAATTATCTTCCCCTATGGAGACAGCTTCATCTTCTTGTTCGAGTCTATAAATCATGAATCTTCAAGAAAATATTCATTATCATGAAGACATTTGTAGAATGGTACTAATCCAGATAACAGGACCAGTTATGTCAGATAATGATGATCAACATGCTATTAAAATGGTTTTAATATTTTAAACGCCTTATACTTATAATTAAGAAGAAAACTGGCTAGTTTATGCTTAATCAGATTCAGAGCTTGATTATACTCACAGAGTAGGCCTACTTCTAATTTGTCATAACCAAAAGAACTAAAAGGTCAAAACAGGACAAAGACAAGTACCTACCAAGCATTTATATAATTATGTATATAGGTGGATCTATTTGATTCCATTATGGTAGATCAATTTCTTACAATCAAGCTGACAACACAATTTGCTGGCTGAATAACCCTGAGAAAGACTCTCTCTAACAAAGATATTTCACTTAAATCAACTGACCCCTTTCTGACCCTGAATGCAAATAAATGCACATCCTCAAATATTTAAGGGCTTTGAGTGACTAGATGCAGTGGACAGTATATTATAATATGTCAGTTACTATGTATATTTGACTGTAGGGGGTATAAACATCAGACAGCTGAGTATTAATGTCTAAATGTCGATACATGACACCCATCAATATACCTAAACATGTAGATTGCACAATGTGACAGTCACATGTAAACTACAGAAAGGTGGTTTTAATTCTACCCAAAAGCCCAAGTTAATGTTTGTAATTTCTAAAATTAAATAATATCAATGTTTAAAATACTGTTAATGTTTAAAACAGGTAATAAGGCACAATTATTCAATTTTAAAATGTTAATATCTTCAGAATTCCCTTATATTATGTATCAAAAGTAGGCTATATCTATCCTAAGAATAAGTATCTAACTGTAGCTTTTCTGTTGGGTTGTTTGTATTGTCCTTGCAGGTAGCTTACATTGTATATTTAAGAAAGAAGCACTAGCACTTCGGAAATTCTTTTATTATTGTCCACAGTTCGACTACATTGACGGCATCATGCCTAATGCTTTTATCTCAAAGCCAGAGCTTAGATTTTTCATAATTAAGTGTATAATGAAATAATAGGACATTTTCTTTTTTGTTGAATCGAGCATGATTTGGGTGACTACTATATGGTAAACACTTGCAAACTACAACATTGTAAAAGTTGAATCTCTGATAGGAATATCAGTCCAAAAATGGTTCAATTCCTTTCAATATTTACAAAGATACGATGAACTGAAATTCCAATGATCTATGCTGCTCCCTGTGTAAACAAACATACTGTTTCGGGGGGTTGGGTTGGGTTGGGTTGGTTGTCCGAATGGTTAGTGCGTGCTGTGTCATGTTTCATAAGGTCTGTCATTGAGTCAACTGGCGTGGTTTCGATTCCCCTGTTGTATGTGACAAGGAATGGGTCGCCTGTCCAACCTCGTGGGTTTTCTCTGGATCCTCCGGTTTCCTCCCACTGCTAAAGGCCCCTAGACGCAAGCGAATTATTGAAATAAAATTGAACCATGTGTTAGTCTCAAAATGACATAGTTTGTGTCGAGTGGACGTTAAACCCCATCTCTCTTTCTCTCTTTATGTTTCGCGAAATCTAATTTATGGACCTGCTTCAATTCGACTGAATCCAAGCTGGGAGATTATCTAGCCTTGATCTAATTTATGGACCTGCTTCAATTCGACTGAATCCAAGCTGGGAGATTATCTAGCCTTGATCTAATTTATGGACCTGCTTCAATTCGACTGAATCCAAGCTGGGAGATTATCTAGCCTTGATCACACACAGCTACTTTAATCTATAATAATATGCATGTTAATTGTTATTTGTATTTCTAACAACAGATATTGAACAATCTATTATTATTTCTTACTAGAAAAAAAATACACAAACCGGTACTTGATTTAATTCACTATTATCTAACATGAGATTTTTAAGAAATAGTTCTTACCATGTCCGAATATCTGTTAAATTCTTAATAAATTTTCCTCTATTTTTCCGTAAAGATTCAAAATAAACAGCCATAGTGATGTAAGGAGTCAATGAGAGTGAATAATGACAAAGAAGTTATGACAACTAGCAGCGTAATAACATCTCTAGGGGTATAAACAGATTTTATAGGCCAATATTTTAGGTGTAAACAACAGTAACAGTTATCTAACAGATGGCTCATGTTTAGGGTATATGATTATTACTCATTATAATCAGAAGGCCAATACAAATAATATATTGCTGTGCATTCAAGATTTTGAAATTTATGAACCAATCATTATTTTTGTATAATAGAACTGCTACCAACAGAGTAAATTGATGGTTATAGAATAGAATTTTATTGCATCGAAAAACGGTTTGATCCAAGTTTATATATTAAAATATATAAAGTGGGCTCAAACTCAACCTCAATCGAACCATGGACCTTATAATAAGGTATTATAAGGTCCATTATCGAACTGAAACCAGATGTTAACTCTGTTTCGTTTTTTTTGGGTGTTTTTTATCTTGTACTTCATTAATATCTGTCATTTCATTAATTAAAATGTCTGTATTGTAGCATACTGGGCTGCCTTTTTTGGCGAATTATGTAAATTAGTAACATTAAATTTATTGCATGGATAACCAATAAGATAAACAAATATTATTATCCTTGTGGCCTTGATTTTCGAGTACTGTATATAGTTATCAATTATGATTATCACTATATTTAAATGTAAATGAACTAATTATAGGTTTAGAATTAATTAATACCATATCATTTCATACCAGCTGTCAAATCATTGTTCACTCAAACAGGTGGACCTCTATCATAAAAAAATATGACTCTTGTGAAATATTCAGTGCCTGTATTATATTTATCAAATTTCATTACATTCTTTCCTGCTAAGAAAATACATAGAATCAATAAAAGTAGACTAACTCTTTAGTTCTGGAATTAGCACATAATGCCAATAAAATCCTTTTCAATACTGGTTTTAAAATATCCTACATGTGAATGGAAAATATTTGTCTGCTTTCAAAAGTTCATGAAGGATAAATAATAATATAGAGCTATATTTTTTAAACTAATAGATTAAATATAAAGCAGTGTAATGGATGGACCATGTGAGTATTCATTAATAGAGAAAACACTTTGTCAAATTGTGACACACCCCACACCCATTCTCCATAAGATGTGTTCATTTACCTGTTTCCCATGCTGAATATTAATTATATAATCTTTCACCCTATCACGTAATCCAATCAACAGTTTCTTTACAAATCAACTTGATGGATTAATCATAAATCCTCAGTTTATTTACAAATGAAGCCAATCCAAAAAAATTGCATCACAGAACAACTTCCTTGATACCATACATATTCCTGTTATGTAACATATAAGCTAAAAATAAAAATACTCTTGTATTTCCTTGTTTGAAATACTATATAAATAATCCTAGATCAAGATAACTACATAAGAAATTCAAAAATGTATTTAGTCTCATCAATTCCCTATCTCTCTCTTTATCTTCCTTTAGTTTAAACAACAAAATTCACACATGTAAATATTTAATATGTTAACTTGTAGGTAATAATGTATTCTGTAGTTTTGGTCCTTTTTCTGTTTTTATAAATGATGTTTCAAATAAGAAAATCAAATGTTCTTCAATACCAAGATACGCTATTATTATAGTTTTATCCAATGTACATATATATTCCTTGATTTTCCTTGCAACAGAAGATGTGGTCTCTGTTAATGACACATGTTGTGCAGTTCTTTATTTGTAAAAAAAATAAAAACTATAATGAATTCACAATCTCCCTTTTATCTTACTGGGTAATATCCTTTGTTTAAAACATCTGCTATATATCACTTTAATGCACAATCACATCCCTGATTCCACCGAATCTAAGACTTTTGAATTAAGATTTTCAGTAATTAACAGAATCTGGAGAAACATCACTGCTGATCATTTGTCACAATCATTTAGTCTTTCTAACTCTACATCTAAGTCAGATAAAAAAAAAAAATCATACAAGCCAAATTTAAAATAAAACAGGTTTTATAAAGTTTAAGAAAACCTAAACGGATAATTAAGTCTTGTGAATCAGAAGCGTATAAAGAAAGTGAAATTTAACTAGATTTAAATCTGTATTTGATTCTTTTGAAATCTTGAAAAATATATCTAGTTTCCAAAATCCAAAAACAACTCCAAGTATCCGATTTTAAAAACATCCATAGAAATGTTCAATGTAGGAATCAAATAATTTACAAATACATGTACGAAATGAACATAAGTAATATCTATACAATAATCTTCTATCAATGCATTCATCTGAATATTTGATTTCATTATATATGTGATTAAAATGGGCGTGGACTGAACTGAAACAGATGACTAACTCTCATAATAATAAGAATAATACACAAGTAGTGATTGTCATTTCAATTAAATTATACTCATCAAATTTACTCTTGTGGAAAATTTACTTTAGATTTGTGTTTATGTATGCAGTAGATAATTAGAGGGTTATGCAGGAAATCACATATTATGTACAGTATAACAAGCAAATGGACCACCATGCTAGCCAATCAGATTCACATAATCTCACACCACAGTCTGCTTAAAGATACATTATGTAAGATTTAGATAAAGAACTAGCCATTCTTGCTATAATAGTTCGAAAGTAGATGATGTAAAATGAATAATTTGAAAATTTCATTCAAATTACTCTATTGCAAGCGAAGATATTAGCCTTTGAAGGTTTGACAGACGTGTGCAATAATTTCAACCACCATACTGGTTGATCAGAGCTAAGTCTCGGTCCTCCATATTTGATTAAATCAAAGTATCGCTGAACCATTCTAATCTATTTAATATCGGAGAAATCTGATGCCATCAAGAGTTGATTAAGGCCTGGATCAGTTAATAAATGTCTAATTAATACTTTAGAAAACATTTCAGGCCTAAAGAAAGACCTGCAATAGGCAGATTTAGTTAACGATGCCATTCTCTAGATCAACATAGATAAATAATCACTAGTTGCTGAATTTAATTTTTTGGTGATAGGGTATTAAGATTATGGTACTTGCAACTCGAAAATTGCAGATTAAATTATTAATTCATGTGAATATCTTTTAAATTGTAGAATAAAACCCTAATATAAAGGCCACCATCATTATGAATGATTAGGTGTGGTCCTTCTCACTGAATTTCAAACAAATCATCATTACTGCCTATCATAGAGACAACATCTTAGTTTACACTCACTCATATCATGACCCTTCAAATTATGAGATGGTTAACCGAGTATGATGCTTGCTCACTAACCAGATGTAGAAATGTAAGATGTTAAACTCCATTTCATTTAAACGCACGTGTCCTATTTTAACCCGAAGATCAGCCGATTAAATATCTAACACTATAGGCTCCTTCACTATCATTTTTTTTTACATTCTACTAGAAAATGTACAGTGGAACCTCTTGATGATAGACACAAGCCAACAGTGGGCACGATGTCCCCTGCTGAAATCCGAAAATAAATAGATTTTGCATATTAATTAATTGAACATTTGTCTTTTTATCAAACTGCTTATCTATCCTCTTAGTCTAAGCAGAAAATATTGACGATCGAACTCAGTCAAGGCTTTAAAATGCCTGGTAGTGAAACTCTACACCAACTTTCATTACTCTTCAGAAATTAGAATAAAATATTAATCATTAACTCAGTCAAGACATTCACCTAATGAACATCTACACCAAGTTTAAGCATTCTACCTCAATTAAAAATAGAGTTGTTGTGTTCTAAAGTCTTGACCAATCAAATTGCTTATAACTACTTAGCCTAAGCAGAAAATTCTCATCATCGAACTTAGTCAAGGTATTGATATAATGAATCTATATTCTGAATTTCACCACTCCCAACCAATTAGAACCAAAGTTATCTTCAACAGGCGGGGGACAATTAAACATATTTAAATTTACATATATTGTACTTACTTGAACCAACAGACACCTGCCATTATTAATCCAACTAAACCTGCTACACTACACGCAGCAACAATAACTGAAAAGTATCAATTATAATTACACATATTAAACAATCTACTATCTATTGTTATTAATACTATATATTAGTTCAATTTCTCATATCTTGTAGTTTTTTATTTTTAACCAGCCAGGCAGGATACGCCCACATTTTGCAAGAGATGGATAGAGAACACGCTAAAAACAAAAACGATTTTTTGTACAATCAGGGGCAATAATCCATTGGTTTGCAATGTGCTAATATCAAAAAGAGAGAAAGAGAGAAATGGGGTTTAACATCCATTCGACACAAACTAGGTCATTTCAGGACTAACATATGGTTTAATTTTATTTCAATAATTCGTTTGCGCATAGTGGTCTTTAGCAATGGGAGGAAACCGGAGGACCCAGAGAAAACCCACGAGGTTGGACAGGCAACCCTACTCCTTGTCACTTACAACCGGGGAATCGAAACCACGTCAGTTGACTCAATGACAGACTTTATGATACAGTGTGCGCACGCTAACCATTCAGGCATCCACCCCCCCTTTTTGAAATATAAAGATATGTTTTAAGTTTCATCATAATTGGATAAAAATTGTGACCTCTAGAGGGTCCATAACCTTTGAATTACATACTTATATACAATTTGCATATAAAGAGCGGCCATTTTGTTGGGCAGTTTCATTTCGATTTTCCCGAAATTCCAATTCAACCTTCATTATGGTGGAATGGTGATATATCTAAACGGTTGTTAAAATCGGAAAAAAAATTGTGACCTCTAGAGAATCCACAATCTAAAAATGCGATTATTTGACATATCAGGGTTTACGTTCGGATATGTGTGATTATCAAAAGGAACCAAGATCTTTATGATAAAAAGATATATTTAAAGTTTTATCCAAATCGGATAAAAACTGTTTCCTCTAGAGGGTCCACAACCTTGATATACATATATTTACACTATTTGCATACAAGGGGTGGCCATTATGTCCGTCACTTTTTGTCCGATTTTCACGAAATTCAGACTCAACCACCATTAGTGTATAATTGATATATTCACACGTTTTGTTTTTAAATCGGATAAAAATTGTGAACCTCTGGAGGGACCACAAGCCAAAAACATGATTTTTCGTACAATCAGGGGCCATAATTCAGGAAGTTACGGTCCGATATGCGCGAATATTGAAAAGGAACCAAAATCTTTGGATTATAAACATGCATTTCGAGTTTCATCAAAATCGGATGAAAATTGTGACCTCAAGAGTGTCCACATGCTAAAAACGTGATCGTACAATCAGGGGCATTAATCCATGAAGTTATGGTCCGATACATGCCAATATCGAAAGGAACCAAGATCTTTGGGAGATAGACCTATATTTCAAGTTTCGTCAAAATCGGATAAAAATTGTGACCTGTAGAGTGTCCACAAACAAATTGTGGACGGACATGGGCGACGGCAATATACATCCACATGAAAATGTGGGCGTATAAAAATCTGTCATAAAGGAGTGTAAAATTTATAACTTAGGACAATACTGACCTATAAATAGAACTCCACTAGTTGGTGTTCCATGACTACCGAGTCCGGTATTTCCGTCTCCCGGATGCTGTACTTGTGGTTGTGCCTGACCAGGAACAGGAGGCTTGTCAGTCTGATTAACTTTAGGACTGTCTGTTTGTTTCACCGGGTCCGCGTCTGTATCACTAGTTCCGGGTTCGAGGACATCTTTCTTTATTTCTTGTATGCTTGTACGACTTGCACCAGCTGTAAAAATAAAAGTTGAACTAGGTTACCAGGCTAAGTCATACAAGTGGTCCTTTAATTTTGTCACATTGTGAATCTTTAAGTTTAACGAGAGTATTTATAAGAATAGATTAGAAAGTGATCAAGGGCCAGAACTCAAGATAACAGAAATTTAAAAAAATTTGTTAAGATTCTTCCTTTCGCTAGAGTGTTGACATTCTTTTACAGGATGGACATGGGCCATAATTCCAGAAAAAAATAAATGGGTAAAATTCAAAAGGATTCTGTGTTTAACTTATCTAAACAATGCATACAAGGGCCATAACTTGAGAAGTACAGTACTAAACAATATTTTTTTAGGCTTCTGTGCTGTGTATCACTTCTTCATATCATTAACTTCAGGGATACGGTAACTGCTTTGCTTAAAGAGCATGTGACTTATTGGCATTTCCAGATGATTCTAATTGGATGACATTGAAAGGGGTGACGGTACATTGACTGTAGGCCTCTGCTGTAACTTGTACTGTAAATGTAGTAGTATCTTAGTACATCTAGTCAGGTTATATCAGCTGTTACTCCTCTCAATTTTGGGAAAGGTACAGAAAGCAGACTGCTTCAGAAATGATTCCCTAGTTGCTGGAAACAGTGCGGCCTATGATTATTTATGAACTTTTGTCAATAGCATAACTGGAAACCTGCCTAAACGATTACATATGCACTTATGCAGTGTTTCAGCATAATACCCTTTTCTTTCAAGTGACAGAATCTGTGCAAAAGTTTCTGGTATTACTATCAGCACACATGTAGTTTGAATGTATATTTTCCAGAATTACAAATTGTAAAACATAGTCTGAACTGAAGCTAGATTAGTTAAGGGGAAATAACTCCATTTATCTCTTGCTTTCATGGTAGTTTATGCAGGTGGAATCCACAGGCACTTGAAGGAATTAAAATAAAACTTCTTACTACTGCTTGACAAGTATTACTAATAACACAAGGTGAATCACCCACCATATTTACATTGGAAGGTGTATAATGATCAAATAAAGTCTCATTGGCAATAAAATGACAGAAAGTGTTAGAACTAATGAGTATTGTGATATGATAGCAGACGAAATATCTTCAACAATCCAAAACAATATGGTGAGTGATTCACTTTGTATTATTAGTAATACTAGTCAAGCAGTAGTAAGAAGTTTTATTTTAATCCCTTCAAGTGCCTGTGGTGGGATATTAATATCACACAGTTACTGGACTATATGAAAAAATAAAAAAGGTTAGCCTATAGATAAAGCTGTGACCATGGACATTATTGGGTCCATGCTGTATAAATTCAAACACACCGGAAATGTCCCAAATTGATCAAGGTATGAAGTTTGGATTTGAAGCTCTGTGGGAATTATATGCCTCACATTAAACCAGCTCACAAAATTAAATTGAGAATCTTTTTATCATACATCATATGTTTTATATTTTTAATTAATGACAAACATAAAATCATTGTCCCTTTTCCAAGTTAAAAAGAAACTGGGTATAATAATAATAATATATTTACCTTTATCTATGAGTTGTTGTAAAGTTAAATACTCTGGAACCTCTTCTGAAAGCACAAATCAAAAACAAATTAAAATTCTGCCAAAATATCTGCAACTAATTACATATGGAAACTGCAAGTTAGTATTTCAAGTGAAAAAGTACCACAGAGATTCAGCTAGTTTTGCAGAAATAGGATAAAGGTTTCTAATAAGGGTCTTATACAGAAAATTAACACCATTGATTCATTGAAATATATCTAGTCTGGAGTCTGGGATGGCTACTTCATCTTTATAACTGATGTAAAAGATAGTCATGATTAAATGGGATTTTGGTCTATAAAGATAATATTCACTCTTCTATAGTTGTCTATCATACCATCATTTACCAAATATAAAGATGCTATTCACCAGATTTGCAAGACTTTAAGAAGACACCATATGCCATTACATGAGGTCAATGATCATTTGAGTGATTTTGAATTCTTTATAAACTATTAAATGTTTTATAAGTTGGATCTCCAAAAGGAATATCAGTCCAAAAATAGTGCAATGCTGCTGATTTTTTTTTACAAAGATATGATGCATGTACATTCAGCATCCTCTGAAGACGATACAAACAAGCCAATGTTACCTACATGTTTAAGTGTTGGGTAAAAACTTCTGATAGGCCTCTTTTAAATATTATTAAATCCATGTTATCTATTTTTAATATTTTGATTTTGTTTTATTTGAGTATGTATTTCAATGAGGATTAAGCTGTTAAAATTAGATTGTGTCCAAAAAATGCATAATGGTTATCAGAGACTATAAATTTAATACTGTTTATTCGAGCGTTAGACAGGTGAGTTATATTCGTGATGGAACTACTAAGCCTAAGATAAGAACTAGTAATTACAGTGTTATTTCAGAAATTATTAGACCCCAACTGTCAATCCATCATTGTAGCTACATGATCAATACGTTTACGCGTTATAAGCTAAGACCACTGGCAGCCGTATCAACCTGTGTCCAAGATCTAATGTAGATATTGATCAACTACGAGAATCTATTATCATTGGATTATCATCCTCACCATTCCCAACCAGTACCGATTACCAATTACTAGTAGTCATTGACGTCAGTACATTCATATAGTGTATATATTTACAGTATTTGGTCACTATGGCAACTTATTGACACATTGTAAAGATGTCCTCCAGTGGACAATCTGACCCAGTGAAGTGATTATTTCGGTCACATATTGAATAATGAGAAAATGGTTTTATGATCAACCTTTATAAAGTGACCTATAGGAGTCGGCACTAACATGTACACGCTAAATTGCTTATCAATTTCTTTTATGTTTAATGAATAAAATGGGAACTACGGTACAGGGATGGTTTTAGCAGACGGTAACATTGATCAAAATTTTCAGATAATTTAAGTTTTTTTTTCTCAAAATGTCCTCCTAGTTTGATGCCATTTTATGTAGGATTTAGTCATTTTGAATAAAATGTCATATATATCAGAAAACATTAAATAATACCTCTATAAAATAGCAAGCTCTCTTATATTTGGGTCAAAAATAATTATAAAATTGTTAATTTGACTGTTTTTATTTGTTGATTTGATTTGTACGATTACAATCTGTCTTGGTTCTAGTTTCACGGCCGTAAATAAAACCAATGTTAATATAACTGAGCAGTGGGAGGAAATTGGAAAAGCCACAAGGTTTAGTTCGTTCCTACTCCCTGTCGTGTACAATCTTGATCCTAATGATCTGCAGCACACATTGAGATGACTTTGACCCCCCTTCCCCCCAACCCAATTAAGTAATATTAATATTTTAACTACTTAGATAGTATCATTACTTATTACTATCAATTATTTTTCTCAACTCTATATATAGGAGATAAAAAGCTTTGTTATTGTTATGTCTTCTCGTTGTTTCTTCCAGGCATATTGATGTCTTATAGATAAGACATGGTGAAAAACATCAACAGACCCATAGGCATACATATATTCAATTAAGCTTACGCTGTAACTATAATAACTCAGAAAGATTTGCATTAATTTTGAGCAATTTTATGTAGAAACTTGTGGTTAATACACCCATGTGCCATGATCATTCAGTGTTTGACGTCAAACAAAATAATTTATGCATGACCTTTCACTCATACTAGAGTGATCAAGCAATTTCATGGTATTTGATGCAAATACTTATTACTTATAAATACATGACACAAATAATTAATCATATATCAAACATTGATATAAATTTAGCAAACAGAAAATACCAACATGTAAAATACCAGTATGGTATTTTGGGTATAACTGATTAGATTAAAGGAGATAAATCTCTATTCTTTGGCACCTAGAATTTCACACTAATGGGTCGCTACGCATATAATAATGTTTATTATGAATATATATAAACTGATTTACATTCAATCGTTTCTGTTTTTACTGTAATTTCTAATCAGTTATGTTCAGCGGAACGCATATAATAATGTTTGTTATGAATGTATATAAACTAATTTACATTCAATCGTTTCTGTTTTTACTGTAATTTCTAATCATTTATGTTCAGCAGCATATGCGAAGAGTCCAAATTGATTGGCAGTCTTTGGAGTCTGGTTATTCCAGTCTATATCTGTAGTATAATCTTGTGGGATATGTTCAGCCTCATTTATTGAGTCGCTTCATTACAAATGATGCCAGAAAGCATTCCGGTACGCGACTCGCGTACCAATTTTACAATGTTCATTTTGTCAAAAATATTGGATATCAGAAGCCCATTATTTCAGGGTAAGATAACAACATCAATGTTGATTTAAATTCATGACGAAGACTGTGGAGGATATTGAGTTAGCGACTTGCCTCCTTTAAAAAATGCATGTAATGCTCCCAGTCACTTCAGGAAAAGTTGTCCTTTTGTTGTTAAATCTTTAATTTTAGTATTAAGTTTAGGAGCATATGGAATGTCATAAATTGGGTAGACTATTTTTAATTAACCATTGTATTGTTCTCTACTGCTTTATAGGTGTATCCCAGAATTCCAAGTACACCAGAATTATAAAGCTTGACTAAACAGACCATTTTACTGGCTTACCCCAAACACCAACAGAACACCTTCTTCCATATACATGTAGTGTAGTGAAGACAACTAAAAGAACTTTGAATTATATAATTCATGCAAATGATTTATCAAATTTTAACATTTTTCTACAAATGCTTGTACATTGTAGATATATCATGGTGGCATTTTATTTATCAAAACTATACATATTCACCTCGACATATCAAAATTCTCTCTCCACTTGCCCATAGAGATACACTTTAGCATCTATTTTGGGCGGACTCTTTTGTTGCAAATTCCCAAGAGGTATTTTTCTCTTTGTATAGACAATAATATGATTATAGTTTCTGATAAATAACGCCCACCAGACTGATGAATTATAAGCCAAATAGAATTCTTCCTACAAATATCATGGTCCAGACATTACACACTTACAAAATAGTCAGATGTGTGTAACAGCTACAAATGTTGTTTTTTTAATTCGTTCTAAAGCTTGATCTAATTTGTGCTGAAATGTTCACTCAAGATCAACATGTCATTCATTCCTCATGTAATTTTAAATTATCAGTTAATCCAATAAAATATTTATAAAAAAATTCCTAATGGAAGCAATAATGTGAGTATGTACAATAATTATGCAGTTTCTTCTATCAAGTGGGAGTAAAAAAAAATCATAACATTTTTCTGTATATTTTATTCGCCCACCTGGACTTTACTTTCTGTCGACTTGGATTTTATAACACATAAATATCTCCGATAGGCCACAATAATAAAATTATCCAAGTTCTGATTGATCAAAGGAACAGTCTAATATCATATATGTTCCTCTAAAGCTTTCTTATTTGAACAACAGCTGTGTCATAATACCTTTCAGACACAAATGATCATCAACAATCATTTCGAGTTTTAATCCACACCAGTCAGATGAGAACAGTAGGAGGTTAAACCCCCATTTCATTTTGAACATTTAATCAACACAAAAGATAAACATATTAGACTCACCAGATTATTTTACAAAACTTGTAAATTACTAGAAATGACAACATACATATATTCTGCAAATCCTTTAAAAACAGAGAGAGAGAGAGAGAGAAATGGGGTTTAACGTCCACTCGACACAAACTAGGTCATTTCGGGACTAACATATGGTTTATTTTATTTCTATAATTCGCTTGCGCGTAGGGGTCTTTAGCAGTGGGAGGAAACCGGAGGACCCGGAGAAAACCCACGAGGTTGGACAGGTGACCCTACTCCTTGTCGCGTACAGCCGGGATTCGAAACCACGCCAGTCGGCTCAATGACAGACTTTATGATATAGCGCACGCACGCTAACCATTAAGCCATCCACCCCCACCTTTAAAAACAATAGAAACACACATTTCTGAGACCCATTCAAGCACATGCTATGTGTTCAAAATAAATCATTGTTTTATATAGGAGGGCATAGTTCTGCCATTTTCACTTGAACTTTATTCATTCTAATATATATCAGAAGGCACCAAATAATTAGATTAATAGTATCAACTATAAAATATTTAGATTGACAGTATCCATTATAAAATCAAGGCAAAACAACTTGGTGTTAGCTGATTAATAAGTGAATTTGTTCAAGGAGAAAGATTAATAAGTGAGCTTGTTTTAGGACAGAGATTTTGACTCTAGTGGATTTACCTTACGGTTTTATATCTATAGGAAAAATCTGTTTCAAAATTAACAAATATCGAAAGGAACCCAGATCTTTGGGATATAAACATATTTCATCAAAATCAGTTAAATATTTATTGTGACCTCTAGGAGTCCACAACCTTGGCATTGCATACTTTTACACTATTTGCGTACGTGGAGCGGTCATTTTGTTGGGCAGTTTCGATTCGTACTTCACAAAATTCGGACTCGACCGTCATTATGGTGATCATGGGAACATTTTTTTTAAAAAATCGGATAAAAATGTGACCTCTAGAGGGTCCACAAGCTAAAAACAAGATTTTTTTTGCGCACAATCAGGGG